ATTTGTCTAATGTATAATTATTGTCAGTAAACATGCTTTTTACCTGTATTATTAATTTACATGTAATTTAACAATGCTGAGACTAATCAGTGCAAATTCATAATTTTCAATTGATATCAAATTATGGGCATAAAAGTAATGTGGTAGGATTGTGTGTGTTTGTTGTCTGTCTGTGAATGCTTTAGGTGCTGATAAATTATTGTACCATTTTTTAAATTGATTTTTTTTTTAGGTTCATGGTGATACAGGACAACTTCGAGGTTCATGCAGATGGTGTTTAAAACTATCAGTCAGTAAAAACAAACTCATTTGAACATATCTCGAGTCTTCACATGTAAAATGATGGCCGCAGTACTTTTAATATGTAAGTTGAATTTTCTAAAGCTTCTTTGTGTGTATGTGTGTGTGTGGGGGGGGGGGGGGAGGGAGGTGTAATTAAAGCTTAGAAAATGTAGATTTTAAATGAATATTTGAGCTATGAAAGTGACCATCAAACTAGTATGTACATGTATGCTATATATTTTACAGCTAATGTATTTTGAAAAGAATTTCAAAACAATTACATTCATAGTGTTGTGTATGATAAAATATTAAGATTAAAAAATATAAGAGTTGAAATTTCTTTAATATTTGTCAGTCAGAATGAGCAATTCATTTTCCTACAAATTACAAAATGGTTACCATGGAAACAAAACATTTTCTGTAGACTATTTATTTGATCTGCTCATGTAAGTATTTTTATTATTTTAAAGTTATAATGAATATTTTAGTTCTAATTTCATCTTTAATTAAAAGTACGGGAAAAGTAACACTACATGTGTAATAAGCAATCCATTATTATGATGTCATTATGACGTCATAGATGAGTGAACTTGCATTGGCGTAAAAATTGCTTTGAAACAGATGAATGTATACAAGAATGTAAAGGCTTATAACTTTTTTATTCCTACACCAATTTTCCTGAATGATACATCAATGGACAGGAAATAATGAGTACTTTCTAGTTTTACTACTTTCGGGGTATTTGTAAACTTAATTTTTTTGTCAGTCATGGAGAAACAATGAATTCAAGGGTGAGGGATGATAAAATTTTGTGCAAAAATGCATTAATATTTTGAAATAAGAGAAATGGACCCATATGAGTGCTTGATTATGATTTTGCTTGATGTATTTAAAGTTCTGAAAGAGAATAAAAATGATATAAGTACATTAATAGGCTAACCGATGACTTCAAATTTGGGTGCAGTTGTGGCTAGATGGAAGCATTTTAAAAGGATTTTGCATATACAACTGTGTATGCTGTAAAATCTTTATTAATGATTGAATTTTCCTGAAATTTGGCATAATGTCACTACGTAGACTGTAGTATGACGTTTAATGTAAAATGTTGTAAAATCCAGAAAATACTTTTTCATATTGGGTACATACCTCTAATTATTTTTAGAATCGGTAGGAGAAGAAAGTAGTGCAGAAAAAGTTACAAGTTCCTTAATTTGCAGACCTAAATTTAAAAAACTGTGATAATGTATTAAACTGAGCCTCATACTTGTTGATAAAGAGTATGTTCCCTTGCAAAAAAGCTTGGCAGATGTAATTTATCAAGAAGATCAGCAGAATTATTTTATGTATTATAACACCAGTGAGAAGTCTTGAATTCCCCTACTTTCACTTTCATTTTCAGAGGTTAACGCAGACAGACGCATTTTGCCGGAAAACGAATCTGACATGCCACCTCGAGATTTTAACCAAGGAAAGACAACTTGATGTGCTTTGATTTGAGGGGTCACTCAATGCTGAACGAAAATTAGGGACATTGCTATGTGAAGAAACGTTAACATTGCCGCCTATGGGAAAACAATTAGTGGGCTGTACCCACCTGTCGATCTGCTAAGATGTGCAGCAATATAGAAAATATTTTGAAATATTGCCTGAATTAAGACGGCTTCGAACTCACCCTTCGTGTAATCTCCGAAAGTATCTCTGAAAGTGTTAATGACTGCGAGAGGGGAGTAGAGGGAGGTACCCCATGTAATTCGAAGTTAGATACCTCAAGTTATTATCATAAAATATGGGTTAAAAATTTGAATGCGTAAAACAAATGCCTGTGATTATTTTGCTTTTTGAACAGGCGTTATAACACTTTTTAAAAAGGCGTAATAAGGCCTTTTCACTTCACGTTATAATACGCCTGTTATAAGGCCTTTTAGTTGACTTTTTACGCCCTCATATTAGCGTTATTACCCAATTTTTGCGTTATATTGCCTTTTTAAATTTTTCCCCATAAATTGATCCTAATAGACTTTCGTATTTCAGGAAACTGGTGAAGGCCCTAAAACTATCTATTATGACTTCACTGTATGTTCGTTCATCATGAACATGTCTTCTGATCATATACTATAATTATTTACATGTTTTATAATGATCATTTTGCGTGATTCTTCTCTTTAATGAGATATATTTCGTTGTGTATATATATACAGTTGAGCCACTCAATTTCACTGATTATCAAAAGGAGAAATGGTAAGGAAACATGACTTCTTAGTGTTCTTACGCCCATTCTTTTCATTAATAAGTGACTCCTTTCTTTGTTTATAGTACTGACCATGACATTACCTTGCTCAGATAAGAATTCGTAAAACTTGTTAAATTTGAAGGTTATGACAAATGTTAATAGTACTGATGATGACATTACCTTACTCAGATCGGAATTCGTAAAGCTTGTTAATTTCGAAAGTTATGACAAATGTTAAAGTGATAGCAAAGTAATTTAAATGTTTCACGGAGAAAAATCTAGAATACTTAGTCTGTCTATGATTCTTTTCAATGAGCCTTTGTCTACATTTTTAAGAGGTGGTCAAAAACTTCTCGTATACATAAAATAAGGTTTTGAAAAAAAGAGGGCGTATAAGGAAAGGACATTCCCCCGCTCTGGGACAATATATTTCGATTTTCAAAGTTCACGGAAAAGTTATATTTTAATGTTTTCAGTAATGTCATCTTCAACACATTTAGTTCAATTATTTTATTGAATGACTTTTTAGCTCACCTGAGCTGAAATCTCAAGTGAGCTTTTCTGATCACATTTTGTCTGCCGTCCGTCTGTCTGTCCGTCTGTAAATTTTTAACATTTTTGACTTCTTCTCAAGAACCACTAGGCCAATTTATTCCATTTGGCCAAACTTGCCACAAAGCATTCTTGTATGAAGGGGATTCAAGTTTGTTCAAATGAAGGGCCACCCTCTTTCAAGGGTAGATAATTAATAATTGGTGAAAATTTGGTGTCATCTTTTAAAAAAATCTCCTTCTCAAGAACCATCGGGCCAGAAAAGTTGAAATTTATGTGAAACCTTCATTACTTAGTGTAGATTCAAGTTTGTTCAAATCTTAATTCTCTTGGGTAGGTGGGGCCGCCATGGGGGATCAACGTTTTACATAGGAATATATAGGAAAAATCTTTAAAAATCTTCTTCTCCAGGATAACATAGTCACAATTAGTTATATTGATATGGAATCATCCTCAGGTTGTGTAGATTCAAGTCTTTTCAAATCATGACCCCTGGGGTCAACGTTTTACATAGGAATATACAGAAAAAAAACTATTAAAAATCTTCTTCTCAAGAACAACAAATCCACGATTAGTCATATTTATATGGAAGCATTCTCAGATAGTTGCATGTAAGATTCAAGTTTGTTCAAATCATGACCCCCGGGGGTAGGGTGGGGCCACAATGGGAGATCGAAGTTTTACATTGGAATATATAGGAAAATCTTTAAAAATCTTTTCAAGAACAGCAAAGCCATGATTTGTCATATTGATATGGAAGTATCCCCTAGCATTGTAGATTCAAGTTTGTTGAAGTCATCCTCCAGTAGTAGGGTCGGGCCATAATGGGGGATCAAAGTTTTACAAATGAACATATATTGGAAATATCTTTAAAAATATTCTTCTCAAGAACAAGAATTAAAGCCATGATTAGTCACTTTGAAAAAAGCGTCCCCAGGTAGTGTAGATTCAAGTTTGTACAAATCATGACACCCCCCCCCCCCCCCATGGTAGGGTGGCAGACATCTTTAAAATTCTGTTTTCAAGAACAGCAAACCCATGATAAGTCATAGGAATAGTCAGATAGTTTAGATTTAATTTCATTCAAAACATGGCACCTGGGAGTAGGGTGTGGCTAGAACAGGCGATCAAAGCTTTATATATAAATATATAGAAGAAATCTGGTGATGAAGAACAGCAGGCCAATATTTACTCAGGTGAACATTGTGGCCCATGGGCCTCTTGTTGATTGATAATTTGTTTTTAAAGTTTACAGTAAAACATATTTAGTGGAAAATGGGTTAATTAGAGCCATAAAAAATAATTTTTGAATATGAATGGGTCAAGTCCAATATTAGTCCCCTACTGGTGAAACCGGAGGGGACTATAGGTTTCCTCTGAGTCTGTCCATCCGTCTGTCCAGCTGTCCGTCTGTCTGTCTTTCCCTCTGTCAGTCTGTCCCACTTGGTTTTCCGCACTTTTTCCCTAAACGCTTGCAGATATTGAGCTGATTTTTGGTATGTGAGTTTATCTTGATGAGATACAGATCAAGTTTGCATTTCGTTCCGCTTCATTGATTTTTGAAGGAATTATGGCATTTTCAATTTTAAACGGGAACCAGATTACACTTGCCGGTAGGGGACTAGTTTTGCTAGTGCAATACTCTCAGAATGCTTGTTCATTAAAGTTTAAATGACGGAAAAGTAAATGTAAAATGTATTTCATGTTTAAAAAAAAAAAAAAAAGGCGTCTGAACCCATTCTATATGAAAATCAACTGAATTTTATTATTTTTACGCTTTAACAAGTTCGTTTATTTAATCTTGCGCGTTGAACTTTTGTTATTTTTTCGGCTCAAATTTTTAATAAATGCAAACTCACATAAGGATTAAAAATTATTTAAAATATGTTGTTTTTTTTTTATAACAGGGCGAAAGAAGTAGCTAGTCTTCATCATAAGGAGGGGGGGGGGGGTGTAAATCACAAGAAAAATCAGACTTCATAGCGTCGTGGTTAACGCGTTCAGTCTTACGCCTAACCGTGAGCTCTGGAGAGAGTTCGAATCATGCATGATTTTTTTTTCTTTTTCACATGTACCTTAAAACATTAGTGAAGAATAAATTATTTGTCAATAATTCATTCAACAAAATATCGGAAGCAAATGTGTAAAAGATTATATTGACAATCAGATCACATTAAACATGGTATTAACGGTACTACTCAAAACATATTTTCTTTAGGTATATGTTTTAGATCGTGACAGGCCATTTTGTAATGAAAATGTTTTACTTTATAAATGCTTTCAGAATTGCATATGCTGTCAAATATTTTTATGGCTGGTCTTGTTACATGCATCTCACGTTTCTGGAAGCTGCAACACCAGTATGTCAAAAAAATTCATTAAAAAACAACTCACGGCCTTGGCTGATTCTGTCAACATGATCATAGAAGGTCCAAACAGCTGTATGTTTATCTAAAACTAGTTCTTTCTCTCTCTCTCTTGAAAAGTAATATATGGATGTAAATAATATATACAGAGATAATACTTCAGTTTAACTCCACATGCACTATGATAACACTTAATTGTATTTTTAGATGTTTGAAAACATGTAATTACGTAATTAAATATATATTTTTTACAGTCCCTGTTGCTTTCCATGCTGAAATGGGACCTCGCAAGACCATTGATAGAGGCCAGACATGGATTTATGACAAAGTCATCACCAACGAGGGGAATGGTTACAATTCAGCCACTGGAAAGTTCATTGCTCCAGCAAAAGGCCTCTATTTGTTCGCTTGGTCCTCCCTCAGTGACCCGGGGAAACAGTCACACGCTGGTTTGATTGTGAATGGGAAAATGATGGGAAGACAAAGTTTAAATAATATACATGGTGGAAGTAAGTGGATAACTGCTGGAAACACCATAATCCTGGTTCTACAGAAAGGAGACAATGTGTATATCAAGGATGTCCATGGTAGAGTAGCGGAGTTGAATGGTCCATGGACAACCTTTAGCGGGGTACAACTTGGTTGACATCTATTTACTAACCTGTTACAGTCCCTTAGCTATCAATAAAAAGTTTTGTTTTGATAAGCTCATAGTGTTGTTAATAGACAGTTACTTCATTTATTTTATAATAACTAAACATAGTAAAACAAGGATATTGGCTAAAAACGTACTTTCATACACAACAGATTAGGAAGTAATTCAAAGTATGAGATATCAAAAAATCACCAAGCTTTTAACGGAGGTGGATACAAACTTGAATGAAAATTAAAAATACGTGATTTTGAGAGACAAAGAAAGGAGAGCGAGAGAGTAAAAACAATATTCTGCTGCTAAACTTATCTGCTTAATATACTTATGAATAAAAAAATGTCCAGGCTTTCAGTTGTTTTAAAACATTCTTGTTATCTAAAAATATACATATCTCAATGGAAGCAATTTAAGTACCGGTAAATTTGAGTATCTGCTATCAATAAACATTTCAAGCTTATAGTTGCTTATTTAAATACGAGCCAAAAAATAAGCCAAAGGAATTATCCCTGGGTTGCAGTGAAAAAAAAAATTGTGTAGTTAGCAAGATGGTGACAGAAAATGCAGAGAATCCACAATTTTGCTTCATCCTTGTTCAGTTTGCGAGTGACAATCAGACTCCTTATCGAGGCGCCCCCCACCCCCAACCTGGATCTTCCCCTAGTTTACAGAAAAAGCTCCATATAAAACATTGTTCATAATGTATAGTAATATATCACAAATTATGATTTTAACATGTTTTACTACATGTACGTATAAGACATAACATGTATATTTATGTAAATTTCACATATAAGGAATCAGTGTCTAGTTTGTTGGTTGTGCCAGGTCATTAATGGCACTTGGAAACGTGGGATACTAAATGCATAAACAGGTAAAGCCCTTCTGAAACATTATAGTATCTATAAAATTGAGACAAATTATAGCTTTCCAATTATTTAATAAAGGGAAATTAACAAGGCTGCTATTTACATTTTGTATTATTATTATGACATCATTGGTTACAGAGATTTAGTGTCAGGTCCGTGATTTTTCTGTACATTTATAATTTAAAACCTGAGCTTAGTTACCTTTCAAATATTCTTTTTAAATGATCTCTTGAATTTACCACTTATTTTTCAAGAATTCAAATCAACCATTCGTTTCTCATGAACTGGATCTTAGAAGAACAATATACCCCCGGGATCTTTCGATCCGGGGGCATAAAAATTGCTAACTGGCAAATTATAACTCTTGAATGGAAGTGTCTAATTATCATTTGACCATTGTGGTTACTCAGGGCCAGTTCTACATACTTGTAGTTTCAGGCTGATATGAATATACGAAGGCAAGGAACATCTTTTATATTACATTGTTTTTTTTTTTGTTTTTGTAAAGGAGTAACTTCTACATTGTTTTGACTTCACATAAATCTATATTTGATATGACATGGATCAGGATGATAGTTGCCATGTTGTATATCGTTATGTTGGTGATAAGATCAAGAAACCCATGCTCCCCTTACCATTGAGAATCTTAAATTTGATGTTTGTTTTCGATGGGTTATACTAGTGCTAATATTTTTAAAAACTCTGTAAAATTAAAGAATAACAAAAATAGGTGGACATTAAATTTAATAAATTCCTCAATGTAACTGATCAACATGTTTAAGTTCAATGAGAAGACTGCAAGTACATTTAAAAGTCTTGCTATAGTTAATTCAGTCATCCCTCCTCAATTGATGTTCAAACCAAATCAGTCACTGCCTTCCTCTTCATCAGATGTTTCCTCTTCTGCCTCCTCCAACCACTTTATCAAAGGAGCCACCTACAGACAGATACTCAGTGTTAATAGTAATTTGTACTATACATGAAAGTTTCTTTTTAATACGTGTATGTAATGTGTTAAATCACAAAATTCTTCTAATTTCTTTCAAGTGGAAATAAATTTCAGATCAACTCAGTGCTGTTGGTTTCAAACAAATTTTGCATTTGTTTTCAAAAATTTCATGCGTTAACATTTTTCCTAGACTTACCAGACTGTGACTTTGTTCATCATTAATAAGTTCAATGGCAAAGAGTCTTAGAGAAGAAAGAACAATGTAATAATGAACTGATTTTGCATAGAATCAGATTGCATTCCTACCTGGTGTTTGATGGCCTTATATTCATCCTCTTTGTCCATGTTGTGCCACTTAATCAGAACTTGCTCGGACAAAATATCCAGGTCATATAGGGTGTGAAGAATTTTGACAAGAAGTGTGTTCACCTTACCGTTACTCAAGGCAAAATCCTAGAATGAAAAATAACTTGATTTATCCAACTTTAAATCTGATAGGGGTGCATGAAAACACATACAACACCAGACCAAAAATTCTCACAGAATGAATAACATCCAAATGATTGTGCTCTTATGTGAACATTTCTTTTAATTCCACATTGAGCTTGTTGAATATTGAATAATGTACAATATAACTCGAATTGAAAGATAAGTAATGGATATTTGTGAATACAGTTCTGTATGAAAAAATATCAGACAGTTTTAAGCCCATTAGGCTTAAAAACGTATTATTTTTGCATACAGAATTGTATAAGCAATTCAAACACAGCCCTTTAAATTTCATTTGTTCATTTACCTCTGACAGTCCAATATTTTTTTTTTAACAAAACATAAAAGTGTTAATGACTATTGAAGGAATTCTTTCAAGAATGCAGGCTTGAATGAAAACTACTCAGTATTCTTTGAATCATCTACAAAGTAGTAGGTATTTGAAGTAATTTGATTATTTGGAATGGAGTGAAAGGAAATTTCACGCATAGAGCTTATAGCAATGCATAGAATTATGGTATATTTTAGGAATGGAAAAGAAAATGCAGATCAATGTGAACTTTAATTTTCAATTGAATAAACACATGTACAGAAAATAAAGCAGACGTTGAAAGTGTATTAATTTCTAATTACAGACATCAAGTATAACTCTATAAAAGATGCAAGTAACCAGAAGTAAAACTCTTCTATGACTAAATTATGAGAGATTAACCAGCCAACTTTGCTTATAGCAGTAAACTACCGGTACCTCTGATTATGAGTATTCAACCCAGGTAAGGGAATCATTGCTTAAAGTTAGATAAATTTATGACAAGTTCAGCACGACTTGTGTTTGAATCCTGGTCTTGTTGGTTGCATTTTCTCCCCTTTACAGTTGTATATTTGGTTTACTTTAGAAGTTTGATTTTTCATTTTCCAATTCTGTATGATCAATATATAATATTGGTATTTTGTTTTAAAATTATCATTGTACAAATAAGATTAAACTTTGCTGTTTGATAAACAATATTTTTTTTTATTTCTCTTGTTCAGTATGTTCAGTAACACTCCAATTTTAAACAAAATCAGTACTAAGACAGTCTGATATTGCATTAAATATCAAAATGCTCACAAATATTGGACTGCCAAAGGTAAAGATTTAGACTGCAATGAACAAATGAATGACATCACAGCAAGCACAACAAAGTAATGCAGGTGATAAGGACAGGACCTTCTTACCTCTAGAGCATGGAGACAATCTAACTGAGATTCTTCACCTTTGATGTAGTTTTTAATTAAAGGGCTATACTTTGCAAAATTCTGTAAAAAAGAGGAAAATAACATGTTTACATGAGCACTTGTAAACTAGATGCTGTCATGAGACAGTAATACCCGCACTAAGGTGTTTGCCTCTAAATGCACACTCCTTCATATTGGGCTTACCAAGGAAAAAGTCCAAATAATTCTATAATTTACACAGTACATGTATTCGTCAAATCGAGCATAAAATGCTCAGGTGACCATGTGACCCATGAACCTCTTATACACATTTCATATACTTAATTCATTACCAGTCTGAAATATCAGAATTTAATTAATGTTGTAAATTAGGTTTTAATAAAAAGGGGGGGGGGATATAAATTTTTGGCCCATAATATTGGACCTTTTAAATTTATCTTCTCAACAACAAATAATATTATTTTAGTACAAAGCGTTTTTGATGAATTTATCAAAATGTGCAAACTTTTTTTAGTATTTGATTAGGCAAAAACCTCCTTGAAAAGCCATACCCAATCAATTTATATGTGCCCCCCCCCCCCCCCCCCCCCAAATACACACTCACACAATTTGCCTGTTTTTGGAAATAGGCCTAGATGGCAAAGTTATGTTAAAACATCGTTTGTTATGATAATTTAAAATTTGTTCTTGTACTGTACATGTATGTGAACACCTTTTTGAAAATTTCTACATCACATTGGGCTTGCGTCACCCTACCAGTACTAGTACTAGTTTTACCATTATCATTTTTAGATTGCACATGCCATGTGACATGGTGCAGTGTTACATGTATATCAGTGGAAATTAATTCATTTTGTGTTTTAATTGGATTATATTTCATGAAGTTGACAGGACCTATGACAGTCGGTAAGTACAAGTTTAAGTATAGATTGGGGTAAAATAAACCGAAATGCAAATGGTTAGGTTAAAGTTTAAAAAGGATCAAAGATCATCGGCAATCTCCTACGCAGAGTTGTCGTTCATTTCTCTCTCAGACACTGAATGTATGAGCCGATCGTAGAGAGTGGATCATCGATGCCACAATAGACGAATTTCACATTCTGAAGAGTTATCTCCCGTTGTCGACATTACATTCAGTTACAGGCATAGATCCGGGAATTTTTTTCCGGGGGGGGGGGAGGGGGGGTCCACACCTCGGTCCAAAAAAATTCCAGCCCAGAATTTCCTGAGGAGCAAAAAAAACAAACAAACAAACAAACAAAATAAAAACAATGATGGTGGGGTCCATGTTTTAAAAGGGGGAGGGCATCCAAAGTCATTTTTTATTTGCTTCTGTAAATCAGTATATAGTCCTATTTAAATAACTCTGCAAATTCCAGGGGGGGGGGGGTTCCAATCTCCCTAGCCGCTCCCTGTCCCTGAAATGACAAATGATCATGCGACTCCTAAATAGTAGAAAATTTTTCCATTTGACTAGACATAATTTTGTTTCTTGTGTTATTATGTTATGTACATCTAATGGTTTAAGGTTATGAACCCTTGAGGTCATCCCCACTCTCTTGTTCATAATATGACTACATCAAATTAAATAGAAGTGCATCAATGATAAGATTACTTGACATTTCATTCATGAATTTGGGTCAACCTAGAATTAGGAATGAAAATCATTCAAAGAGATGGACCATTAAACTATTTGTATGTATTCACATTTTTTTTATGTCAAACCAAAGTATTAGACTAGTTTGCATACATGAACAAACTGGGGTCTGGGAAGGGGAAGGGGCAAGGGGAAGGAGTTATCTCTTTACGTCTTAATTAATTGTGAAAATTCCTAAAATGAATGTTAACCTCAAATCCGACTTGTACGTCTTCATTATTTTTAAGTGGTGGTGTCTCCGTATGAGTGAAAAATTCCCAAGAGGGACATTTAACAACAAACAAACACTAGATGCTGTCGTGAGACAGTAATACCCGCACTAAGGTGTTTGCCTCTAAATGCACACTCCTTCATATTGGGCTTACCAAGGAAAAAGTCCAAATAATTCTATAATTTACACAGTACATGTATTCGTCAAATCGAGCATAAAATGCTCAGGTGACCATGTGACCCATGAACCTCTTATACGCATTTCATATACTTAATTCATTACCAGTCTGAAATATCAGAATTTAATTAATGTTGTAAATTAGGTTTTAATAAAAAGGGGGGGGGGGATATAAATTTTTGGCCCATAATATTGGACCTTTTAAATTTATCTTCTCAACAACAAATAATATTATTTTAGTACAAAGCGTTTTTGATGAATTTATCAAAATGTGCAAACTTTTTTTAGTATTTGATTAGGCAAAAACCTCCTTGAAAAGCCATACCCAATCAATTTATATGTGCCCCCCCCCCCCCCCCCCCCCCCAAATACACACTCACACAATTTGCCTGTTTTTGGAAATAGGCCTAGATGGCAAAGTTATGTTAAAACATCGTTTGTTATGATAATTTAAAATTTGTTCTTGTACTGTACATGTATGTGAACACCTTTTTGAAAATTTCTACATCACATTGGGCTTGCGTCACCCTACCAGTACTAGTACTAGTTTTACCATTATCATTTTTAGATTGCACATGCCATGTGACATGGTGCAGTGTTACATGTATATCAGTGGAAATTAATTCATTTTGTGTTTTAATTGGATTATATTTCATGAAGTTGACAGGACCTATGACAGTCGGTAAGTACAAGTTTAAGTATAGATTGGGGTAAAATAAACCAAAATGCAAATGGTTAGGTTAAAGTTTAAAAAGGATCAAAGATCATCGGCAATCTCCTATGCAGAGTTGTCGTTCGTTTCTCTCTCAGACACTGAATGTATGAGCCGATCGTAGAGAGTGGATCATCGATGCCACAATAGACGAATTTCACATTCTGAAGAGTTATCTCCCGTTGTCGACATTACATTCAGTTACAGGCATAGATCCGGGAATTTTTTTCCGGGGGGGGGGGGGGGGGAGGGGGGTCCACACCTCGGTCCAAAAAAATTCCAGCCCAGAATTTCCTGAGGAGCAAAATAAAAAAAAAACAAACAAACAAACAAAATAAAAACAATGATGGTGGGGTCCATGTTTTTAAAGGGGGAGGGCATCCAAAGTCATTTTTTATTTGCTTCTGTAAATCAGTATATAGTCCTATTTAAATAACTCTACAAATTCCAGGGGGGGGGGGGGGGTTCCAATCTCCCTAGCCGCTCCCTGTCCCTGAAATGACAAATGATCATGCGACTCCTAAATAGTAGAAAATTTTTCCATTTGACTAGACATAATTTTGTTTCTTGTGTTATTATGTTATGTACATCTAATGGTTTAAGGTTATGAACCCTTGAGGTCATCCCCACTCTCTTGTTTATAATATGACTACATCAAATTAAATAGAAGTGCATCAATGATAAGATTACTTGACATTTCATTCATGAATTTGGGTCAACCTAGAATTAGGAATGAAAATCATTCAAAGAGATGGACCATTAAACTATTTGTATGTATTCACATTTTTTTTTATGTCAAACCAAAGTATTAGACTAGTTTGCATACATGAACAAACTGGGGTCTGGGAAGGGGAAGGGGCAAGGGGAAGGAGTTATCTCTTTACGTCTTAATTAATTGTTGAAAATTCCTAAAATGAATGTTAACCTTAAATCCGACTTGTACGTCTTCATTATTTTTAAGTGGTGGTGTCTCCGTATGAGTGAAAAATTCCCAAGAGGGACATTTAACAACAAACAAACATTAATGACTTAAAAAACACAATATACATGTACATGTTTATTAGTCAATGGATATACTTCTGATCATATCTCTAGTTCTCCCTTGAATCAGAAATGATGATATAAATATTTTAAGAATGATTAAGAGTTGAAAAGGTTGTGCATTTTAATATTCACTAAGCTCTGTGGTTGAATTAGCTATACCAGTTTAGCTTATTTTGCTACTCAAAGCACCTTGATTAACTATTTTTAATCATACTGTTTTCTGAAATGTGAAGTTTTTTCAACATGGATACAAGTCATACCTTTTCAGCTTCTGAAAACAATTAATGCATGAAAAAAAAAACTGCTTTTCAAATACTGTAACTCTTTCCAAGTACTTGTGATCATCAGTTTTTAGCTCACTTGAGTTTTTCTGGTTTTCTGATCACATTTTGTTTGTCATTCATCTGTCCGCCTGTAAACTTTTCACATTTTTGTCTTCTTCACTAGAACCGCCGGGCCAATTTCAACCAACCCAGCCACAAAGCATCTTTGGGTAAAGGGGATTCAAGTTTGTTCAAGTGAAGGGTCACACCCTCTTTCAAGGGGGGATAATCAAGAATTAGTGAAAATTTGGTGGTATCATTTTAAAAAAGTCTTATCAAGAACCACTGACTGGGCCCAAAAAGTTGAAACTTTCTTTACATAGACAGTGTAGCTTCAAATTTGTTAAAATTATGACCCACTGGGGTAGGATGGGGCCACATATGGGGATCCAATGATTTACATAGAAAAATGCAGGGGATTTTTTCCATCATAAATCTTCTTCTCATGAATAGCAAGGGCATTATTGTCGTCCGTTTTCACAAAAGGGACCTAGGGGACATTAAATCTCATTTGTCTGTCAGTCTGTCCGTTTGTCAGTCTGTCCGTCTGTCACAATAAATTTAACCTTGGTCATAACTTCTGAATAATAAGAGATAGGGATTTCATATTTCACATGTACATTACCTACAAGAACTTTCTAAACATACCATGATTTTTGAACCCATGACCTTGACCTTGAAGTTTGACCTACTTTTCAAAAAATTTAACATTATTTCAAATGATCATTTTGAAAGAGAAAAGATAGGGCGTTCATATTATACATGTATATTACCTGTGACAAGACCTTTCTAAATATATCATGACTTTTGACTCTGTGACATTGACCTTGAAGTTTAACCTACTTTTCAAAAATGTTATATTTCCTTATAACTTTTGATTGAGAAGAGATAGGACTTTTATATTTGACATGTACATTACCTGTAACAAGATGTTTCCAAGCATGCTATGATTTTTTACCCCTTGACCTTGATGTTTTACCTAATTTTCAAAAATTTTAACTTTGGTGATTACTTTTGAATGACATATGATAGGGCGTGCATATTTGAAACAATATGTCATAAATAATGGCATCCCATCCACTAGGACACGGAAAGCAGGGGACCACAATTCTTTGAATTTGCTTGTTAGTCATTTTGATATGGAAACATCCTCATATAGTGTAGATTCAAGTTTTTTATGCCCTGCCATGAATATGGCCGAGGCATATAGTGTTTGTCATGTCCGACTTCAATAAAACGTCATATGCTGATACATACTGATGTAAGCTTTTCAACTGCATCAAAATTTTTGACCTTGAATTTTCCTTTGACCTTGACCTTACTTTTCTTAAATTAGTGTCTAGATCAGTTTTGAATAAACAATTCAAGATATATTTATCAGACTTCATATGCTGATATAATTATACTGCTGAGAGATATCAATTGCATCAACTTTTTTGACCTTGACTTTTCCTTTGACCTTGACCTCACTTTTTTAAATTAGTGTTTAGGCCAAACAAAAAAATATGTGTGGTTCCAGTTACACTTCCAAAAAAATTAGGGTAGGTAGGTAGGGATTTTTATTTTTTTTTATTTTTTTTTATTTTTTTTTTTTAACAAAATGATTTTCTTAATTTTTTTTTCTAAATAATACCTATCACTGCTTTGCAAATGGCATTTAGATGTGGTGTGATAATATACTAGTCAATATTGGTAGGGGACACCTACATGCTAGCTTGCTTTGGATTTAACACTATTAAACACTTGCACTATGTTTTGCAAGGAGGCCGTCATTGCTCAAACTAAAACTTAAACTGGAGCCATTGATGGAAATTGGGGGAAATTCCGGAAAAATATGAAAATTGCCAAAAAAAAGTTTAGGGTCGGGGGTATAAAATAGGGAAGGTCGGGTAACCCGAACCACACATATTTTTTTATTTGGCCTTATCTACATTTTAAATAAACCATTTCTGATATTTTTGTTGAACTTCTATGCTAATAGTAAATACATACTGATATAAGTTTTTCAACTGCATCAACATTTTGACCTCAACCTTTCCGTTGACCTTGACCTCTCTTTTCTCAAATAAGTGTTAAGCTCAGTTTTAAATAAATCATTCAAGATATTTTTATCAAACCTAATATGCTGATATGTATTAGTGAGAGCTCTTCCACTGCATCAAAAACTTGAAAATGAAAATTCTGAAACCTTACTGCACATCAACATGACACCACCAACCATCTCCCAAAAGACGATTAGGCTACTGTGTAAAATGTAAGAGGAGTTCTGGGAACCAGGGGTTTTTTGCATAAAAAACGTCATATTTCGACCCTCATTTGACCCCCAGGGTGAAAATGAAAATTCCAAAACCTTACTGCACATCTATAGGACACCACCAACCACCTCCCAGAAGACGATTAGGCTACTGTGTAAAATGTAAGAGGAGTTCTGGGAACCAGGGGCTTTTTGCTTAAAAAACGTCATTTTTTGACCCCCATTTGACCCCCAGGGTGAAAATGAAAATTCCGAAACCTTACTGCACATCTGCAGGACAGTCCACTAACCATCCCCCAAAAGATGATTAGGCTACTGTGTTAAATGTAAGAGGAGTTCAGGGAACCAGGGGTTTTTTGCATAAAAAACGTCATTTTTCAACCCCCATTTGACCCCCAGGGTGAAAATGAAAATTCCGAAACCTTACTGCACATCTACAGGACACCACCAACCATCTCCCAAAAGATGATTAGGCTACTGTGTAAAATGTAAGAGGAGTTCAGGGAACCAGGGGCTTTTTGCATAAAAAACGTCATTTTTTGACCCCCATTTGACCCCCAGGGTGAAAATGAAAATTCCGAAACCTTACTGCACATCTACAGGACACCACCAACCATCTCCCAAAAGATGATTAGGCTACTGTGTAAAATGTAAGAGGAGTTCAGGGAACCAGGGGCTTTTTGCATAAAAAACGTCATTTTTCAACCCCCATTTGACCCCCAGGGTGAAAATGAAAATTCCGAAACCTTACTGCACATCTACAGGACACCACCAACCATCTCCTAAAAGACGATTAGGCTACTGTGTAAAATGTAAGAGGAGTTCAGGGAACCAGGGGCTTTTTGCATAAAAAACGTCATTTTTCAACCCCCATTTGACCCCCAGGGTGAAAATGAAAATTCCGAAACCTTACTGCACATCTACAGGACACCACCAACCATCTCCCAAAAGATGATTAGGCTACTGTGTAAAATGTAAGAGGAGTTCAGGGAACCAGGGGCTTTTTGCATAAAAAACGTCATTTTTCGACCCCCATTTGACCCCCAGGGTGAACATGAAAATTCCGAAACCTTACTGCACATCTACATGACACCACCAAACACCTCCCAAAAGATGATTAGGCTACTGTGTAAAATGTAAGAGGAGTTTGAGAAATAAGAGTGTGACAGACGGACGGACGGACGGACAGACATGAGTAACAACAATATACCCGAACTTTCTTTAGAAAGTGCGGGTATAAAGAGCATAATTTGATGACTAACTTATTTTGTCGTTGTATTAAATACACAACAAACTTCATAGAGTATCCTGCAAAATCTTCTCTTTGCATGTAAATGATGGCTTAGATTTTCATGCATTTTGTAGAAGCTGCCCCTTAATTTATCCATCATGTAGTTTTGACCTTCCATGTTTGTCATTTTTTTCTAAGAGGTCTGACAAAGCTTCTGTTAAACACATGAAAGTATCACATATTCTCCTTCCCTTTAACATTTCAAATTACAAGTTACACTTAACCTTACCTTTTTGACACTAACAAGCTGAGCACCTGGCTCCAGGTCCTGTGATTCTCTCAGAGGAATCTCAATCAAACCTTTCATTACCATACCATACAAATCTGTAATGGCTATATTGTATGTATGCCTGAAAAAGGGAATATTTGTATTTTTTAGGAAAACTATGATCATGATTTTCATATTAATTAAGCATATCTGATACAATAAACCTTTCTGTTATTGTTCTTCTGGAAAAGAAAGTTGCTCTTGGAATTGAAATCCTTTTTTTCACAAGTACAAAATTAAGTACCAAGTTTTATTAAAATCAGACCAAAACTGTAGAATTAGAATTTTGAAGGATTTTTACTAGGGATGTCAATTTTGTCAATAATTCATATTCGAATATTCAATGAAAGTATTCGAATATATTCGAATATTCGATAAAATAAATAAAATCTGTTTTATTTTAAATATGCATCATCCTACTCTCGTAGGTATACTTATATAGGAAGTAAAATTGTATGAAGACTTTTTTAGGTGTAAAATAAGAAATTCCATTTGATATTTGTCAATGTTTGAAATAAATAATTGATTTAAATGTAGAAAAGTATAATTTTAACAAATGAAACATGTATTTATAGTAGCCCCACCTGAGGAACCAGTCGTCTCACAAAAGGCAAGATAGCCGTAACGGTATACTGTTCAGATTTCAATACGTGTAATAAATTACAATTATCTGCCTGATAAGAGATATGATTATAATCTTTGATACAATGTAAACAAATATTTCCATAAACAATTTTCCTAGGTAATTAACTGTTTTCCCGATAATGAATATAAATTATGCACAACCCGAGATAATCAAGTAATTTACACATTTATTCTGAAATTAAGCCCTTTACAATATTAATTACAGATTAATTCTATCGGACATTCATTCAATGATCAATTAATTTTATTTTGATAAGTATACTCTTCGCGCCTTTTAGATATTCTTAGATTTCATTTGTTGTCCTCGATTCTAGATCCGATCGTATCTTTAACTAATAAAAGCTATGAAAGCACGTTTTGTATTATACATAAAGCATTATTGTACAATTCTTTACAACACCTTACTCAAAACAAAATACATGTAATTTAGAAGATTTATAAGATAAGAAAGTAGTGAAAGAAATCAGGCGATTGAAATTGATCGCTAGTAAATTGAACAGGGATAATTCCAGCACTGTTCTAATCAAAATTTATTAATCACAGTACTTCTTTTTATGAAATCTGAAAAACAACGAATATTCGAATCTTAAATTCATATTCGAATATCAACTCATCGAATGAATATTCGAATGTTCGAATATTCGTTGCCATCCCTAATTTTTACAGATTATTGTTTTAGTAGCCATGGCAACACTGTAAGTAACAAGAAACTCACTTGAGAGAGTTAATTTCCAGAATAAGGTTTTCTGTTGTGTAGTTATCTTCCTTGGCTTTCACCAGTGTATCCAGCAACTCACTGTAGAATACTACAACAACAAAATATATTGCCTATAAAATATGCTAAAGAAGCAGTCCAAGTGAAAAACAAAATACCCGACTTCAAATATCATCTTAAATAGTGAGCATCTCTCTCTAATTTGAGAAACTTGGAATAAATTAAACAATTTACTCCATGACAAACACACATATAGACATGTTATTTAAACTAGAGGCTGATGGGTCACCTGAGTTATCAAGAATATTTCAACTCACATTCTTCATCATCCAGCATGGCCTCATCCACACTGGACTGCTTGGAGAGACTGGAGGTTTCTGTGGAGGATTCTGATTGGATACTGAGGCCCCACATGTCCTGTACAATGTCGTTGTCCTCCTCATCGCTGTCCTCAGGGGGTTGATACAGAAAAGCCTTGGATTTACTGCCATAATTCATAATGCTCACTGCATCTGTAGTTCAACAAGAAACCAAAGAATAAATAAAATTTCAGTCTCTTTTCTTTCAATTATTGAAAATATAGATTCATATATATATATTCAACCCCCTTCCCTCTTAAAAAGAAAAGAAATTTTCAAAATTAATAACATGTATATACTTCCCACAATTACATAAAAACATATCGTTGTGTCAATTACACAAAAGACAATTAACCAGCCATGCATTGTTAAAGGATACAATTCATAATATGTACCCTGATCAGCCTCTGTCAAGTCATCACCAAAATCATCATCCTCATCTTTTGTTGACTGCAGACGTGTTCCAGACTCAATTTTTACACTTGGACCAACCTCAACCTACACCATTGCAGAATAAAAAACACAAAAGATTTAAATTGGCTATCTACATGTTGCATGTATATGTCATACTTTTAATTGTTTGTTTTTTTTTCAAAACAAGAATAAATAGTGTTTTGAATTCATAATTCATGTTTCTTATATAACTGCTATGCATGTAGAACATGTTTTCTTCTCACTCTTTGACACCCTATACAATTCTGAATATACAATTAATTATCTGCATAGGTAGAGTAAAATACTGAATCAAAGATAAGAAACATTTCATATCCTATAATATCAATTATAATCATGATAGCTAATTCACAGCATACAGCATTTACTGATTTTAAAAGAATTACTGAGTAAACTTACATTCATGGACAAAATACAGCCAGGTTGGACTGTAGTTGATGAATAGATGACAACATTATCACAGATGACAGATGTATTTACAAAACAGTTATCTTCAATCGTTACCCCATCCCAGACATAAGCATTCTCAATGATCACATTACTTCCTGTCAAAGAGAAAGTAAAAGGGTTTTTCTTTAAAGTAATACTCCAAATCATTGGGGATGAAAACACTACAGAAATAAGGGCCAAGTCTCTTCTGACATTAAAAAAAAATGGCAGATTTAATTGAATGTAAAATATACAATATGCAAGTAAGTATTGACTGTTATTATTTGTTGCTAAGTGACGTACATGTAACTGACCTATTTTGCAATCTTTGCCTATCACTGAGTCGGTAATCCGAGTATCACTGCCAATTCTTGTTCCTCTACCCACCAAAACATTCTTCTCCAGAACACAACCTCTGTAGTTGACAATACATATCATAGAAAATATCTGTACAAATATCAACAACTCTGACAAGGGTAAATGAAAGTACAAAAGAAAGACACAACATAATAAAAACAATTTTCAGAGAGTTGGTTATTATTCTACAATCGGCTATTAATATATAATAAAGAACCACTATTATTGTTATTATTTAAAAACTTGTGATTTTCAGATCTGGACGTGCCATGTGTTATTTTCATTACTCAGTACTACACCTACTTGGCCAACGTGACGTCCTTGCTGGTGTATATGTTATGTCGACTATGGGAGATAATCTGTCCCTGTTCATCAGTCTGAGTATCGGGCACCAATGGGTAGGACCACCGACAAATCACATCATGACTGCAACAAATACAGCTCAGTTAGTTAGAAAGGCACTTCACCAGTACCAGACTGAATACTGCAGAACAAGGCTGTAAAAAATTTAACTCGGGTCAACTACCCGGTAATTTTACTAACATCTGAATAAACTTTTCAAACCTGTTTGATATATGACTTTTATTTACACACACATATTTGGAAACAATTTATTTTTTGTACATGATTAAACATTGAAGATATTTATGATGTTCTTGGAATTTCTTTTATTTGTGGCATTTAATCTTTTCATTTTTGGTAACAATCATTATACATATAGTACATACTTCTTACTAATACATGGAATTATGATGCCAGTGCATGAAAAAATATTTACATTTGCAAATGTTTTTTTTTATATAACACTATTAAAAGCAACGCGTATCTATATCCGTATAAACACAGGTTCCTCATGTCATAAACATTCAACGTAGTTTCTCAGTGACGTCATAAAGGGTCGACACGCAATCAGTGGATCAAACACGTGCCGTTGGGTTTGAAAAATAAAATGTTTCACGCGTTAAAGATTATAATCAGGCAAATATAAAATATGAATAAGTCACAAATGTAAATATAAGTAATAAGGTATCATTTTAAAACATCTATCGGGCTAAATATCGGGCTAAATATGGGTTGGTACCAACCCATATTTATAGCCCGATAGATGTTTAAAAATGATACCTTATTTCTTAAAAATTTCTGTTATAGAAAAGACAGGAAAGATTGGAAGATTGGAAAACAATTTAAAACCAGTAGATTTTTCCTCTACAAAAGTCTTCCACAATACAACTGCCTACCTGACAGCATCATACATCTGTAGATTAGAAATTCTACCCATGTATCCATCACTGATCACACAAACATGCATTGTTTTCTCCATGATCTGAAATTGAAATTTACATGAAGTAATACACGGTGTCAACTGAATAGGGTAATCAAAGGACTGAAAATGAAGTTAACACATTATAAATTCTGACTCACATCTTCATTGATGAGTATCCCTTTCACAAAATCGTCTCTGTTGAGGTAATCAAAGTTATCCTTGTAAAGGGAGAGAACTTCTGGTGAACACACACTGATCTGACTGTCCAGAAGATCGTATCTCAACTGCACATCATCATTGTCCGTCAAAACTTCCTGAAAATAGTCACCACCATCAGTATTAATACATTTCTGATTTATCTGTACATGTATATGAAATGCATTTCCATCAATTTCCACCCAAAAGTGCTCTGTACCTATTTCTGTTTAATTATTCTCTATTTAATGGGGGAAAAAATATTAAAATGGTGAAAATTTCTTATTACTCAATCATTACAAGGTATTTCACAAAAAATACTATTTTTTCAAAAAAAAAAAAAAAAAAAAAAAAAAAAAAAAGGACATGGAAATTTCTGAGATGGTAAGAAAACCCACAATTTTGATACACCATCACATTAATTTTATAAATCTACATACATGTATATCTATCAATCTGAATCACTTTCAATTGCCTTCTACAGGTACACATTTTATCTTTAAATTGTTTTGTGTGCAAGTCCCTATATTCATGCTACTGATATTTTGTACCAATACTCTTCCCACTAATATATGTACTAATAGTCTAACCACTGGTAGATACATGTACCAATATTCTAACCTCAGGTATCTGTACCAATGTTCATATCAATAGTACCTGTACCAATATACATGTACTTACCTGAACATCTTTACCTATGTTCTTATCAATAGTACCAATATTCTTACAACTAGTATCTGTACTAACAGTCATACCAATAGTAGTTGTACCAATATTCTTACCACTAGTATCTACCAATAGTATCTGTACCAACATTTCTACCACTGGTATCTGTATCGATAGTCCTACCTCTGGTATCTGTACCAACTACTACTGGTATCTGTACCATCATGATTCCTACCACTGGTATATGTACCAACATTCTTACCACTGGTATATATGCCAATATTCCTACCACTAATATGCCCCCATATTCTTAAGATTACTACCCATCCTATCATTCATCCAACTCTTAAGTAGTCACACATTCTAAACAAAGAATGACACCCATATTTATAAATTAACAACTGCTTTCTGTCCCTATATTCTTACCACTGGTATATGTAGTTTAGACTGTTCTGTGACTCTCTGGTAGTGTAAGACTCGGTTAGATGACTGATCTATTGCCAGGAAAATGTCATCCTCTTTGTTTCGGGACGGGTGCCCAGGAGGCACTTTTTGGAAAATCATCGTCATCACAGAGTTTCTGTTCTTGGGGCAAGTTTTGTCTTCTCGCCTCTTTCTGTCAAATAAATATCAATATTCTATATACTGTCCTTGATCAGAGTTTAGACTGAATTTTTATTTGTACTACATAACTTTTAACTTCTTTAAAATTTTCTATTCATTAACATCCTTCACTAATTTTACTACCCATGTGACTAATTTACAATTATTTCCGTTCTGTGTTCCTAATTCTGAGAGATAATCATGCACTTAATCATAACCTATAAACAATTATATAGTATTTCCAGTCTTAACTTTGTCATAATTCATGCACTTAACATAATGTATAAGTACTGTATACAGGGAATTTTTTGTCTCCATTTTATTTTTGCCCCTTTCACCCTAGACACATGTGGGCGAATTTAAGATGGGGCGAATTCATAGAAAACAGTATAATTTCTAAATTTGAACCCTGACTGGGTGAATTTAAAATGGAGCAAAATTGTTTGCAAGTGTGAAACGGCGAAAATAACACAGGGCAAAAATAACCCTGTATCCAGTAACCAAATACTATGCTCATATTTATTTTTGCAAATGTCCAGATCTAGTGCATTAGTTTTAATTCTTATTTCTCATATTCAGCACATTCAAGAAAAGGCAATCATACTTTCTCCGTGTTTCCTCTAAGCCACTCTTATGTTTTCATGTTAAAAGCTCGCCTAGATGTACATGTGTACCAACATGTTTTATATACATGCACACACATTTAAAGCTTACTTGTGTTCTTCCAAAACATCTTGAAGCCTAATATTGGCCACCACATCCCCATACACTAGGATGAAGTCACTCCTGATGACTGACTTATCATGAACCTCTCTCAAGGCATCCCCCATTGACATACAGCATTCTGAGAGGATTGGTGTGATGCTGCAGCTGCTGCACTCACTCCATTTTGACTGCCTAAAGTATATCATTGATCAATAAATACTATTTTAAATATATTTAAAATAAGTAATAGAAAAACAACAAAACATGTAGAAAAGGTGCAGTTAAGTTAGTTTCTTATTCATTAAACATGTTAAATGCATTTAAAATATAAAAGATAGTTTATGTAAAAAAAAAAATAGTATCAATAAAAAGGTAGTCATAAATTCTACTAACATACAGTTATAAAATGTCCTCAGGTTCAATTGCTCCAAGAAAATGTCATTAAACCAGTTAAAAAAAAATTAAATTGCTTGAAAATTATGTTACAGTTTTATCCCCCCCCCAAAAAAAACCAATAGGCACAATGGCTACTATGCTCACCTTAATTTCAATTATCTTCTTCTAAATATATATTGATATAGTTTGTAGAAAACCCCTTATTTTCAAGTGCATTACATCTGTGATTACAGTGTTATTGAATTCAAATTAAAGTCTGACAAATTGTAATCAGGTTACTTGAGTCCAATGGCTTAGTGAGCTTAGAAAACCTCTTCTAATTTTTACTACATTTTGAATTATGTTTTTACAAATATATCATATGCCATGTATTTACAAATAAATCATTGCCATTTTTTTCATATTAAAAAAAAACATATATTGGCAGAGCTACTCAGTCATTCATTGCTAACCTTATGTGTGTCCTAATTTGATCTGCTAAATGACAGCAGAAGACATATATTTCTTGCACTCCTGCTGTAACTAAAAACTCTAGAGTGTAATCCAGAATGGGTAAATTGGCAACAGGTAGGAGAGACTGAAACAATAAAATATGCTTGTTACATTTAATCATTAATATTTGAAGACATTTTTATTAACAAATTTGCTAATCAACCACTATGCCATTCTTAAAAAAGTTTATTTTGTTCAAAATCTTATCATATATCTGTACCGGGTAGTGATGGTACAAATTTTAAAGAGATTGGCAATGATAGTTCAGATCACAATGCATTCTTTGAACTATAATGAGAATGGAAAAAAAATTATTGCTGGACCAGCAGTTAAACCTGGTACCCATGTATAGTGGTCAGACGAGTTCAATCGCTGGTGGCCAGGTAGCTCAGTTGGTAGAGCACCCGATTGCCCTGGAGATTCAGGGGGCCTGAGTTTGAATCCCAGTCTGGTTCCGTCACATTTTTCTCCTCTCCTGTTACATTTGGTGCCGTGCCATGCCCTAGAAGTGACAGGTGAAAGAGATGCCAGGGAAGAGCCAGGGTTGGTGTCTTCTGGGGCAGAGACCTTTAAGGAGGAAGGTGTGTGGCGGTCAGATGGAGTCGATTTCCGGTGGCCAGAGAGCTCAGTTGGTAGAGCACCTGATAGAGATTCAGGGGACCCAGGTTCAAATCCTAGTCTGATCCGTCACAAATGTTATCCTCTCCTGTTACACATGCATTACTGATCAGGTGCTCTAAGCCACTGAGCTATGCAGGTAGATATCCACAGTCCATTTAGCTCAAACCACTGCATTCTTCCCTCTTTAAATTGTTTTTTACCTCAAAGACACACAATCTAGATTCTTTAGCCCCTGGCAGGACTTTCAACTGCAAGTACAGGGTTAGTCAATGGAACCAAATGTAAAAGACATAGTTGCCAACTCACCCGATTTCGTCGGGCTACACCCGATTTTTCGACTCTTAACCCGATTATTTTTTATGACACGGCGGGTAATGCTTTTCACCCGATTTTTGTGGAACAACCCGAAAATCTCCCGATTTCCTGATTTGGTTCGTAAATTAGGTTGCACTTTAAACTTCCAGTTACAACCCAAGCTTGGATTTACGTAAACAATGCCGATGGCTATGTTCAGTAGGCCGTGTGTACCAGTAAATTATCAGTGCAGGAGTAAACAATTACCAGAGAGTTGTTTTGATTAATCAAAGTTTGAAGTCAATTTAAAATGGCTTCCGATAGAACGAGCTGGTTATCAGGAAAACAACTTTCATTAGATAAAATAAAGTGTTCGAAGATAGTGTAGGCATAACTGTACATTTAATAGCACTTGTTAATTAAATTAATTCAAGAGAGGAAAAATAACCAAAACCAAAATTTGAATACATATTTAGCACAAATTTCCATGTGCTTCAAATCAGCAATGCAGATTTTGAAAAGACTTTCCTTTAACTGTAAAAAAAAAATGCACACTTAATTCAAGTCAATACTGAATGATGAAACCTTCAATGCTCTTTTTAACATGTAAATTTAATCAATATATATTAAATTTTTTTCATTGCAAGTTAAAGTCTCTATTTAATAAAATAATTCTCAATACACAAATGCTTATATATATATATATATATATATATATATATATGTATATATGTATATATATATATATATATATATATATATATATATATATATATATATATATATATATATATATAATTTAATCATGGTAAATGTGTCGTGAATGTCGTTACGCGTTATGACCAGATTTTTCCAAATCTGGTCATGACCAGATCTTTACATGTTGGAGGTTGGCAAGTATGGTAAAAGACAGGAGAAAATTTATAGCTGAGCCATAAATTGAACCAATATTAATAGCGAGCGCAGCAAGCGGCGCGAAGCGCCGCTCGTCACTGTGAGCTCTAACGACAACGCCTGGGCGAAGAGAAAATTCGGACTACTGCACATTCATTCAATAGAATTTTTTTCCGCTGTAATTCTGGACCCATAATGCATCGCTTGTTTAAGCTACGTTCTCGCGAGAATAACAACAACAGTTTAACTAACAAAAAATAAACTCGCCTTGATTTAATGGATATATTGCAGATAAATAGTAAATAAAACGTTCTTCATTAAGGTCAACAATGTTCAGGCTTCGGTTTGGTAATGCAACTTAAATACGACGTCATGTGACGTCAGAGTCTAGACGCACCAAATGTCACATGCAGTTTGACAAACGAGTCCGATCTAAATTAAACCTGAATAAATATCTGCGCTCGCCCTAACGGTTGCACCGTCAACATATTATTTTTCTGGTGAATAGAAAATCATATTCATCACCGAAAGAGTCCATAATTTATAATATAAAGTTGTAACATTGCAGCTGTAGAATAACCTATTCAAACACCACTACAATTCAAATTGTGTCCACGGGGAAAATGTAGATGAAAACATCACTGTGAACTTTTTTTCTTTTTACCCTTCAAGCTCAAACCCAATAAATTCACCAAAAGTTATTTAGCATAATTTATACTACTGTCGATAAAAAAAAAAAATAAAAAATAAAAAATAGAGATTATAGTCCAGAGAACAAGAATCGGGCTCGTTATCCTAATTCATGACAGTTGCATCAGTTCTTCAATATTGCATATGATTTTGTACTCAAAAGATACAGACAACTTATTTTCACCTTAGGTTTTTCCTTTGTGATTGGTGCAAATCTAATATTGAAACTATCAGCAATAACAACAGCTTGAATAACATCTTCTTGTTTGAGATCCTCTCCACGTTGTTTCCCTTTGCTTTTGGCTGCCATGATTGTTGACTTCCGGTTTGTCACATTATTGAGATAGGGAAGTCAGGTTTTAAAGAGAGCTGGACTTCATTTTATTTTTGGTTGCTATTTATTTTATTTTTTTTCTAATTCATTAGAATAAAGTAAAATAAGCCTTTTATATCTGAAATGAATAATATTTCACCGTATTGAAACTTTAAAAAGTTATTAATAAGCTTGTACACCCCTATGGAAATATTCGAATATGGGAAGGGTGTAAATAGGCTTTACTCTACATCTGATCTGTTCACGGTAAGTATTATTTGATTGTTGTATTGAATCGGAGCATACCTAAATATATTGAAATCTTTTTATTCTATGCTCTGCTACTCATAAATTGCACAGGAGTCAATATAAAGTGAAAACATGAATCCTCCCAGTGAGCAGAGACCTACAGATATATAAAACCAGTGAGCTTCGTAAACTGCCGAACTTCAGTGATAATTGAGTAAACATTTACATATATTGTTAACAACAGGACAACTTTGCCTGCCAAGAATTTGTGATCCACCGTTTTTAGGAGCAGTGAGGATCACAAACCCTTGGCTAGCACAGGGACCTATATATACTGGCTAGCAGCCCTGATCTCTAGAGACCAATAAACTTTTTGTTCTTAATTTTTTGTCAGATCCCTGGTCTCTAGAGACCAATAAACTCTTTTTTTGTCAGATGGCAAAGAGTTTATTGGTCTGTTGAGACCACTATAAAGGGTTAGGAGGTGGATAAAATATAGAGGTATATGTCTAGAATTAGGGAATGAAAGGTAGTTGATTGTCCAGTTCTGGAAAGTAAAGAAATACGTCCCCAAACATGCACAGAAAATCTTGCGCCTTAAATTTTACCATATTTACATTACAGGATTTGTAGCATTATGGTCAAAGACTAACCATAACACAACAGTTCTGCAGCTACTGATTTTATTGACATTTTGAGTAACCCATTTTTTCCCCAAATTTTATTTATATATATATAATTTAATTCTGGATGTAACGCCGTATTTGATTGGATAAAAAAAATTACTTTATATTGTATAAAATGGATTGCCTACGTCACAATGACTTGCGTCAAAAACGTATCAATCCGCCTGACGTTACATTCAAATTTTGTACAAATTGAAGTCATTTTTAATGACAATCATCTTTTTTTTCTTACTCCAAATGAAGGAAAATTAAATTATAAGGAATGAATTTAATAGCTACCCAATTTATAGGGTATAAACTGGGTTGGAACAGTTTACGCTTTTTTATAAACCGCTTTGCGGTTTATAAAGCGTAAACTGCCCCAACCCAGTTTATACCGTATAAAATGGGTAGCTATTAAATTCATTCCTTAAATTAAAAAAAAGCAAACAAAAAAAAGCAAACAAAAAAAAAACAGTGCATCCATTACACAGTAAAAGAAGCATGCATGATGGTTAGAACAAACCATAAAGAAGGACATTAACATAAAATCAGAATCAAGTCTCTGGGTAGTCTTCAAATAATGTAGAAAAAATAAATTACACTGATCTACCAATCACACAAATATTTCAAGTAAAGATATTCAAAATCTTTAGGACCTCAGAAAATGTTATATTTATAAGCAAAGCAAATTTTAATTTGCTCAACAATTTCTCACTTTTGACAACTGAAAACAGGAAAGAGAAAACTTGGGACCTAAAGTGCTGTATAATTTTCATATTATATAGCATAATCTATGTTTACAGATTTTCTTAATAAAAATTTTCAAGTTTTATGAGGATATTTGATGCATTAATTCTGCTTTATACATATTGAATATTCAATCTAATGAAAATCAGACAGCTTAGATCTGCGCCATATACACTCATCTTACACCATGTATATGTGGCACAGATCTAAGATGTCTGAATTAGATTAATTGAATATTAAACCATGAAATTTTATTGCATCTTCTTAAGTTGGGCCCATTTTTTTAGATGACCATAATGAAATTGGGTTGTTTGGGGGGAGGGGCTTATGTTATAGTATACCCTTGTTGTTGGCACCCCAGATTAAAGTTTTTGGAGCAGATTTCTTTTTAAGTACTTCTATGCCCTTTTAGTCAGATATCCATGGACAATACAGTACAAGTCAAGGTTTCAGAGCTGAAATTTCAGCTAAAGAATGACCAGGTTAATGTATTTGGAGCAGGTTAAAATTTTTGGAGCAGGTCTCATTTCCAAGTAACTATAAGCCCTTCATTGACCAAGCCCTATGTTGACTAAACTTGCATGGATTATACATCTAAAGTTGCACACTACTAGACTTGCATCAGATGCTGGATCTGACCTACTGGCACATTTTCTGGGTGAGTGACCTGGTTCATGTTTTTGGAGCAGATTCATTTTAAAGTAACTATAAGCCATATGCTAACCAACTTTGCATGATTGAAAATACATATTTGATGGACACTACCAGAGTTGCTTTGGATGCAGGATTTGACCTAAATTTCCAACTGAATGAATTCCTATTGACCCAACTTGCATGGATGATATGTCTATGGATGCACACTACTGGACTTGCTTCAGAAGCTGGGTTTGACCTACATTTTCTGGATGAGTGATCAGGTTAATTTTTTTGGAGCAGGTTTATTATAAACTGACTATTAGCCATAAATTATGCTAACTGACTTTGCATTGAAGATACATTTTTTGATGGACACTACCAGAGTTGCTTTGGATGCAGGATTTGACCTAAATTTCCAATTGAATGACCAGGTTTAAGTTTTTGGAGCAGGTCTATTACCAAGAAACTATAAGGCCTAGCTGAACCAAACTTGCATTGATGATGCATCAAGGTATGTATACTACCAGAGTTGCTTCAGATGCTGAATTTGACCTACATTTTCCAAAATGAGTGACCAGGGTAAAGTTTTTGGAGCAGGCCCATTACCAAGAAACTATAAGGCCTATCTGAACCAAACTTGCATGGATGATATGTCTAAGAATGCACACTACTAGACTTGCTTCAGAAGCTAGGTTTGACCTACGTTTTCTGGATGAGTGACCAGGTCAAAATTTTTTGGAGCAGACTCATTTCAGTGTAACTTTAAGCCCTACCTAGACCAAACTTACATGTTGCATCAAGAGATGAACACTCTCGAACTTGCTTTAGATGCTGGATTTGACTTACATTTTCTGGATGAGTGACTAGTTTCAAGTTAGAACAAGTCCATTCCCAAATAACTGCAAGCCCTATCAGACCAAATGGAATGCACACTACTAGTTTAGTGTGGGACTCTGCCTTTCTTAAAGGTAACATTTGTTGAGGTGAGCTCTGTAATCTTTGATTACCTATGTTTTATCCATGTAGCAATTATGATAAGTTAATATATTTTTTCAAATTCACATACAAATTCTATTACTTGAAAAATGATGCTGCCTATGGACCTTCAGGAAATGTACCCTACTATATTAGTTGAATATATATAACAAACCAGTGACCACATTTTTTGCATTTCATGCTGTCAGATTGATGATGGTCATTGAAAGTCCTTCAGAAATATATAGTGACAATCAATATATATTATCTTTAATAAAAATTATTTAGAGACCCTAAAAATATCCAACAAGGATACTTAGATTTCTTGTATTTATAAGTGGAAAATAATCAATACATTTGACATGATTGAAATAAGATCTATAGATTGCCTGCGACATGTGGTATATGTATCATAAATGTTAAACATGAATTACTGAACCAAGTTAAATGTTTTGCTATAGCATTTAGCAGATCATCAAGCTGTTATCACAACCTTCTTAGGGGTATTAATGCTTCAATACGCTTCACAGCCTGAGGCAATAATGCAGTGATTTTATGTTCTGTAACATTACATTCTACAAAAAGTTATGAAAAAGATCACTCCAGTGTTATTATGTAATTTGTATGTTGACTTGTTCTGAACATATTGGAAACTAAAATTTTAGGATGAAAACTTTTCAGTTTCAGTAAGTAGAATGTATTTTATTGAAAATTAAAGTTGAACATGGTACTCAGAGGGGGATACCATGGGGACTAAATGTGATCATGTTAATGGATAAAATCTAATTAAAATAAGAATAGTCAAATATGCATACAACTTGTTGATTTTATATAAGTTAGGGGAGTTCATATAGTTCTGAAACTGTGTTCACTGTTCACCCTTTTAAAAAGAAGTTATAACTAAGTTATAATTTTTCTGTAACTTTTTTGTACGTCGAGAAAAAGTTACATTTTAGTTTTAACTTTTCTGTACCTAAAATGGCCATTTTTAGATTTAACTATAAAGTATAACTTTTCTGGACTTTGTCATTTTACTGTATAATTTTTTTTGTACCTTTTGTCATCTTAATGTATAACTTTTTTGTACCTTTTGGACTTAGCATTTTCTGGTGTAACTATATGATAACTTTTCAGGACTTGGTCATTTTACAGTATATTAACTTTTTTGCCATGCATATTTTTTTTTTCAAATGTTTTACCTTTAAAGTTCAAGAAATTGATACAACTGCTAAAATTGAACAAATTATACAAAATAAGTCCTCTTTTAAATTTCTGGTTTGAATTTTGAACTGAATGAATAATGCAATGAATGTTAAATATATACTGCATCATCATGCAGCCAAGCAATATGCTTTGGCAAAGTGTATTGCTTGGCTGATGATGCAGTATATATATAACATCCATTTGAATTTTCTAATTTCGATTTATTTTCAGGTCATTTGCCAACATGACCCTGTCCAAGATCTGTTGTATAGGGGCAGGGTATGTAGGTGGGCCGACATGTACCATCATTGCAGACAAATGTCATGATGTGACGGTAACCGTTACAGATCTTAGTCAGGAAAGGATCAACCAATGGAATTCCGACAATCTCCCCATCTATGAGGTATAAACATGATAAACCAGCAATTATTCTGTTTTTAAGTACAATATGAACTATGAGCATTATATGGGTTATTTCCACATACATTCTTGCATAATTTAGTAAGAGAAAATCTTTCTACTTGAAATATCAAACAGATATTCGTTGTTGCATTGAAGGAACTGTAACATTTAAAACATGATCAATAGTGCAAGTCATGTGTGTAGGAAGGCTACTAAAGGAAGGAATTTTAAGTGTTATAAACCAAGCGGACTAGTGTTGCCTACCTAATTTACTATTAAATATGATGAAATACAGACATATTCTGCAACTAAGAGGAAACTTAATCTTGTTATAACTTGAGAACAATTGTCTTTAATTTCTACCTGTTTATAATTGTTCTTTGACATCTTGGCTAGCCAAGGGTGACGATCCACTCCTCTTCTCTCATCACTGATGGGAGTTAGCGATGGACACTTGGCTAGCAAAGATGGTACTTTGAATACAGACCCAATTTGAAAATAAGGATCATTTAACATAAACAATTATTGCTATTTTTGAGATTAATATGATGATTTAGCCACCTGAGGATTACAATATTCACCGATTTTCCAAGCCATCTGAGAGCATCTGTGAACAGAAAAAGCATAGGTCCCTGACCCCCCCCCCCCCCCCCCCCTTCCACCTCGTATCTATGTGCCTAAATTTTATGTTCACCTGAGTGAAAGTTTGTTGCAGATGAAAAACTTCTCAGAGCTAATTGTATCATTGAAAGTTCTCAATCTATTTTAGTCCAGTGTAGAAAAAATAAATCCTTATGTTCATCTGAAAAATCACAAGATGAACATATTGTAGTATTTTTCTAAAATGTGGATCCCGACCACTCAGACATCTAGGAATAATTCAATCATATAATAATGCAGTTTATGTCACAGGTACTTGTAACATTATAAGAGAGATGTATAGTGGGGTATTTTTGTGTGGAACGAAGATTTTGGGGTTTTCACGATTTTCTCGTATGGTACACATGATGAATAAGTGTAATAAATATAATTTGTGAAAAAAAGGTCCAACAGACCTCAAGGTTGAATTGCGGGGGGGGGGGGGGGGGGGGTTCCTGTCCACAAGTACCTGTGGTTTATGTGTCCTTTATTTACTTACTCTGTGCCTTTTGCAATTCATCATCGATCTGTTTGTTTGATTGTATAAATTTATTATAAAAGTTTGGAAAAACCCTATGTTAGTTTAATTAAGACAGCACAATGGAACTATGCCATATGGTGTTGATTGTGCTATGTTACTGGATAAAAATCAAGGAATAGGAGACTTCATTATTTAAAAATGTATTGTGTTTGTCATAAAAAAGGATCTTAATTCCACACTAGCTATATTATATGTAATAAATGCAGTTTCGGTGGTAATGCACATTCCCTGCCAAATTTATTCAATTACTGAATATCAGATATATGTATATGCACCTATCAGCTTTCGAAAAGGTTGCATGAAGAAAACTGAAATTGACTTTTTTTTCTGTTTCTACATTAGCCTGGTCTTGATGAAATTGTGCATAGAAGAAGAGGAAAGAATTTATTTTTTTCAACAGATGTCAAAAAAGCAATCATAGAAGCAGAACTTATCTTTATATGTGTCAACACCCCGACTAAAAACTTTGGACTTGGTAAGGTAGGTGTTTAATTATGACTGGGACACACTTATACCTACACTTGATCTGGTATATAAAATTTTATTTACCTGAGCTTAAAGCTTGTGAGATTTTTTTCTGATTAGAGTTTATCCACTGCTTGTCCAATGTCTGTTCTGTTTTCATACTTTTTTTTCCATTTTTGATGAATTCTCTGAAACTAGTAGATGAATTTTAATCTTCCTGGCAACAAATCATCTTTGGATATGAAGGACTGTGCCTGCTATTGAGTGAGATAAAGGATAGTGAAAATAGAATGTGCTTATCGGTACTTAAAAATCTCCATTTTAGATCAAGCAAGTCTGAAAGATCATTGAAACTAATGTAAAATCTTCTTAGCAGTCTACAATTGGTCATGTTTATATGTTTTAAAACATCCTAATGTAATGTACATTCAGATATATTCAGATCATGACCCATGGGCTTTGGGGGAGTCTGAAAAGTTTTAATTTGTTCAAGGATGTATATGTGTAGGAAATCTGTTGTCAAAATCTTCTTAAGTTCTCTTGAACAACAAGGTATAATTTCTGAGATTGATATGGAAGCAATCTGACATGTAAATGAGCATTCAGTTTGAAAATTCATAATCCTAGGGTTAGCATAGGGTCTCATAAGGAATTGATAATTTTACTGACAGAGGAATATTTAAGTGGAATCTTTAAAGATTTTTTTCCTACAGAACAGCAAGGATACAATATGCATTCAGAATTTTACAGTTAATGTAATTAATGTGCATTTTCTGCAGATTCAAGTTTGCTTAGTCATCGCCCTTTGACAATTTGATAGAGTTGTTAATACATTAGTTGACAAGTATCAAAACAATGTTGCTGAAGGTATTGCATTGTCAACAACTGATGGGAAAATTTTGAACATTGGTTCAATTTGATTTTATCTCAGAAGTATTTTTCTTAACCAAAGCAAATTGTTAAAATTCAACAAAGTATAGCAAACAACCAATATAAGAGATTTAATAAAGATACAGTAGTTATAATATTTTTTAAAAAGCAGCAACATCTCTTATTAACATGACATCAGGTAGTGTAGATTCAAGTTCATGCAGATTTAACTCTGTGCCTTGTGTTTATATTAAATATGAAGAAAAAATACATGTATTACAAAAAAATGAGATTTGATCAGTAAAATTTTCATTTAATTTTGAAAATATGATGTATGAATTGTTTTAAGAATTGTGTTCAATTTTGATAGGGTAGAGCTGCTGATCTGAAGTATGTGGAGTCTGCAGCCAGAATGATAGCAGAGGTGGCTAACCAGTCTAAGATAGTGGTGGAAAAAAGCACAGTACCAGTAAAGGCAGCCGAGAGTATATCTAACATACTGAAGGCCAATCACAGGACAGGAGTGCAATATCAGGTAAGTACATAGTTGGAAATTGAAGGCCAGTCATGGACAGAAGTGCAATGTCAGGTAAAGTAAGAATATGCCCTTGTACTGAAGGTCAATCACAGAATAGGAGTGCAATATCAAGTAAAAATTCAGATAAAGTTTAACATATTGAAGGCCAATCTCAGGACAGGAGTGCAATATCTTGGAAATTATAAACATACCTAGGGACTGAAGGTCAATCACAGGACAGGAGTGCAATATCAGGTAAGAACATACCAGTTGCTAAAGGTCAATCATAAGACAGGAGTGCAATATCAGCTAAGAACATATTTAGGTACTGAAAGTAAATCACGGGAGAATAGTGCAGTATCAGGTAAGAACATACCCAGGTACAGTCAAACATACTTAAGGCCTATCACAGGACAGGAGTGCAAAATTAGGTAAAGTAAGAAGACGTCCAGGTACTGAAGGACGGTAGTGCAATATCAGTTAAAGTCAAACATACTGAAGGCCAGTCACAAGACAGGAGTGCAATATCAACTGACAAGTAAAGTAATAATATACCCCAGGTACTGAAGGTCAATCACAGGACAGGAGTGCAATATCAGGTAAGAAGATAACCAGGTACAGTGAATGTCAAACATACTGAAAGCCAGTCACAAGACAGGAGTGCAATATCAGGTGACTCAGAAAATTTACAGTATAGTAAAGTAGTAGGGGAAAATAAATTTGCATGTGCAAAGGTGCATCTTTACCTCCTCAATAATTTATTATCTCTTTTCAGAGAATCTTAAATGTTTTTGATTTTCCACCAGATCTTATCCAATCCAGAATTCCTTGCTGAAGGAACAGCAGTCAATGACCTTTTACACCCAGATCGAGTTCTGATTGGTGGAGAACAGACAACAGAAGGAAAGGAGGCGGTAGAATCTCTCTGCTGGATTTATCAGCACTGGGTACCAAAGGAAAACATCATCACAATGAACACCTGGTCATCTGAACTGTCAAAACTAGTGAGACTTGTTACTGACCTATAAATATTAAGTTTAATATACAAGTATTTTACAAAGCATGCTCATTTGTATGGACATAATGTAGGGAAAGCTTTGCATTACCAAAGTTTTGATTGGTTTGAAATGATCTGTAGGCAGCCAATGCATTCCTAGCCCAGAGAATCTCCAGTATCAATGCCATGTCAGCCATTTGTGAGATGACAGGAGCAGACGTCACAGAGGTCGCACATGCAGTTGGGACTGACACAAGGATTGGCAATAAGTTCCTGAAAGCCAGTGTGGGTAGGTCATGAACAGCTGCATTTTAGAAAGAAAATCTGCACTAAAGTAGAAACTCAAAGTGATGATTGTCTATTCATTCACACTTATTTGTGATGCAATGATATATTTTTCAGACTACAAAGCACATATTCACAGAAACTGAAACACTGCACTTATGCATTTTTTAAGTCACTAAGTCAAGGTCATTCATATGAACATACTGTACATAGCTCTGACTTTTCACTTTTCTCATACATGGTTGTTCAAGCACTTCTATTTTGATGGTTTCTGTTTTAAACTGGGAAATTGACCTGGGTTTACTAAAGACTCCATTACTGCTTATTGAGACCTGTGATTGGAGTTCACACATGTTACAGGCTTTGGTGGATTTTCAGGCTTTGGTGGTAGCTGCTTCCAGAAGGATGTACTTAACATGGTGTACCTGTGTGAGTGTCTGAACCTACCTGAGGTGGCTGATTATTGGCAACAGGTAAGCAGGCGAGAGAAAATCACTTGGAGGTGTTCTTCAATTCATTTGTTTGCTACATGTACTTGATGATTCATAATTTACATTTTGATTTTTTTTTGTTTTGTTTTTGAAATTGTACAGAATAGTTCTAATTAAATGTGGAATATGCAACTACCAAGGGAATTTAACTATATGTTGATTACTTCACTGGTAGCAAACTTGTGAATGTACAATAATTTACATGTGGTTCATTTGCTTTGCATGCATTGTTACCACCCTTCTTTACTGTAAAAAATAAATCTTCACCCATGAAATGTGAATTATTTTTTTAAAAATCCCTATTAAAGAAAAGTTTTTGTGGGTAATTACATACAAGCTACATGTATATGTCATATAGTCCAATGCTTCCAAGAAATTCTTTATTTCAATGATGTTTTTCACAAGAAAATTTTAGATTTGTAATTATTTCATATTAGTCATAGAAAAACAAAACAACTAGAATATTTAAATCAATTGGATTTATATGTAGGGTTTGATTTATTAGTTACATTTATTTCACTATTTTATAGTATTATTCTAGGCTGGATTTTCAGGATAGACCACCAACCACTAGTGAGGAATAATTAAGGAATGTTTTTAAGTTTTGTGTGAGATATTGGTGTGTAAATCACACAGACTTGTCACTAGGCATATTTCATGAAGCGCGCTAGTGCTTCATGAAAAATATGCCCACGTGCAAGTCTGTGTGATTTACACACCAATAATTAACACTAAACTTAAAAACAATCCCTATATTTACATTTTACATGTTCAAAAGCACCAAAAATATACTCAATGTTTGAATTATTCGCTGCTCTATATCGTTACATTTTTAATAACGTCTCCGTGGCTCATTGTGACATCACTTTAACTTGAGTTTCTCTGTGCATATTTCTACACATGAGTATACATGAAAATGGCATTCAAAGCAATTTCACACTTGGTATAGTAGAAAAATATAGCAAATGTAAATATACTGAATTAGCTCTAATTGCATTGCAGTAAATTTGCCATAAATATTAGACTTCTGTTTCAAATTTTCAGGTCATTAACATCAATGAATATCAGAAGAGAAGATTTGCCAATAGAATCATTGAGTGCCTGTTCAACACTGTGACAAATAAGAAAATTGCAGTGTTTGGATTCTCATTCAAGAAAGACACAGGTGATACTAGGTGAGAATTGATTAAAATACAGCAACTCGAGATCAAACTCATGTTTTTTGATGTTAGCATATACTGTACATGTAGTAGTCACTAAGTTCAAACTCAAGTTTCTTGATGTGAGCATACAAACATGTAGTAGTCACTCAAGTTCAAACTCAAGTTTCTTGATGTGAGCATACAAACATGTAGTAGTCACTCAAGTTCAAACTCAAGTTTCTTGATGTGAGCATACAAACATGTAGTAGTCACTAAGTTCAAACTCAAGTTTCTTGATGTGAGCATACAAACATGTAGTAGTCACTCAAGTTCAAACTCAAGTTTCTTGATGTGAGCATACAAACATGTAGTAGTCACTCAAGTTCAAACTCAAGTTTCTTGATGTGAGCATACAAACATGTAGTAGTCACTCAAGTTCAACCTGCTCTCGAAACTTATTACATGTATGTAGCTAAATTAATGAAATGTTATTTAAATCTATATGTACCTGAACACTTGGAATGCATTTTCTTTACCCAGAAAAAAAAAAATAATAGAGGTAATGAAGAAAGAGATATGACCCTTCTTGATTTGAACAGTTCAAACCAAGATAATAACATTCATTCCAAAGATAATGTAACAAAACGGCATAGCTAGAATTCATGGATATTGGATAAGATCCAAAATCCTTAATAACAAGAAAAACATTTTTTATTTGATACATGGTACATGTATCAAATTTTATGCAAACCTGCTGCAGGTAAAACACATTGGAGTGAGCTTCTAGAAATTGAAATTAAGGAATGGAAAAAAATTCACATAATACCCTTCAGAGTAACAAAAGACTGTTAACTCCAATGGTTCCAGTATAGGATTATAAACAAAATTTTAGCAACAAATTCATTCCTATTCAAAATTAAGAAAAATGACTGTAAGTTCTGCAGTTTTTGCCACACCGAGGAGGAAACAATAGAACACCTTCTGTGGGAATGCAATAGTACACAAATTTTTCTAGAAGAATTTGTTCATTTACTTGAAGATAAGACAGGTCTAAAGATTAGAGTTACTAAGAAATCTTTTATTTTAGGGTTTATTGATGAAAACACTGATGTTCAAAATGCTATTCTTCTTTGGCTTAAATATTATATTTATACTGCAAGATGCACCCAGAAACCTATTAATGTACATACTGCAATATCACAAATGAAATTTCATTATGAAACACAAAAATTTATTTCCTATAAGAATGGTGGAAAGGAAAAGTTTGATACCCAGTGGAACAGGTGGAACCTACTATTCTCTTAACTCTCACCCTCTCTCTCTCTCTCTCTCTCTCTCTCTCTCTCTCTCATAAAATAAAAACACACTTCTGCTTCTGAAACTTGATGTATGTATATAACGTTATGTATGTTGTGTGAATAAAAAAAAAAAAAAAATAAATAAAAAAAAAAAAAAAAAAAAATTTTATGCAAACTTTTCATTACATTTAGACTTACACCATTACTTGAAATACATATAGTAGCTGTAGCAGAGGAAACTGATATTGAGTGGACCCCATACTCCTGTTGTGAGGGGGTTTGTACATAGCATTGCCTTTTTCGTTGAGAGTAACATGAATACCAGTACTAGAAGAAAAATTGTGTTGGTCTCCCTGATGAAAACTAAAAAGTCAGGATTTTTTAAATTTTGGTTCAAACCTAACAGAAACCTTAATACAATGTATTTGTGTATTATTTTGGTGTGTGATCCTAACATTTCTATTTGCAGGGAATCGGCAGCAATCTATATTTGTAAGTACTTAATGGACGAGGGTGCTAACTTGAGAATATATGACCCCAAAGTCACAGAGAAGAAAATATTTGGGTAATTGAATGGTTGATTAATGAAATTGTTCAACTGTAGTATAACAGTATTTCATTCTGTAAAAGTTTTGACCCACATTAAAAGTAATCTGATACATATTGTTTGTCTTTTTTATCCATTAATGATTTTTTGCCAATTTTATTTTATTTTTTTAGTGAATTAACAAATCCTATGATGTGTGAAGATCCAGAAAGAGGTATAAAAATAATCCTGTAAAATGAAAGAAAATATTCAAGACCTATAAATTGAAATGAAAATTAATAAGCAGCACTGACTGGTTTCACCGGTTTTCATGCAGACAAATTTGATATTGAAAGTAACATTATCAAAAATGCTAGTGACATTAATTATGTTCATAAAAAATTAACAAATGATATAAGAATTCTCAGTTGTTATGAATGTATCCTTCATTTTACTTTGACAGTGAAGGAATTGGTAACAACATACAAAGATCCGTATGAAGCTGCAGAAGGAACTCATGCATTAGTTATCTGTACGGAGTGGGACCAATTTACAGTAAGATGATTATATCTCCTATAGGTGTCAGTAATACTGATATGGAACATCCACAATAAAAACTGATTTGTCTATCCATTGTCTCACATACACTGTATGCTTTATACTGACCAATTTTTTTTTTTTTAATTGAGGTTCAACTTTTCAAGCAGTGGACTTTAAAGAGGATTTTTTTTTTAGTTCTCCCAATCAAATATTAAGATATCTGTAGTGCTGTTGTATTCGTAATAACTGTTATAGAAATATTGACTCCTGAATTGATTAAGAAAAACTTACAAAGTTAACATGGATACCTATCCTTTACAGTTGAACTTCATTAACCCTGACGCTTGTGTTCCATAACATATCATCCAGATTGATGAGATAAATAAAAATAAATATTATCAGTTTTATGTTGTCTTGTTTCAGACACTAGACTACAGCAGAATCTATGAGAAGATGTTAAAGCCTGCTTTTATTTTTGATGGCCGACTCATTTTGGATCATGAAGCCCTGATGAAGTTAGGCTTTCAAGTAGTGACCATTGGAAAGAAGTTGCAGCGTTCCAACGTTCACCGACCTTTTTCAACATCCACTCAGAGCTGACTACGCTGTTAGATGTAGTGAGACTGTGATAGATCTGGCTTTATTCACGCAATTGCTAACCTAGAGAGCTATTGCTTCAGAAATGCATAATAACACTTCTGCAATAATCATTTCAATTCATGTCATGTTTTATTTTTTCTTGTATTAGACTTTGTGCATGGGATCATGCTTTTAATGTAAAAAAATAATGCTTTTTTTTTCTTTAACATAGCCTATATTTAGAGAAGAGGTCATATTAATAATTATACATGTACTCTTTGAATGTTACATTTATTTGAGGTTATATTGTATCTCTTTTATTTTTTTGGTTGCATTTATGTTTTACATTTCCTGAAAAAATTGTGAGAGAAATCTATGGATTACTTTTCAGTGCCATAATCATAAAAGGGATGTACATCGAACAAGTATTGCATTTTCATTTTTCCATTATTTGTTGTGTGGTTATAACAATGAAGAAATAATATGTCTAAGATTCTAATCTGGGTTTTAAAAAAACTTTTGCCTCCTCGAAGCATTGAAAACTGCCAAGTTCTATTTTTTATGGATTTTTATATTTTTGTAACTAAACTTAATCAAAGTTAGGCATTGAATAGTTGATCAATATATTCATTATTTTGTTTATAATCAAATGTATGTATGATTTTGATAACTTATCCAGAGATTGAGTACCTCCATGGTTTAACTACACTGAGAGTTGAATCTACTTTGTACAATGTAAATCCACACATCAGAGAGTATTTATAATTTTATATGTATATTAACACTAGATTTAAACTCATAGATTAAGATTAAATTCATTGTAATGTTCTTTCTCAAAATCTGGTTTATACATTGACTCAATTAATTATTAGAAGTTTCAGTTCTCATGGCATTTACTTTAATTTTGATGTGTTTTTGTGGAGCCTATATTGTACAGTCAGACACCAACATCTCGCACATGACAGGACAGATTTTTTTTTCAATTTATACCAGTCCATTTTATTTTTAAGTTGGGACTCAAATTTATGATTCAAGGACCTGCTTTCACATACAGTTGTATCCCAAGATTAGATGTGCTTGTGTTCAAGATAACAACGATCATTAGTATATGAAAACTTTCAATAGAAAAGACTATTTTCAGTATTTATGATGTAGTTATATTAAAAATATATTTAATCTCACAAAAGAATTAAGTTGTTGTGTAGATTGTTTTGAAGTATTATTGTAACCAAAGATTAGGAAAATATATACATGTTTGATAATACTATTTTTAAAGGAAGTACACTATAAATTTTTTTGGCTTTTAAGGGTTGTTCTTTATTGTATAAATTTGTTATTTTTTTTTGTATAAAACATCAGTTAAGTCTGTGATCTACAAGATAAATCCATTTTAAAGAATTGTATGAAGAAAGAATCATTAGTTAATACATGTACTAAAGTGTTGAAGGATGGGATCTATGTAAGTGAGTGTATAGCATCATGTGATATACAGTACTTTCTACGCATGCCTTATTGTACTGGCTTATTGCAGTTTAGTATTGCATTTTATATATGTATATAATTATATAAATGTATAAATTAATGATTTAGAAAAATTCTGTCATACATTGTTGATTTATGTATTTTAGTCAAAGCATTGTTGTTATATTGAAACCAGATGTTTTGTTTATTGTCAAAACATCACACAAACTGAATATCCAGAGGACAAGATTTTGATTAAAATCAAATATTTCTTGCTGATTTGAAAGTACAGTAGATACATATATATGTAGTTAACTTGAATATAAAATGAAATCAGATGTGTAACTGGTACTTAGTTGGAATAAAATGACCCCATAGGATACATGCATGTATTTGTATTTGATAGGGATGTTGTTGAAGAGCTATACATCAAAACCATTGATTTATCAATATACCTAAAGATTAAGAGCACTAGGTACACATGTTAGTAGTCCAACAGACCCTACCTGTACAAATGTTTATTAGAAAAGGACCTATACCAGTGCAATTGAGCTCCACACATTATGATGTCATAGGATTCATAATTAATATGAACTTGCACAAGAACTGTTAGATTATAGATACTACGTACTCAGTTTTTAAAACGTTTTTGCTTTTCTGATCTATTGTTGTTGTTTTTTTTTCATTCAGACATATTAATTTTTTTTTATCATTATCAATATTTGAATATTTTAATTTTTGTTGACCAATTTTTTGTTGGCCAAATGTCAAATAATAAGCAATTCATACAAATGTGTACTTGTACATGTATTTGTTGTTTTAAATTTAAAAATCTGTGTAGATAATGTTTTGTTTCTAATACATGTACATCTGTGTAATGTTATACATGCATCTTGCCACCTTCCTAAGCATGGAAGTTTTGCATTTACATCTGACAATTTTTATGAATCTAGCTATACATCTTTTTGTATATACATGTATATGTACAATGTAGATTTTGGTTTAAGAAGAAAAGACATAAACCAAGATATAGTGTCTCTGCATTTTTTTCTCAAAGAGTTAAAATGAATTACATTTAACATAGGGTTATCATCACTGATGAGTGAAGAGGAACCAACAGAATGGGACTTTTTTTAATATACAGGAATAAATAAGTCATGTGGTTGGGAGTAAATAAGTCATGTGGTTTTTAAGTGCATCATAATACAACTTCTCCTTTATAGGAAACAAAGAGCAGTCTATGTATGGCAAACATAACACAGGAGAGTATTATCAGTCTTCACTATCCTCACAATGTTGGGGATCTGGAGTCCATTCGTGGCTGATCACGCATAGACCACTGATGTTGTGAGGATGCATCTAGACAGGTCTGAAGACCATAAACAGACAAATGTCAAAATTTCAAATTGGTGTATCTTTTAATTGATTTAATTTTGACAATTAAAAAAAAAATTCACCATGTGTTTGTAAAAGTATTAAACAAGCCTGCAGCTTTTTAAACTCCGTGACTGTTAAATAAAAATCAAGATATTCAAATTTTAAACTTTGAATGAAGTCCGTTTCTTGGTTTTCAGCTCATTTGGGCTGAAGGTGATCAAAGTTAAACATAAAAATATGTAGGGGGGGGGGAGGGGGGGATCTGCAGATGTAGAACAGCAGGACCATAGAAACTCAGGGGAGCAATGTGGCCTATAGACCTCCTGTTCATTATACTTACAGAATATGTATTCCTCAATTTCATTTAGAGACACACATTGACTCGCTGTGTATAAGTTGTTCCTCAGTTCACATGGAGATTATAAGTTTTGTTTTAGTAGCTAAGAAAAATATTCAAGAACACAGATTTCAATTTTGTAATCTTCAAAATTTATTTTCGGTAGAGTTTCATAATTTTCATATTCCTAGAGCGTTTCTGACTATAATGTTACTAAAACATGTCTACAAACTGATTTTTATCTGAAATATATATATATATAAGAATTTGGAGTGTTTTTGATTGCGTTCATATACTTGCCCTTTCATGAACTAAAAATTATCCTTACTATTCAAGGGAAGTGACAATATGATTAATAAAAGCTATTCAAACTATACTCAAGAAAAGTTCTTTTTTTTTTTTTTTTTTTTTTTTTAAATGGTAAAAAAGCAAAACGTATAGTCGATGTGTTGTCAGTGATGTGAGCATACCTTCAAATCAAACACATCCATGCTTGTCATTGAGTATTTAGAGTTTTCATGTAAATTCAAGGCACTAAACTGAAGCTTTTTTTTTTTCAAATAAAAAACAGACGCAAACTAGTAATGGAAGTTTTACCAAGCCTTTTTAATTACAATCCTTGTAATGAACTTCCTCTATGTTTTCACGAAGTATAGGCAGTTTATTCTTTTAGGGAAAAAAAGAATGTTTTTAAAAGTTTGTGATGCTAGAAGAAGACTATTCATAAAGTGCATTTAGTAGTGATGGGAAATCGGAATTTTTTTCATAATCGATTATCGAAATAATCGGATGCACTATAATCGATTGATTTCAAGTATTTAATTTGTTCATTTTTAAATGAAGAATAAATGGGTAAAAAATTCAGGAATGATTTCTGAAATGCACTTTTGATTTATTTTGTATCATTATACTCATTTATTAAATTATTACTTAGTTACATTCATAGAAAAATGAATGAAGAATTCATACTGATAGGAATAATTTGCTTTTAACTAATATTTTGATTAATTGATTATCAAAATTATAATCGATTATCTATAATCGGGGGCCATTTCGATAATCGATTAATTGGTACATCACTAGCATCTAGGCAATGCGAACTTTAACGAGGTTCGTTCCTGAGCTTTTGAGCAGATTTTTGTTTAGACCTCTATTCAAAAAACTCTGCATCAATTTTTCTATTTCAAAATCTTTACAGTCTTGTTAAGTTTGGATTCCTATTTTACATGCAGCCTGCACACAGAGTTGTTTTGTGCAGTGAAATGTTTTATGCTGGTCCTATATAATATATTAAATTAACCGTCATGAATTCTATTATCATATTGGACAAATATAGCAAATATATTGTGAAAGTCCCTGGGAAAAAATAACCCACTTTAGGCTAAAAATTAACACTATTTTAGTTATATCTAAAGATTAACATCACAAACCCCGACTTTTAATTTTATTTTCTTAATATACAAGATAATTTTAACCATTCTGTTTAAATTCAGAAAAGTGTCATTACTTTCAAATGATTTCATTGCTTGTTAAATTTTTAATGCAAGAAAAATGACTTTTTTTTAGTGCAAAAAGGTCAAACAATTGACTATGCGAAGTAATTTGAAACGTTTGTTGTCACAAATTTTAAAGAGACTATTCAAGAAGAAAACAGACTGTGTTTGTTCCAATAATTTATTTGGATAAAAAATATTAGAGAAAAAACTTTGAAAATTTATTTATGTGTAAGACGTAATTACAGTGCAAAAAGGTCATATTAAATGCCCTGTAGCGCCAAAAGAAGCGCATTGACCCCCATTTTTGGTTTTGATTTTTAATTAAGTTATGTGTATAGATTCCAAAAATATACTAGATAAAAAATTCTCAATACTTTTGATAACAGGATCCGTAGTAAACGCACCAATGCATATAACTAACGTCACAAGTAGACGACGTCATAGTGGTTATGACGTCATAATAGTCTAACATAAGCACAGTTTGGTCGTCAGGCAATAACAAAATGGGTCTGTTCCAAAGTTGCATGCGGAAGAATAAAGTGGGCATCCTGTCAGATGAGGAGGAAGCTGCCTACAAAAAGATAGAGAAGGTGAACAACGAAGATGTGGAAGAGGAGGTTCACACTCGGACTCCAACTCTCCTAGATGTCATGTTTTGTGTGACATCAAATAAGGTTCATAGCGATTCCAATAATATCGAAGACATTAGATCAGAGGTTATCAAAAAGAGTGAGTTGGTGCACCCCACCTACAAGTCGAGTGTTCCCAAACTACCTCCAATCAATGGGAACATCATGAGAATCCTGATTCTTCCAATTGACGACGAGGCCGATTACCAGAAGTGGAAAGGTAAAATAAAATCTATTTAAACTTCTCAATTAATTTTGTTATGAAATTCATAATGACTGATATTATGTATAAATATTATTCGATTGCAGATGAAACTCACAAAGTTCTTCGGGAGAATGGTCTCTTGAAAGAAGACAAGCTGGCGGAAAGAAGAAGAAAACTGATTGAACGGGGCAAACTGAAAATCTAAAAAAGAAACAAATACATTATCATAATGTAGTGAACAACATGGAAGTGAAAACGTCCAGCTATCATGTTCAAAAATATTTATTCATTTACCTGCATTTATCTGTTTATTGATTTATTTCATCCAATTATATTTTCATTCGTTTATTTTTTTGTGTGAGGACAGAGGGGACACCCGAGCTATTTTAACAGTTGACAAAATATTTGGCTTTAATTTGAATTATTTTCTTTGTTTCTTTGGATTATTTACTTATATTTGAAATTTTAAGGATGTGGGTCTCGAAGGCAGATCTGAGGCTCACACTGCTGACCAAATTTACTTTCTCAAAATTACTTTTTTGGTTTTCTTTTATAATCACATTGCAGAATTACCAGAACAAAATTAATTCACATCTTTCGGAACTTTCGACCCAGGGAATATCCATTCCGCGAACAGAAGGAATAGTGTTCCCTGTCAAAAACGTGAAATGATTAATATCTACTTCTATGTTTAGAGATGTGTAAAGTACATAAGTTCCGTTGTCCTCTCTTGTTTAATTTATAAATTTTCTGAAATAAATGTGTTTTTTTTTTATTTGAAAACAAAACAGGAAAAAAATGAACCGCTTCAGACTGAAGTGGTTTAGCTCACCTGGGCTGAAGGCTCGGTGAGTTTTCTGATCAAAATATATAGTCTGTTGTCGTTGTGGGGGGGGGGGCATATGAGGCAATCAACATTTCTGATTAAAGTCCTGTGCTACCCCAGATTTCGCTGCTTTATCATGTATAGCCCAAATATACTTCATGTAATGTATAGGAGCATAAACCGAATGCAATCAATTCATGGGGTTTCAACTTCATATGTTAATCAGTTAATGTAATGTATGGGTGCATATATCGAACGCAATCAAATCATCGAGTTTCAACCCAAAATTCGAAGAAAATGCACCACATTTTATTTACTAGATCTTTAAACATATTTTTCAAATATGATTTCAGCACTAAAAGACCAAGAGAAGCAAAGTTTAACATAGGAATCCCTAAGCTTTCAAATACCTAATTAAAACTTGAGTGGCAACAGGGGAATTTGTATCATACTGACGCATCTACGGCGTCATGGAACATTAAAAAAATTATGAAAAGAATTGCAAATGCATCCTTTTGTATTAATATATCAAGTTTTATTGAAATCAACACAAAACTGTTGGAGGAGTAGAATTTTGAAGGAATTTCACAGAAATTTCTATTTTAAGTAACCATGGCAATAATGTTTGTTTAAATCAAAAACAAAAACAATGAAACAATTACAAAGAATATTTTATCTTACTTGTGTACCAAAATTAGATAAAAACTTTTGAAGGATAGCATTAAAAATTTTATTAAATAAATAGAGACTACAGGCAGATCACAAACATGTTACCAATGCAAAAGCTCCTCTGACATTCAAGAGGTACATGTAGTGCAAGAAATGAGCAAAAACCCTGCTTAATATAAACCAAAGGCAAACACAGCTTAAATATAATGTAACAATAAAGGAAATGCATACTAGTATTTCAATGTATTGGTATCTTCACAAATTTTTTAACAATAATAGTCACATTAATTTTGGAATCATTTACAATGTTTAAATTGGCAATTAACGACAATTGCATATATTTTACATGTAATCACTAATAACAATAAGTTTATCATGGTCACACTCTCTTACATGGTGTGATGCATCCCATTCAGCTTACTGATCAATGATCAGTATTAACATGCATTTTAAGGTCCTTTACATCTTTAAATTCCACAGCACACTGAGTAACAACACATCTATAGGGTAATCTAATTCCTGAATGCTGAGCCATATGCATCTGAAGAAAACTGTTCATTGTGAAAGACTTCTGACAGATATGACACAAGTATTTGTTGTCGTGGCTTTTTATGTGATTGTTCAGTGAAGCTTTATTATCAAACTTCTGATGACAAATTAAACATGTGTCTGAGGACCAATTATGTTTGTCAACATGAATCTCTACATGCTGTTGAAATTTCACAGCTTTGGAAAATTGGACACTACACACTCCACACTGATAAACATCTATGACATTCTTCCCGTGGATAAGTTCATGTTTCTCCAATAAATCGCTTGACTGGAAGGTTTGTGAACATACAGAGCACATTAAACTCTGCGCTTTGTTGACCATATGAGATTTTTTATGAAGATTCAGTTGTGAGTAAGCATGGAAAGATTTGGAGCAAACATCACACTTATATGGCTTTTCACCAGAATGAATTCTCACATGAGTATATAGATGATCACTGAACTTGTAGGTTTTCCCACAGGTAGAACATTTGTAGGGTCTCTCACTTGAGTGTGATCTCATATGGCGACTGAGCTGACTCTTCTGAATAAAACTCTTGTTGCACTTCTCACAGGTGTATTCCTTTTCACCTGATGAAAAAAATGATTTATTCAATATAGGTATATTGTTTAGACAGATGCATCATTTTTGGAGTCTGTATTATTTATGTGACAGAATGTAGACTGTTGATATGAGTCATTTGTATGGATGGCAAAGGTTTACCTGTAGTTGCATTATACAAGTGGATGTACAGGTATGTCAGTGGCTCTGGTTTTTCACATATAATGGGTCTTGAGATGACTGAAGCGAGTTTACAGATAAGACTTTTGTGAAGAATGCTATGATAAGATGTGTTGAGTTGTTATGAATTTTTAAAATATGTGTTGCCTATGTAGATTGCATGCGACCTTAATGTTATGTGTGCAGAGGTTGTCAATCTGTCTACATGGTTGAGGTTACCCTTTTTTTTGAGTGTAGAGATGATAAGTATGGATCATGGCTATGTTTAACCTGTGTGTGATTTGTAGAATGTAGAGATGATAAGTTATGGATCATGGCTATAATTTACCTGTGTGTGATGTGTAGAGATGATCTGATAGACTTTAGTTTAACCTCTGTGTGATTTGTAGTGAGTGCAGAAGTGATCTTTGATACGGCCGTGGTTACTTGTGAGTGTTTTGTAGAAATGTTCTGTGATATAGCTGTATGAGACTTGTACTGACAGTAGCAATGATCTGTATAGATAAAGGGTGTACCTGTGTGTAGAAATGTTCTGTGATATAGCTGTGATTTATAAGTATGTGACTTGTAGTAAGTGTAGTGATGATATGGCCATGTCTTACCTGTGTGTGATTTGCAGTGGGTATCCAAATGGGCCATTTGTGTAAAGGTCTTTCCACACATGGTACACTGATATGGTCTAATCCCTACACAAAAAAGGTTACAAACAAATTGTAAAGAAGAAATCAGGATGTGCATAATTAAGTTTTTAATATACTAGATGGGATAATTTCAATCATTTAAAACAAAGTCAACACTATTAATTCCTAAATTTTGCAGTCTTCTTGGCTGTTGGAAGTTTCAGATCCAATGAATACCATCACAAACATCAGCCAGTCTTAGTTACCCCCTGATGGCAGAATTTACAGTAACAAATAGTAAAAGTGAGGTCTATAATTATGGGATTACATTTGTTTTCATGATTATTAATCCAAATTGAAAGATATGTATAACTAGATAATTTTTAAAAGATCAGCTAAATCAAGACTGTCCCTTTTTTAATGTCTAAGTCAGGTGTGTATAAAATTTTATTTACTTTGACATGTTCTATAACTGATGAGGGTTTTCTTTACTGATGACAAACGTTATACATGAAATCACTTACTGCGGCTGATATTGTGGATTGCAAAGCATTTACATTTCATTTTGATAAAATGAAACCTTGATTAATGGGATCATTTGTAAGGTACCTACTCATTAATAGGGATGGGTATCGGCAAAAATTTTGTATCATGATATATCAGTATTTTTTCTCAAGAATATCACGATAAATCGTGATATCTTTATACACAAATTTTACAACAATTTCAAAGGAATTTCTAAAATTTTTCTTAAAAATACGCTATAAAAACATAACTTTACTTTTTAAATTTTCATTTATTTAATATAAAGCATGTTTGGATGCCACTGTTTAACTGTTTCAACATTTTTTTTACACTTCCTGTAATTGTCATTCAATAGTTTGAACAAATAAATGAATAATTTCCGGAATTTATAGTTATGTACCAAATACCGGTATTTTAGTCTCCATATCACGATACGTATCACACAATAAAAAATCGCGATATACCGGTATACCGATAAAATCGCGCATCCCTACTCATTAAACAAAGAATTGCAATAGAACTGTACCAGACATAATCAAACACCAAAATTTATACTTCTCTCTTGTTATTATTTCCTAGAGCAGTCCAACTCTAGATACTATAAATAGTTCAAATTAGAATACTGAAAATGGTCTAGATACTTAACATAGACATTTCTAATTAAAACTTGATTATCAATATTGCACATTTTTGTTATAGCATTCTAACTTAGTAGAATTTTCCATATCAAATCTGGAGAACAAGCCAGGGAAACAGTAAATGCCCCCATCAGCACATCAACCATTTTAACAAGTGTGCACCTGACCAGTAGTTACCTGTGTGTATTCTTAAATGTCTTTTGAGGTGACAAACTTGAGTGAAGCCCTTTCCACAATCTTTGCAGACATTCTTTTTTACACCATGGCAGCGGACATGGAGATATAAAGTCCTCGAGTCTGGAAAACTCTTCTTACAATGTTGACAATTGTGTTCAGCATCTGTTTGTGAGCTGTCATTTATGTGGTCCTTAAGGTCTGTCATGTTTATTTTATGCACATTTCTAGCTTTTAACAACTGAAGAATGAAACCTGCAAAACAAAACAAGTGAAAAAAAGCAGTGATTGCTTCTCAGATTTCAATGTTTCAGAAATATTCAGCACTGTATTTACTGTATACAGGGAAATCCCCCCAAGCTTATTTCTGCTCCTTTCACCCTCAGAGGGCATTAGAAAAGAATTAAAAACTGGATGAATTCAGAGACAGAATTTAAAGTTTATGGTATTGGGACCAGGGCAAAATCCTTTGAAAGTGTGATGGGAAAAAATAACCCTGCATACAACATTTTAGTGAGACAGCCACAATATGACTGTTCTGATCACAAAGCTAAATACTTTAATAACTATTGTATAAATATATTGCTCATATTAAACAATTTTATATAAATCTTTGTCGTATTCAGATTAAAAGGTCTGTATCCGTATCCTCACACCACAGCTTGATCATAATCAGAGATTCCTTTGATCCCTCCCCCCCTTTCGGCAAGTTGTAAATCAGACGAATCTGGATTAGCTCACTAAACAATGCTAGTTTCCATTACCTACAAATGAGTGGTAAACAACTGGTTAGTTCTCATTCTTATTCCAGATAAAATGATGCAAAGATAAAGTATCTGGCTGTCATCACAACGGTGACGACCACATGCCGTCATGCGGAGTAGATCTACAAGACGAAGTTGTGGACTCCGATCCCGATATGAAAACATGGAGCAGTTTGCAGTTTGAACAGAAATAAGCGATTAATCTCCATTTAAATTTTAAGCATGGTCATCTAATGCTTTTTGATCTTTTTTTTTTTTGAAAAAAAAAAAAATAAAAGTAGTAATTAAGACTTTTTATCTCGTTATTACGACTTTTTATCTCGTTATTACGACTTTCTTACATGTATGTCTTAATAAGAACTTTTTAACTCGCTATTACGACTTAAGAAAGTCGTAATAATGAGATAAAAAGTCTTTAATACGACCTAAGAAAGTCGTTATAACGTGATAAAAAGTCGTTATTTCGACTTAAGAAAGTCGTAATAACGAGATAAAAAGATAAAAAGTCGTAATTACGAGATAAAAAGTCGTTATTACGACAATCTAATTAAAATTAGATGTTAGATCCGCTCGCATACTCGCTACACTAACGAGTATGCGAGCGGATCTAACATCTAATTTTAATTAGATTGTTATTACGACTTTTATTATTTTTTTTTTCCATTTTCCTTATTTGACCCTTCTAGGCTTTGTGGCAACGCACTTTGAATTTTTTTTTTCAAAGTGCGTTAAAATTGGGACAAAATCAACGCACTTTGAAAAAAAAATTCAAAGTGCGTTAAATTTGGGACAAACTCAACGCACTTTGAAATTTTTTTCAAAGTGCGTTTAGAGTGTTCATCACATTTATTTTACCATGGAGACACTTAAAGCACTTTGAAAAAAATATGTATAAAACAAAAATTCTGGACTTAGATTTTAGAAATAGAGAGCATTAATTTGTTATTTAGATTTTAGTAATAGAGAGCTTTAATTTGTTACATATCTTTCGAAAAACTTATAAATTTATTTACCCTCATCGAGAACGAGAAACGGGTAGGTCTCTCAGCCCAACTCTTTATCTTTCCTTTACATACATGTAGGTGTCGATAACAAATTGAAAGTTGGGGGGGGGGTAATTGAAAGTGGAATGGGGGACTAAATTAAAAACCAGTATGCCCCAATTTTCAATGCCTATATTATGTATATTTTTGCAAAAAAGGTTGGGGGAGGGTTAAGCCCCCTAGCCTCCCCCCGGTTCCGATGCCTACACGAATTAACTTCTATGGTTTGCATACGAATTGACTCCTTATACATGTATACGAATCGGTTTGTGTACGAATTAGTTGTAGGCGTAATTTAATGAATATTCATGAGGCGAGAAATAGTTATAACGGCAAATATCAGGAATTAAACTTTGCGCCCGTCAACAAAATGTAAATGAAATAACTTCAAGGTATTTGTTCACCATGTACATTTTATATTTGAACATCAAAACAACCCCACTTTCATTACTTTGTCTCTGCAAAAATCGCCGCTAGGGTCCCCGTGATTTTACACTGTTGTTTATTCATAGCCCAGAGTGGCAGCAATAGCCTGTGGCTATTGTGGCTATAAATAGCCACCGTCTAAAAAATCTTTTCTTGGCAAAAGTTAACCTATGGTAAAAAAAGAAATATTGTGGTTTTCTTTGGTTTGAACCCATGCAAGCGATAAAAAACTTACTGATATTTGATAAGTTTTTGAAGAAGATGGACGAAAAGCTAAGCAAAATGCTTGTGGTACGACAAATAAGAAAGTGAAACATTTTATTTCGATTATAAAAAAAATTTCTTTGATATTTCAGTTTACTTTAATTTATACTTTATGTCAATGTGATATTGCATTGCATTTCAATTTTTTTTTTTTTTTGATCATATGATTACATTTCGTTAATTTCGAATAAATTGTATTAACACCATGGTCTCCTTGTATGCATGTGTGTTGTGTGGGGTGGGGGTGGGGGTGGAGGAGGCTTATATAGCTTTGGGTCACAATGCTCACCTGAATCGTCTCGCACTGCAGACGACTCATATACTAAGTAGTGATAGTCTTTGAATTTCTCCTCTCTTTTTTTCAGACAATATGACATATACAACTACACAATGTCAGCGGTTTACTCTATACCACACAAGGAATATGAAGATTATTATTAATTTGACGTGTTCTACTCAAAAGTGAGATTTTAAAAACGAAATTCAGCATGAATTTGCGTGCTAAAACACTACTTGTATACATTTCCGCAATGATACCGTGGAATGCTTTTGAATCGGTGTCCTAGAATTTTAAGCATCATGTGGATTTATACTCATGATTAGAATAAATACAAAGGAAGATTTTTACTCCAGATCAGTTAAAATATAAAGGAAGTTTTTTTTTAATCTTTCAAATTTATAGTGTTACGTCAGTACAATTATAAAACAATGATAAAAGAAACTTTGCACTTACGAAATATACTACAGACCACTATGGTTCTGAGATACATTATCACATTATCTTAGATGTAAAGAAAATCCTCTGATTCTAGATAATTCTTAATGAACGTAAATGAAGACAAATTATAGAATAGAATAGAATAGGATTTATTACCAAATCAGGGCCCAATGGGCATAAACATATAACATGTATAATTACAGATAAGATAACAGACAGAATACAACATATAATGAAGAGCAATTCTTCCCATTTAGTACATTGGTGGTGTTTTGAGTTTCACATGTAGACATAGGTTGTCTTTATTTAAGATATATTTGTACTCTTAATTGATACAACTTAATGTGCAATGATGTGCATTACTATCACTAATATTATACATATAACTGAACACATAAAAAATGTCTGATACATCAACAAGAGGCAGCAAGAGACGGTGCTAAAGGATATACAGAAATCCACTTCTGCCTCATGTAGAATAAACAGATACATAATCTATGGAAATGAGTATTAAAAAAAAAAATAATGATAACAATAATAATAGTATAATAATAATAATAATAATTAAGAAAAAAAATGTATGTTGAATGGCATGTGTAAATTACATTAAACTGCAATGGACAGAGTCAGTGCTGAAGGATAGTATTATTATTTTAATTAATCCACTTCTGCTCAATGCAGAGTATACAACAACACACGCATATTAACAACATAACATACTGTAGTATAAGCATTAAATCAAAGTACATGTAAGTAAAGTCAAGATCAACATGTGACTTTGAATTTGTCTAACTACACATGACTTATAAATTCACACAAATTGCATAGCACATCAACATCTTCACAGTTCATTAACCATAAAAATTGGTTACTTTTAGACATACGTACTATTAAAAAGATGAGATCTCAGAGATATTGTGGAGAGTAAATTAATTCTTGATAGACTATGGCATGGACAACCCAAAAGAAAATGTATTTCATCTTCTACCTCTTTTAATTTACAATTGGGGCATATTCTCTCTTCTCTTGGTATACCATTATGTCGACCTTTTTCAATCATCAGATTGTGAGAAGAGATTCGAAATTTTGTTAAAATCTTCCTTTTCTCAAATTTTCTTAAGATTAATAAATAAGGTTCTAGCCCAAAGTTTTGTTTGATTGTGCAGTAAGTGTCTAACTTCCCACAAGTACTTAATTGTTCCTTCTTTTGATACCACTTTTCAAGAAAATATGAATTAAGAATGCGTTTACAATGATATTTAAAGGCTGATGTAGATGATTTCAGATGAGGCATTAACTGAGGAAGAAGTTGTTTGAATATATCAATAGAACCAAACCATGATAATTTGTTTTTGTTGAAATTGGATATTGAGGCAGAATATGCAGCTTTTAATAGAGGATATGTGTCATCCAAATTTTCTAACCTATGCCAGTAATTCAAAATATGCTGAACAATACTGAAACTCATAGGGTGTCTACCTAATTCAGAAAGAACAGCAAATTTTGTACTTTTGTTATTTACACCTAATAAAAATCTACAAAACTTGTAATGTAATTTCTCACAAAGTGATTTAGCATATAATTCATCCAGTGCAACAGGTCCATTTCTAAATCGTGCCGTAGTGGTGTTAAGCGCCCCCCAAATTTCACTACCGTAAAGTAGTATGGGTTTTATTGTATGATCATATACGTGTAAAGCTGTGTTTATTTTAGGGTTCAATGATAGGAAACTTTTTTGTAATTTAAAAAGTGCCTTTGTAGCTTTTTTGTAAAGTTCATCCTGAGCAAGTGTAAAACTTCCAGATGCAGTAAAATGAATGCCCAAGTATTTATAAGAAGCAGTACAATCAAGAGGTTCTTTGTTTAATGTGAAGTTTTCTTTCAGGTGTCTACCTGCTTTATTAAAAATTAGTACTTTGGTTTTCGAAATGTTTACATCAAGGCACCAGTCAGTACAAAACTTTTCAAGACAATTAAGTTTCTGTTGAAGACCTTTAGAAGACTTGGACAATAAAACTATATCATCTGCATACATTAGACAGTGAAGTAATTTGTCATTTAACTGAATATTGTCATCTGTAATATTACTGAAGTATTCTGGAAGATTGTTGATGAAAATTTTGAATAAATTTGGACTATCATTGAAAAAAATCGTTTTCCTATAAAGTTATTGTGTTGTTGATGTTGTTGTACGTATTTTCTCGTGCAGTATCTTAACTTGTTCATGTATCTTGTGGGTTAAATAATTACCGGGGTTGCCTGGTATTTCTAAACATTTCGTCACAGAATTTAAGTCTATATATGAACCTTCTGACTGCCTGGTATCTTATTAATAGACACAATTTTTATTATCATGATTACTATAGTAATACAAAGTATTATTATTTAAAAATTGTGTTCATAATTTTTCTGTTCGTTTTAAAATTCATTCATTTTAAAAGGTTTCAAAGAATAATCCAATGTAAGTATCACTGGTCGGGAAAAATGCACTGCACTATCACCATATGCTATCAGTTTTTTGAAATATTTAATAACCACCCAAACCTGTTTTGAACGATGACAAAAGATAACTTGTAATGCAAGTAAGTTAAAAGCCATTTCCGCTCTTTCAAATTTAATTGGAAGGAAAATTATTCGTGTTAGTTCAATGCCCCGAGGGATGACATTGACCACTTCCGGAAATAAACATCTAAAATAGTTTAGATATTATGTTATCATCCGGGATCTTCTGTGTCAAAGGTTACATATTCAAGATGTCGGCCTATGTCAACGAAGTGGAGAGGGTGTGTGTTGTTTTCTTTATTATAAGCTGCTTATATACTAATTTTTTATTTATTTATAGACATCTCTTTGATAGATAAATAAAAAATTATTGATTTTGATCGATTTTGCGCAAAAGCTTCCTCGGAGTGAGAAATGAGGAAGGTGTAAGTTTCGGGTGCGCCGAGCAGGTTCCTCGACTTCTCAGCAGGGATTAGTAGAATATTTTGGCTTTTGTATTCAGGTTCTTAAGATGAATTACATAGATAATGGTTGGTTTGCAGATTCATATGGATTTTCTTTACTGTTTGTGTGTAAATTTACATCACCTTCCAAACTGGAAATTTTATGCAAAACCATTTTCTTCTGCCAGTCAGTGGTTCCTATTGTAAAAGTCATATTTAAATTACCAGGTTATTTAAATTGGATAAGATTAAACAGCTAACTGTCAGTTATTGGTTGATAGAGGGTAAATTATTTAAAATTCTGAATAGCTTTCAACTCAATGTATGTAATGTACCCTCTCTTATCTTCACCCTATAAACAGATTTATGGTGTGTAGAGGCTTAAACCCCCCCCCCCCCCCCCACGACCATCACCACCAATAGATTAATGACAGGTGGTAAAACTGTGGTGTAAACCCACTGTGCATTTTAAGGATTTTTACTTTATTATGAGTCAGATGTCCCATCCCTTTTCTTTGGTAATCATTTTCAAAAATGTTGTTTGGCATGTACAATTTTTAAAGTATCTGATATGATAAACTTTTAACTGAAAACTTTCTAGGTGTCATGATTTCATGCTTTGTTTACATGCAGCAATCATGTTGATAATTAAAATGCTATCAAGTTGTGACCTTACACTGTAATATTAAAAGGGTGCAGGTACATCAAATGATAGATATATAAAACCTGAAATGCCCATTGTTAGGGGTGGATATAACCAGAAAAATTAGATTGTGATATATTGCAATATTTGGTGGAGTACTATGATAAATATTGTGATATATTGGATTTTTGCTGTCTATTTCTCAAAAAAAATTCAGTTGACTGGTCAGAGATGTATTTTTATTTAATACTTTCAATTAAATTAAATAGTGAAAATACCCTATCTTGGTTCTGTAGTCCTTTTTATTTGTGTTGAAAACAGGATTACATGTATCTTTGGTGAAGACATTTGAATTGGCTTACTTTATGTGCATAAAATATAAGTTACCGCCATAGAATTCACTTGCACATCTTAGCTTTTCCCTTATTGTTTTTAATATAAGTGTACTCTAACTTTGTGAACTCATGATAGTCCATATGAACTCATAAATGCGATCCAATTTTTTCGTCTGCCATTTTGATAAAAGTATTCAAGAAATTATGCGAATCAAACTTATAGTTTATTTAGAAAAACCTGGTAATACACAGTGTATAGTACTATAGTACTTAATCCTTTTTACTCTCCAGGGCTCTAATTGGGGATTAATTTTGTCGCCAAGTCAACTAAAATTTTTTATTGGCACCTAGTATTTCTCTACAAGTTGGCAAATTAGCGACCATTTTAATTGACTTGGGGATTGTCAAATTCTGGAACTATCAACATTTTTTTTTCTTAAGAGAAAGAAAGAAGTTTAAAAGTTAGCAATGGACATATCTTACGTTCTCTTGTCAACTTGTTTGTTTTTTTAGTCTCGAATGTGTGAATGGAATTTCGCATCGCATCATGATATCGTGTCAGTGCACACAGAGCTCAGGTAGACGTGAAACGCAGTAAATTGGATGGGTGATGTGGTCAATTATTTGTCAATTTAATTCTCACTCATTAAAGATATCGTCTAGATATTAATGTTAGGTCATAATTGTACGAACGAACATAAAATGTAAATCGTATAAACAATAAGAGTATTTATGAGAACCAAGTTTCTTAAAAAGAATGATTGATTAAACTAAAATTTTTTGAATAGATAAGATTTTACAATCGTTGCAAATTGAGACCAAAATGTACAATCCTCCCTCGTTCTGGCCAGTAGGAGAGGGGTGTATGTGGACTCTGGTCAATGGCTTGAGACGATGGGGTTTTACATGCATGCTTAAGTTTAAACCTTTTGGCATATAGCTGGCTTATATTTCTTGTCAGAGAAATTAAAAAAATTATGAGTTGGAATGCATGTGATATATACAGATGATAAGACTTATCCTTACAAAAATTTTTCATACTTTCCTTTGTTTTTTTTTTTTTTTTTGAGTGAATGATTAAGGTAACTAGGTAAATGTTATAACTGTTTTGAGTATTTTTTGATATATTATTTGCTAAATGTATTCAATCTAAACCTATTATGATTGAAACAGCAATATCAGTTAAAAGATTCGCTCAATGTTCATTGTTCTTCTTTTTTCCTTCAAGGTTCCAAAAAAGTAATGGGTAAAGACATTCCAGTCTGGATGACAGATACCCCTTACAAAGGGGTTCTCAATACATGTATGTATTTGTGAGTACTCTGTGATATAAACTGTCCTCCTCGTAAAGATGACTCGCCATGACGTCATATAAAAGTCCCCGAGCAGAAATACTAGCAGGAAGCCGTGTTCGCAGTGGAAGTGCTTTCTCTGATGAAGGATCTCAGAAAGAAAGCCCAGTGTCATCCAGAACATCTTCACTGAATTCTTCCAACATGGAGGGCAACACAGTTGGAGACTCTGCACTAAGAGGTAGATTGTTGTATGGGTCCAATGTAAGCAGGATGAAAGAGAAATTTCAGCAAGGGTCCAGGAAACCTGAGGAGGCAAGGTCTCTGTCTGCTAGCAGGGCAATGACATCTGAGGGTGATCGCTCGCCAGAGACCAAAAGGAAGAAAACATGTGATGTACAGTCTACCGGCAATATGCAGACGGAAAATAATCAACCCAACTTGCATGATGCTGCAAATCATGTACAGAGATTTATGTATACCAGAGCCCTGTTTGCAAAAATGGAAGAAAAAAGTAGAGCCCCTGTGGAACCTGTCCAACTAACCCGACCAAGAAAATTGTCCTCCTCTGCGACAGGTCCATTATCTCCAGCCCTATCTCCAGATCATACTAAAAGAGCCCCCTCTAAAGATGCAACAGAGAGAATTGATAAAGAATACCAGGCTCTGGATTCGAGCAACACAGGTGTAAAAACAAAGTTTGAACAAAAGAGCACACACGCATTTAGTAACATGGCTGGAGGACTACTGTGGAAACGAAGGCAGTATGAAAGTAGAGCTAATCCAGAATATGCCAGAAAAGAGGATTCATTGGGAAAACAGAATGGAGAGATGGGGAGCATGCTTCATCGAGGATATGATCATTCAATATCATCAAGGGGAATGGGTGCAAGGAAAATCCAGTCTGATGAAAATTTGTTATCCAACAGTTCCAAGCAAGACATAAATGAACCAGGCACTCTTAGATCCAGATCAGATTCTTTAGAAGCAGCAGGCACTACTCAGCATTCTTCATATGATGGAGAAAGACCTGTGACATTACCCCGAAACTATAAACCTTCTGAAAGTGTTGTAATGAGACAAAAGAGGTTTGATAGTGATGGAAGGAAGGACAGTGCCAAAAGATTAAGTAAAGAAGAAATTCAGGCTGCAATTAACAGAGCCGACTCCTACTTATCCCACAAATCAGAGACAAGCAATGATTTTCAATCAAAAAGACGTTCATGGGAACTGAGAGAACAAATGTCTGATATTTCAGAAGGAAGTCTGTATGGCTGGACCAAAAGCAAAAATCAGAAATTGTCTCGTTCAATGGACTGTTTAGAAAACAGGAGTAATGAATCCTCTATTAATTCAGAATATAATAAAGAGATAAAGTCAGAATGTGTGGGTCATAGGGAAGAAGGAAAGTCCCCATTGGTAGGAGAAAAAAAGAGTGTTTCATCATCCTCCAGACAAATTCCAGGAAATAAACCTCCCATACCAAGTAAGCCTAACATTACACTGAACACAGGATCTAGTAGTGATTCCTCTGTTTTGAGTAGTGCACCAGCCCGAAGACAGTCCCCTGTCCCCAAACGAACAGCACCCCCACCCCCTAACAGGACTCCTCCATCACCCTCTAAAAATACCCACCCACCACCTCTCTCCCCTACTAGTGATTTAGTAAATGAGTTAAATGATCAAGGGAAGAGTGATTCTTTAAAAACATCCCCTGTCAATGAAAGTGTTGAGAAAAGGGTCATTAGTGAAGCAAAGTTGGACTTAAAAAGTGTGAATTCTCATGATAGTGCACCGCATGTAATTGACAATGAAAGTGAAAGGCCTTACCAAAATGTCACCAGTTCAAAATCAGGTATGCTTGAATCTACTTCATATTATCACTCAGAAAGAGACCAAAGGACTACATCGCCAAAAGACATTGAAGGAGAGATTGTGCCAAAGGAGTCTACACTGGTTAATCAGTCTGCCCACTCACCATCTTCTGTGATATCCAACAAAGGAGTTGACAGTGACTCAGATCTCTATGAACCTGTGATTCCAAAGTGCCACTTGCCACCCCCACCCCCTTATCCTAACCCCCCTCCCCCACCATATCAGAGCCATGTTTCTCCACCCAGTTCGGGTAACTATTCCACTTCCCTGCCTTCCATGGTAGACCAGCTTCCTGCCTCACATCACTACGAGAATGTGAAATCCTCTACTTACGTTAATGATGAGAACTGTCAGGAATTGCGGAACGGGGAGTCCACGCCACCAGTGAAGAAGCGCCCCACGGATGTGCTGACAGAGGACTCCAACAAATATACAAGAACAGGGTAAGTGATATTAAGTAGTCTAACAGTATTATACCTGACAGACACACTCAATTGTCAGCAAAGGTGCCAAGCTTGACAGAATATCTGTCATAAATTTTTTTTTTGCTGAAATAATTGTCTTGTGGTCAAAATTCTCTTTTAATGGATAGCAAAATTTCAACTCGTTAACCTTTTAGAACTATTCTATAGCAGTCTGTTAATTCAAGGCTTTGTTTTTGTCATGTAATACTTGTAAAAGAATTTTCAGAAAGTCTGTCATTTGTACAAATTTTATGCTGAAATTTCCTTCTTGTGGTCAAAATTCTTTTTTATTGGATAGCAAGATTTCAACTTGTTATCTATAGCAGTTGGTTAAGTCAAAGCTTTGTTTGTCATGTAATATTAGTGTTAACGAGCTGAAATCATAAAATTAAAACTTTCAATCACTTTTGTGTTTGTATCTATAGACAATAGAAATCATAATTTAAGATTTTGATGGATTTTTTTGTTTGGATACTTTGCTTTGAGAGGGATGTTGCAACAGATAGTAAACATAAACATGATTAAAAAGTTGCTAAACATATGAAAAGTAGCAATTTCAAAGTGGATACCTAAAGGAATTTCTGTGAGTTAAAATCATGCTTATTGCAAGAGGAGCTAGTACAAGGAAAGAATTTTACAGTCAGAAAGTAATAAAGTTTTCATTTTCCATAAAGCTGTATGATATAATTGTTGTAATTTTATTTTGTTTTTAGAATTAATCCTGGTAATTTAACAATTACAATTATCATATATTTTAATATGTATACATCAAGCAGTTTTTATTGGCAGTACTAAAAGGCGCTTGGCACCTAAGCTGTCAGTTTTTTGTTTTTTCCTTGGCGACATTGTATTACAGGTTTTAATCATATTTTGTCATATATGCCAGTAATTGGTTCAGGATTTAGGGACTTCCTTACTAGTTTACATTCCACAGTTTTTTCCTCATTAACTCCTTATAAACTACTAGCAATCATTGTTCCTATTGATAAAGTGCAAACATGGCATCATAAAGATGAGATGTTTGAGAAACATAGTTTTGAAATTTCAAGATGTAAAAGACATGAAAATAATAAGTGTTAATGGATTGTTTTTTTTTTTTTTGTTTCTTTGTTTTTGCATTTTCATGCTGATCTAAATTTTCATAACCATGATAAAGCTTTAATGCTATATGACATTATTCTTCATTTTGTTTGTACCTTTAATATTTGCTTTTAATATACCATTGTAATGCACATAAAGTAATTAATTAGTGAAATTAGAAACAGAAAAGGAAGGGAGGTCAGGGTATTATTTGTTATTGGATGGTGATACTTGTTTAGGTAAAAAGAAATATTTTGATTAGAAGGAAACACTATAAACAGAGATTAATCTTATGCCTTCTACAATTGAAAATAGATTTTTAGTAAGAGTGCTTGGTCTTGAGAAATTTTATACTGGGGGTGGGAGAAGGGGTATGTTTTTCCATACAGAAAATTACATCAAGCAGTAATATATATATGTACCTCTTACATGCAGGAATAAATATCACACAAAAAATACAAAGTTCTGAGAAATTATCAAATTAACAATGCTAAAGGTGTTATGTACTTGAGCAATGGTTATGTACTTGATCGTTTAATTAGTGATTAATAATCCAAGATTGAGGCACTTGAAAATGTACTTCCTTCAGTCAAAATTTAGAAAGCTAATAGTTTATTGGAGCAATTAGGGGTTGTAAGAAACTTCAGAGCAAACACATGGGTCATATTTAGTGTTCATGGCTAATCAGTTACCCTGGTAATGGGATAACCTTTTCTTTGTGCTGAGGTGATGAATGTACACCTTCTAAAATTGAAAAGTTTATCAGTCAATTCCCTCAGCGAGTCAGTGCAGTAGACAGGGATTTTGTTGGATTGCATGTATCCTTGTCGATTTTTGCCTTTGAGATTATAAGCTTTAGGTCTAAGAATTTGGCTTATCGCTCTTTATCTGTGGAGTTTATATTCTGATGAGATGTATTATTTTTGTTTATCAATATAAATACATATAAATCACAAAAGCCTGGTATATATTTACGTATTATAAGGAAGTTTATATCACTGTTGTGTAAGATTTTTGAGAAGAGTAGCTTTCATGGAGATTTTTTTTTTTTTTGTGAAAACAATATGCCCTCTCCATTGTATATTGAAGACAGATGTGAACCAATTGCAGACAGCCAGAGTTACATTGTATCCAAAATTCCAGTCGCTGTTTCATTCATAAGTGCTTGAAATTCATGTTCAAAAGTTCATTGCTATGTAGTGGAGAAGGGATCGTTTGTGTTAACATGGTGTAATGAGGAAATTTTATCTAGTGATAAATGTATCGAAATAAAATTATGATTATTATTGATAAACCAACTAGATTGACTTTACTTCATATCCAGGAAAAAAAGCGAAAGTAAGTCTTATTGTTTACTTTTCAATAGCATTATATCCTGCAAAAATTGTGAAAGTACTTAATAAATATTTGATCATATTGTTCAATGTGTATTTTTTCTGTGTACATATTTAAAGTATATAATATATATGATATGAATGTAGAAGTATGGAATATAATGCCTTTCTTTTTTGTCATAAGTATGTAAGCATGTAAATTCAGAGTATTTAATAACACAGTGTTGAATGAATAAATTGTAATCTTTTAACAATGATTTACTATTTATTATATAAATTTTTTTTTAAAGGGGGGGTGTGGATATGATTCTTGCACTGTACATATTTAATTGTAGAAATAGATTTCCCCCCCTATATTTTTAATGGTTTTAATAATTAATGGTAGATTTATACTAAAGATGGAAACTTTTTTATGGAGATTTTGTCTTTTTACATTGTTCTACATCTGATTTACAGCTCTAGGAGTGGTGTGTACTCAGATGCCAAGACCGAGATCCCTCCCAGAGAGGCAGGGGATGGCCACGAGGAACCGGACACTGTCCACTCAGACAACCAGGCTGGTCAGTATTCAGAAAATTGGGTGACTAATGTAGGTATAGAAAAAATAAGTATGATTTCAGTTGGTCAGTGAAAAATGTCAAATGTTAAGTTTAATGTACTTGTAAAATACTATGTGATAATATTCAGCATTCTATTCCTGGGGGGTACCCACTACCCAGGTGTTAAAAGCCTCAGTTTTATGTGTAAGCTATAAATGTTTAGGGTTATTCAGTATTGTTATTGAGATGGGGCATTTACCTATACAATAAACATCATAAAAATGGCCAAGGTCAGAGTTTGCCATGTGTAGCATGGGTTCTGGAAAGGCACTAGGAATTGAGGGATCCAGAAAAACTAAATCAGGTCAAATCAGGGATGTATTTGAATTCCGTGATGGCTATGCATTTAATTTTGTACTTCGTCCTACAAGAATCATGCAGCAAATAGTTCAACAACATGTACATGTAAACACTTAAGTTAATTGATCAGTATTTGAATCATCTCTTCTAGTTTCAACACATATATTAATGCTCTAAAGATGTTTAGGCTGGATGGTGTTTATTCTTGAAGCTGAAAAGCTTTGGAAAAACTTTCTTCCTGATTTACCAAATTTTTTTTTTTAGATTAAATGAAGAATATTATTAATAATTTCAGCATGAAAAATGATTAAACACAATATTGTAATAAGCTCTCACTTTCACGAAATATTTGTTGCTAATTTTTTTTTCTTTTGCTCTGTTTTTCCAGAATTCCATGATTATGTCAGTGTCTCGCATGACTTCATAGAGATAGAGGGTCTGGACAGCACAGATGAATCGTCGGATGAAGAACAAGACTACAAGAAAACAACTAAAGTCAAGTTCAGCAGGGCCCCAATCAAGGTAAAACACCAGGGTTAATTAAAATATGAAGTAAAACATCAGGATCAAAATAGAAGGTAAAAACATCAGTGTTAAAATACAAAGTAAAGGTTAAAATCAAAGGTAAAAAAGGTAAAAATTAAAAAAAAAAAGGTCACAGGTAAAAATCAGGGTTAAAATACAAGGTAAAACATTAGAGTTTAAAAACAAGGTAAAAATCGGAGTTAAAATATAAGATAAAATGTAAGGGTTAAATATAAGGGTAAAAACATAAGGGTTAATAATCAGGGTTAAAATACAAGGTAAAAAATCGGGGTTAAAATACAAGGTAAAACATCAGTGTTAAAATACAAAATAAAAATCAGGGTTAAAATACAAGATAAAATGTAAGGGTTAAATATCAGATTAAAGACATAAGGTAAAAAATCAGGGTCAAAATACGATAATAAAACATCAAGGTTAAAATACAAAGTAAAACAACAGGGTAAAATACAAGGAAAAACATCAGGGTTAAATAAAAGGTAAAGTGCCAATGCTAAAAAACATCTGAGTTAAAATTGAGGACTCTTTTGTAATTTGCTGAGAAAAAGTTAGTGTGTGGAGAGGGTGAGAAAGCCGAGTGGCAAACATTGAGAGTGTGATGTGGTTATACTTAAAGATATTGAAATAACAGGGTTGTTAAAATTGTACCATTATTGGCTTGATTGCATTGGATATATTGTGGTGAAAATTTTCTCAGATAATTAGCTAGCTTGCATGCATGTGTAACGTTTTTCAAATACGTTTTGTTTCCAGTTGATCTAAATTAAAACATGTATTTAGATTGTGTTCAAATTTGTAAAAACAACATAACTCACCAGTCCGGAGTTTTTTGCTGAAATTCTGTACAGTTTTAATTCCTTTGTGCTGATTTGAATACTGTGTCATTTTTCACAGCTTTTTCACACATTTTCTACTGATGAATATGATAGACGAAATGAGGATGTTGACCCAGTTGCAGCCTCAGCAGAGTATGAATTAGAGAAAAGAGTTGAGAAAATGGATGTATTTCCAGTTGATCTAATCAAAGGTATATACCTAATATATACTTTTAGTGAGATATAGCTGAAACTTAATTTTGATAGTAACTTCTAGATGTTGATGTAAGTTATATTTCTCAAAAAGTGTCATTTTTGATAAAATTCAGTGCATGCTAAATACAGTATGGAAAGTTATGTACTTATCATTAGTAATGTACATAGCTATATGTGTGAAATTAAAAGCTGATTGTAGGGAATGTTTATGAAGTGCTTAAATTCCAGACTTTGTCCACAAGTTTTATTACAAGCATGCTAAATTGCTAATTAAGAAAAGAAGACTGTGAACCATACCTATCTTTCCATGATGACCTCTGAAGTTGTTAATTGTGTTAATCAAGATCATTGACCTAGTTAAAGTTTCACTAAAGGAAACTTGCAAAGGAATTAAACGTTTGATCAAACAATTTACATAATATTGGGAGAGACTTTGTTTCCTATCCAGATGGAGGAAATAATTATATCTCTGGTTAAATTTTCAGAAAAAATAAAATTCTCTATCATTATGAAAAATCTAGAATGATTAAAAATGCATATCAAAATAAAGAGTAATTGCAAGAGGTTATATTTGCAGCAAATAATGTGTTTTTGAAAAAGTGATATACATATAGTGTCTCCCCATACCTGTAAATTCCTTTTCAGATATGAGCTTCATATGAAATGAACAATGTGCAATCGTAAGCTATAGGGACATGTAAATTTGATTTCTTAATTGTGCTGGTCCTTGTAGGGACATTAGTTCATCAGACAGATTGTTCGTGTGTGAACTAAGGAAAAAGATCAAATATATTTCCTGTTAGTCTTGTAATTTTGTGACGCTTAACAATGTGTAACATTAGGAATAAACTACACATGATCTTAAAGAGGTAGGTGTTTGAGAAGATTTAAAATGAGATTATTTCTTTGCAGGTCCAGAGGGGTTAGGCCTCAGTATCATTGGTATGGGAGTAGGTGCTGATGCAGGGTTAGAAAAACTGGGAATATTTATAAAGACCCTGACAGAAGGAGGCGCTGCTCAGAGGGACACAAGGTAGGGATCTGTTACACTAGATAACTATGTTGTGGCCTTGACCTTCACTGTTACATACTTTTGCACAGAGGCTGAACAGATTACCTATATAAATCTCGTAATGTTCATTGAAGGTATTTGGGATATTTCTTTGATGCTAGGAAATAGGAGTTTGAAGAAAGATGAGCAGTGTACAATAGGCTAATGTTTTCACTTAAGACTGCATTCCCTTTTTGTATTCAGTATGCATTAATGTATATGTGATCTGAGTATGATGTATAACTACCATAACTATTCATTATAAGAGTCTTGTAAAGTTTTTCTTTTTTATTTAGGATATGATTTTGATACATCTGAAACATTCTGATAAACAGACAGAAAGAAGCAATGGCATCTTGATCAGATAAAAAATAAATTTTTGTTTGCAGTAGAGCATAACAAAATTTCTTATGGCCTTACACATTAATCTATTCATCTTGTCAGATATTACTTTGATGTTGGTTCATACGAGGCATGTTAAGTAAATATCTATAATAGTTTTTGTGTTTTTGCTTTTCTTTATCATTTTTCATTAGGAAATAGTTAACAAAAAATCCTTCTCAATGTCTGTTAAAATTTAAGGTTGTTTTTATTGCACCCTTCTTCCAAAAATTAAAACAATGTTGGATGCCCTGCACTATTTTACAAAAAATCCTCATTCTCAAATATCTGGTAATAAATCAATCAAATTTTATAGCAGCTGACCATGGTCAGAAGTAGGTTAATCAAGCCCAGACAACATCTTGTTATAGACAGTGTTAAGCTTATCAGTGAAGCTGTCTATATGCCCATCAGCTCTCTGACTTTAGTGACCCATATTTCATGCCTGCAGTGCCAAGTTATGAACTTTTTATTTTCTCTCAAAGTAAACACAGTTTTCTAATTTAGCCCTTGTTATTTAAGCTGTAGAAGTAAAATGAGTGATTTTATAGTAAAATAAATCAACTCAAGTATTTGGGCAGGTATATTTGGTAATTAGGAATCTTTTTTGGTTTTATCTATTCTTAGAATCTGCAGGCAGCAAATTGTCAGGATATGCTATTTCTGTACTGCAAACCAAAATATTCAGCATATTTTAGGTGATTTCTTCAAGAATTTAAAGTATCCAAGTATTGGAAAATTTTAGAACTCCGTTAAAGAAAAAATGTTTATATATGTTACTTTGCAAATGGAAATGATTCAGTTTTTAAAATTCTTAGTTTTTTTCTTTTTAATTTATCCACATTTTTTTCTGGGGAGTAGAGTGTGAAAGGGGTGAAAGTTGGTGATAAACCAGATTGTTCTGTATATTTGTTGATGTGAATAGTGACTCAGATGTTAATGGAATTGCTGGGGGCCTGGGTAATGCAGTAAGGAAAAAAAAACTATTTATCTTGCTGTGTTTTTCTTGTGCTACTTTTTCCCTTTTTTTGTGCTTGTAAAATTATGACAGAACATCTTCATATAGAGGGAGGCTTTAAAAAAAAAAAGGCTTAGTCTTTGAGAGAAATCTTTCGGGCAGCTGTTAGTCTTAGGATAAAGAAGTCCATCTGTTTATGAGTTTCTTAATGATTCTCTAGGACAAGATATTCTTGGCTGATTGTAAGGGCATTCCTGACTACTACAAGCATGTGTGATAAATATGGATGTACAAGTTCCACATGTTTTCAGGGCAGTTTTTCAGGAGAATATGTCTTTCATCATGTATTGCCCACTTTGAAGAATCTGTGTTTAGGTGAAAAATTTCCATGGAATATTTGTGAGATTTCCTGAGCATAAACTTCTTTATTTTTTGTAAAATTAGTGTTTAAGGAATTTTTTTCTGGGGAGTAATTATGAGACAGGTAAAATAAGATGTAGATTGTTATTGTGTAATTACTGTTTAACAAAATTGTTTCAAGTGCAAAAAAAAATGTAAAAAGAAGTTTTTCCAATTTCCAGAAAGAAAAATAAATGCTGCAATCAGTAAAGTTTGATAAATGGGTGTAAAATGACTAAAGTACCAATCCATCTCTTGATAATTCTGGAGTTTATGAGGTACATTAGAGAGTCAGTATAATACATGATTCCTATTTCAGATATTTGTAGACTGCACCCATTTTTGTTAAAAAAAAAGAAGAGGTTTTGTTTTGAGAATGAATGAAGTAATTCAAGATGTTTATGTGCAAGGCAGATAGATAAAAAAAATAACGTAAACCTGCGTGCCACTGTTGATCTTATTTTATCTTTAAATTTAGATATATTGAAAATGTATCATTTCTCTCTGAGCAGGTGTATAATGACCTTATCAAAACACATACCTTGGTAATAGTAACAATGTCTTGAACCACCCAGGCAGTTTATTATAACTTATCATAAGGAAAACAAGGAACAACAAGGAATCTTGCTGCAAAATAGTGTAAATGTGGTCATCAAGTAGAAAAAAAAGCTTATTGTTTAGCACAATAACAAGGATTAAAGTGAAAAAAAAATATGATTTAGTATTTATTGATAGGGAAAAAAAAATTAATACATGTACCAGATCTGGAATAATAATTTAATGTTGAAGTTTCTCACTGAAGCACATTTGAAATGAATGTAAATAATTTTTAGTTAATGAACTACTGGTACTTTCCTATCTCAAGATGTATCATATATTCTTATGATGAACTACGGGCATGTAAATGATTCAAATGGTACTTTCATTTTAAAAGTGGGTCAAGCTGCAGTCTCTTGATATATGAGCGAGAGAGAGAGCGAGTAATGGCAAAATATTTATGTGATATTTTGTTCATATGTGCCAGTGGAGCAAATGACTGTTTGGCTTTCAAGTCCATATATTTGTACATATTTGCTTCTAGCTATACTTATTTCTGAGCTAAAGAAGTTTTTTTTTTATGATTTTTTTTTCTGTAGCAAATTCTTTCAGATTCTTTCTGTTTATATTAATCTAACTTTAGAACACATTTTATTTTGTAGAATTCAGGTGAATGATCAGATTATTGAGGTAGATGGTAAGAGTTTGGTGGGTGTAACACAAGCTTATGCTGCCTCTGTGCTGAGGAACACAAGTGGAAAAGTGCAGTAAGTGATATATACACAAATAAGGTAGATACTACCGGCATTTCATTAAATAATATTGAAGAAAGCAAAACTTGCACATCAGCAGAAAATTGTAATTGAACCATGTGTAGAAAAAGCATATATACAATAGGAAGGTAATCTTGCGTTATTTTGTGAGTTACACATGCATATTTTCTGTGCACTAATTATGTATAGCCTACTGTAGATATTTGCTCAACTGTACAAAGTTGGAGATAGATAAAAGAAATGTTCTTGCAAACAATATATAGGGGAAAGTTGGCAGATTAATCAAGTGTTCATGCAAAAAATGAAACTGCACATGTTGGAAATGTTTCAATGAACAGATAGAAAATGAACTGTAATTATGGGTAACATTATGTAATACACTACAAAACTCTTCATTATTTGTTACATCCCTTGAGATTTGATGATTAATTTTTCTGTTCACGATCATTATCTTATAAAAGAATACCAGAACATTATGGAGAACTTCACAAAACAGAGCATCTTGTGTAGGATGTTATGTTAATATCAGCCTGTATCTAGGATGTTTAAAGCATCAATGTATCAGTCTAATGTTCTCCAATAAGGTAAACTGTGGTTCTATCATTGACTCCTAGAGCACCTGGTATTTTTTTTGGGGGGGGGGGGGGGTATGAACTGGGACTTGCCAAAAAAAATGATGGTACATGTATAGAAAAGTCACAGGCTCCTTAAAATGTAATATTTTGTATAATTATGAATGAGTATTAAATAAAATCTCACTCCCATAGAGTTTGAAGGGATTCATCATGTAAAGCATTGATAATGATGCAATAATACAATCCCTGAGTACAAGAACTTTGAAGGTTAATCATTTAATTTTTTTTAAATTTTAGATTTATGATTGGGAGAGAAAAGGACCCGAGTAGAAGTGAAGTGGCTCGTTTGATCCAGCAGTCTCTGGAACAGGATCGCAAAAGAGAGGAAATGAAGAAAATGGAACAAGATAAACTCCACCGTCAACTAGAGGAACAGTTCCATCCTCGAGACGAGGTCATGGAGCATGAGCACATGAGGCGGGTATCGGAGACCGGCCGAGAACTGGATGAGACAGATGAGGAGGAGGAAGAGGAGGAGGAAGAATACGAAGAAGATCAGGTGGTGGATGATGACAAGGTTTGTGTTATAATCATAAATAAATATAGTAAACCAAAAATTCAGACATTTTAAAGAATTCTCTTTGCCTGAATTTTTAGGTATTGAACAAAACTAGCCATGAGGCTCAGCTTATTTATCTATGTAGTAGAGAGCAAGACTTAGATACTATAAACTTTGTCTAATGATGCAGGACATTGATGAATCTGAGAATACAGAAGAAGACAATCAGAACAATCACTCAGAACAGGATAGCTCAGCAATGGATATCCTGGAGACTGCAGCAGGGGATAGCACCCCACTAATGATGCCCCCTGACCTGGAGGGAGAAAGCCCTACTGACTCCCCCGAGGAGAAGCCAAACATGGAGGTGTTCGACCTACAAGAGAGTAGTAGCGAGTCCATATCTCCTGATATGGAGTCTCAGGCTTTGTTTATTAAACTCAAAGAGGTGAGGTTTTGAAACACATCTTTATGCAATTACATGGAAAATGATAATACTTCAAAAACAGTCATCATTGAATTGTTCTAAAAGTTGAGAATTATTTGACAGTTACCTGTAAGAAAAGTTGTAAGGTCATCCTTCATGTAAATTTTTTCAGAGGTCAGTGTTGTGTTTACTTTAACCTGCTTCATAATGGCAAGAAACTGTACATAGCTTATTTGAAAGTGAAGGAGAAATATGTTTCAGAATCCTCTTTCAGACATATACATGTATTTACCCTATGATGTAATCAAGCAACATTTTGAAGATCAATTGTCAGAAGATTTGATGAGTAACATTAACCATGTGACTTTTTTTCTGTTTTCCTAGGCCCAGTATAAGAATGCTGTAACTGAAGCAGAACTGGCTAAAGTGAAAGCCAAAATTATCATGCTGGAATCTGCCGAAAATCAGAAAAAAGAAACGGAGAAGAAATGTGAGCAGATGGCCCACAGACTGAGGGATATGGAGAAGAAATTGGAGAGTAATCGCAAAGAGATTAACCATTATCAGGTACAGCTTCTCATCTTTTCAACTTTATATTTTATTTTTCAAGTATGAAAACATCTTTTGTTTCCAGTGCTCACTTTATTGAATCTCAATAGAAATTGAAATCAATCAATTCAGTGTGGAATGAATATGGTTTAGAACTTTGGAGAACTTTATTATGACTTCCATATTTGGATTATTTTCATAGGATTTATTGGAGGGATCTCAAGGCCAGTATATTGCATTAGAAAGAAAAATGAAAGGAGAATTTGCAGGTTTAGAGAAGAAGTATCACAAAGCCAAGAAATTGATAAAAGATTATCAACAGAGGTGAGCTGAAAGTGAAGCTAGGAAATATCTTTGTTCTTCTAATTGTAATGTAAAAGCTTATTTTGCATGATTTTCATCAAACAATTTATGTAAAAGTTATATTGATGGTGTTTGATGATTTTACAGGGAAAAGGACTTTATTCAGGAAAGAGAATCCCTCTTACAGCAGCAAGCAGAGAAAAATCAACAATATGATGATTTAGTCAAGTCCCTCAAAGACAGAGTAAGGATATATTATTTCTGTTTTGCTGCTGAAAACCTATAAAAAAATGTATTTGAAAATGCAGTCAAGTAATAAGGAAATGGAAGTTTAAGATCAGCAAAAAAGAGGCTGTTTTGCAACAATGCTAGATGTTTTGAATTTTAAGACATATTATTCGTTACTCAGAGAATGAAGTTTGAAATGTTATGATATGTCTGCTTTGTACCTTTTATTTGGTCTGTTTTAGATCTTTGAGTTGGAGAAGGAGCTTGGGGAGGTTCAGAAGGTAGCAGGACTACCTGTACTTGTCCCCAGCAGCCAGCAACCACTGCCATCCCCAACAATTCAGCCCAAACTTGTGCAAAGTAGGAACAGAAAATAGTTACCTAATACTTATCTGCTTTTGAAGTGTTACAAATGTAACTTGTTTATTGATGTTTGCACTTTGTGATATAATCTTTCACCATTTTTTTTTTTCGTATTTCAGAAGTTGAAGCCTCTCCATTAAATGAATCAATATCATCCAGTTCTGATGCATCACCCAGTAATAGAACAGGTAAATCTCTATAGGAAAGAGAATAAAAAGAATATCACCTTATAATAAAACAGGAAAATTTCAATATGAAAGAGTATGAAAAGGTTAATGTATCAGTGATATGAGAATGCTTTTATGGAGTTTTAGAAGAGAATACTGTGTTAATCTGTGTATGTAAAACCTGAAACTCTTGATAAATATGTAGGATATTGATAATACTGACTTTTTCTGCAGAGAATGGTCTGGATGATGATAGTTCCTCAGTGGACAGCTTTAGAGATGCTGTCCCTCACACCTCATTACTGGACACTTCAGCCAATCGTGACAAAGGTCAACTGGCCGCTGCTGGTAACAGGGCCAGAAGACCCCCTACAAAACGCAATATTAAGGTACATGGTACTTAAAGTAGAAGAGCAGACACTGTGAAAACTTACTAGAAATTGGAAACGGTTTTTCCTTGGAATCAATATGCATATCATTACATGTATTTTAAAAAAGATTAATATTTCGTGATATTTTACGAGCCCCAAAAAATGTTTAACCTTGGGATTACAAATTACAGGGTTCTGAAGGTGAGACTGTAGAGGAAGAACTGGATGAAAGTGGATTAGAAACTTGGATCAAACATGATAGGTTTGTATGATTGACAAAAAAAAAAATACTTTCTGACCCAGACTCTTGAATTTTAAAGAAATTCTACAAGTATTTTAAAGTTAAATGAGCAGATCTTTAATTTTTTTGCTTGTTAAAAAAAATATTAACAAAAAATAATTTTGAAAATAAATGAAATAAAGTGTGCCTGCATATCTTTGTTTAACATAAAGCATGTTTTATCTTGCTTGGAAACATTTCCAATGTACAATAGTTCCCATTTATTCAGAGTAAACAGTGGGATAAAAATTAATATACAAGTCATTTTAATGTGGGGCATGATGTATGTATTTTTGATATCTGTGTTTATATACCTGTATAGGATTTTGTTAAGAATCATAAATTATGCATTTTGGCTGCCTTTTATTTGCTAATTTTTTTTTTTTTTTTTTTTTTTTTTTAGCATAAAACATTGTATTTCTGAGTTGAAAATGGCTGTATCATCATCGATATATTTATGTTGCTTTTGTTTCTCATTCAGTTTCAGTAGTAGTGAGGATGATGAATTTTTGTAAGGGCTTTTGTTTATCTATAGTATGTGTGTACTCATTCACTCTATCCAATAGTCAGTAGTGCATAACAAATGTTTCAAAAGGGACCATGATACTTGGAAAAAAAAAACAAACTCCAATTCAAAGTCTGTGCATTTCAAGCTGTAAACAATCTTCTTTGTTTTTTAGTAACTGTATTATTATACAGTTTGAAACTCGGGACCTATTCTTATGATTTTTCTCTCTGTATACAACTGAACATATCCTTTCTTGTAGTTACAGAGACAATATATCTGTTTCCTTGTACATGTATAATGTAGATTCCTCTGCAAGTACTTATTTCCTCCTGGAGTACTTTTCAAATATGAACTTGTTTCTTAAATTACTAGAAGTGAAGTAAATCTTCAAAGCAACACATTGATAGCATTTATTAAAAGAGATAATGTTTTTAATCTACAGTGTAATAGCCAGATATACATGTATGAATGTGAATTTTCATTATTGCACAATAATTTTGAATTTTTCAAGGAGTCACCCTGTTCTCATTTTAAAAAGACATATTCTTGAGATTGTTATGCACTACAGAGTCTTCACTGGGTATTGTACTTGTAAATTTAAAGTGAAAGTAGAACTTGCTTTAAATTTTGTACTTTAAAACAACATTTAATGATTTAAAAAAACAAAAATAAAACAAACCCATTGAAGACCAGCCTGCTGTGGATTGGTTAACATTATCTGAAGCTCACTGTAGTATCATATGTGTACAGTACATGTAAATATGCATCCTTTGGTGCATGATTGATTATTTGCATGAAAGTGATGGCATTATCTTTTATTTGTAGTGGTAACATTACATTGTGATAAATTTCTTTCAAAGTATGCAGTGTCCTTAATCATAATGTGACATTGAAACTATTTATTTCAGCTTGATTTATCTATTTTTTTTTTAAACATAGTGAACAATGAGTTTTGTAATTGCATTTGTTGATACTCATTTAATTAAGTGAAACTCTTAACAGATTTACTAGGTTCCCAACTCATTGTGACCAAATTTCCATATAGAATTAATTTGATATGCAAATACTAAATATCAAAAAGTAGTTACCCTTTCTTTCAAGAATCAGCTAAGCTCAAGTTTTAACTCGGCTGATTTTCAGTTTTCTCATTATTTTGTGTATTTTTGTCACGAGCAATTTGTTTTATAGCGACAGTACAGTCAAGAAAAGTGATGCAAAAAAGAGAAAAGCTCAGCAGAAGAATTTATTACAACCCCCCAATATACCGCCCCCTCCCCCACCTCCCCAGGGGCCCGACAGTGATTCTGTCAGTGACCAGTCCCACTCCAGGTAGGTATTCAGGGCACGCCCACAGAGCATCTTGACCACCTATAGTGCAGAGGTCCTCAAAATAGAATTAACCTCCTCTCTTAGTGCAGTTTTTAGTGCCCTCTGATATAACCACAGGTACAATGAACTGTCATATACATGTATAACTAAGCTGTGAGTTGCAAGACAATTTTGTACTAATTTTGTTAATCAATGAGTGATGATTAATACACATGTACCTGAATGCAGATATGCCCTAAGCATTGCTTATAGCCTGTGAAGTGATTATGTACCACTTAACTTTCATTTCTCATTGGATTGTAAGAGCTTCTAAACATAGTACTCAAGGGTACAAGAAAACATTTGAGAAATGATCTGTGTAACTCTGATGTATTTTCAACTGTGTTTGTGAAAAAAGTATCTTAGTGTAAAAATGTTTCTTAAATGGTTTGTATTCTTAGTCATATATTATACATCTATATACTTGTATATACTTAGCAATATAGTGTTATATCTTAACAATATTCAGAACAATATTGTATTTATATATCATATACATTGCATCATGAATATTGCACCTCAAAGCTTTCTTGTGTAGTGTGCTGTTAGTAATCATCATGTAATCCAGTACATTTTATTAAGTAACTTGTTTCCAAAACCTTTATTTCACATTGTGTGAAGTCACTATCAAAATCTGTTCCAGGATATTTATTTGTGGCATTGTTTTCAGAAAGATTCAAAGAATATCCAGGGGTCAATATCACTCAAATGTTCAATTACTTTAACATTCAATTTTGAAAAATCTTCCAGTGTACTTGCATTATTAAGAAATAAATACCATGTAGTGTAATTTAGTCTTCAGACACTGTTGGAAATGTATTTCAGGCAGGACAGTGAAAATGAGGATTCCTCCTCAACTGTGTCCCAGACTTCCTATGACCCCTCTCAGCCGATGTTTAAAAATATGCAGTCAGAAATCCCAGACTCCCTACCTGAAGTGACAGAGATCCCCTCCATAGGCAGTGCAGGAAAAAGTAAAGGTAAAATCCAGCTCTCTGTGTCCTGTGTGCTGGAATAATGCTATGTTTTGTGTGATTCAAGCATTATGCATTTAGGCCATTCACATACACAGTGTATGTTTACAGGTTTAGGAAAAGTAGGAAATCTAGATTAATGGCTAATAATGATAAAGATAAGATTTTTTTTTTTACTTAACTTTTAAAAAAAAACTTCCCATCTTTTTATCTGAAAAAAATTGAATTTTGAATGGTGAAGAAAAAAGTGAATGCTTATACCAGTTAATATGCTCTTACTTGAAATAATATGCATAAAGGAAATCAATTCAGTTTATTATATGCTTCTTATTTCCAAGAACTTCCTGGGAATAAAAGATTTCAAAAGTTCTTAAAAGCAAAATGTTGAGATTTTTTAAAAAAGATATTAATGAAAATAAAGCATCCTTTGTTATTTTGGGCAGACAATAGGTACATGTAAATTACAAATCATGTAATTTTGTAATAAATATTAAGAATTATTATTGACTGCATATAATTTGTTAAATGTATAGAAAATGGCTTCATGCAGTACATGTCACTTGCAGTACATGTCACCGACAGTTATGTTAAATTGTGACTTGCTTGCAGTGTGATTGAACATTATTATTTGTTCACTTTTCATTACTTAAATTTCTTATGCACTGTATCTTGCATAGCAATTATTTATTGTGATTGCATGAGCATGCGTATTTACTCCCTGCTAGCAATTTTGATTACATTGGATTTTTGAGTTACATGCCTTTGAGTTTACTTAATTTTAAGTTTCTTTATAAAGATTATTTTATTTAGAAGATTTTTTTGCATAAAAAAAACAAACAAAACAAAACAAAAAACACCCCCCCCCCCCCCCCAAAAAAAAAAAAAGATAAGCAGACCTTTCTATGAAACAGGAGATTGGTACAATGAACATATGCATTAGGAAAGTTCATTGTCACTTTTGACTTCATAGTCCAACTATAATTATTTGTAAATGTTGAAAACAGTCTAAATATGATGATGAAAAAATAATCTATTAACAACTTTAATCTGTCATAATGGTACATGTTTTCTTTGAAAGTGTTGCTAATTCTATCCTACACACAATCTAAAATCTGAATTAATCAAGACTGTCATCTTTTACTTACAAACTAAAAGAAGGAATGAGAAAGCATGCTTTTTCAGGGGGTTTGTATTTAGTAACCTTTTCACACTAGATTGCATGATTTCAAGCATGGATCTATAGGTAAAAAAAGTCAGGATCTCAATAGGGGAAGGATGAATATTGCTCAGGACAGGAAATCTGTGAGACGTGTGTGTACATCATTTGTATGTCTCTTTACTTAGGCCTAGGTTTGTCCAAACTGTTAAAATTTGGTAAGAGTGGAAGTAGTGCAGAAAACACTGGTGTGGTTTTGTTGTCCAATCGTTCTCTAAATAAGGATCAGTCAAGCTCGGGAGAGGAAGGGGGCATAACTTTAATATCCAAACGTCCTCTGGATATGTCAACAGAGTCACTGGATGGTAAGTTTTATAGATTCCTTTCTTAGGAGAGAGAGAGAGTGAATAAGAGAGAGAGAGAATTTCTGGGTTTCTGTCTCCTGTTAATTTGAAGAAGAATCGTGATTTCCATACTATATTAGTGTATTGTGTATTCAGTAATGTATATGTCCTGTATCTTGTTTTTCTTTCTGCTGGCTAACAGTCAGGAGTTCATCTCCCAAATCTTTACCAGGTAGGCTTTAACAAACACATCACACCCTCACCCCCTCCGTTCTGGTGTTCACCTCTCCACAGTTCTAAGACACTGCAATTCAGAACACAAAGCATTTGTGCATTTTTGTTTTGTTGTTACGTTACCATATTGAAAACCAAACCAATGCATGAATATGTTAGCTTCAGTCTGTGTTATACATGTACATATAATATAGTCATATAAATAATACAAGTGTTATATATAACAAATTATTACTAACCACTCAACATGTACTAGAATATGTTTTGATAATGTGTCTAGAAGGGGAAAGGTTCATGTAAAACAGCTAGGAAAATAAAATTAATTTACCAAGGAAATTCCTCATCAGTACTTAACTTCTTCCACATTTCTATTAGATTATTTTGCATAAAATCTGTATCATCGGATGCTAAAACATTAAAAAAAAAAGATCAGAAATATACAGTATGATTTATTCTTTGATATTGAATGTATAAATAAACATGTTTTAATATTTCCAATCTGTATGTGACAATGAAAATGATTTTGCCATCAGTATTTAGGTACAGGTGATGAATTATATGATGTGAAACTCAAACTTTATACTGTAATGATTCAGGTGTCAGTACAACAAGTGATGTTTCCTCTTCATATATGGTGCAAGAATATGATGACGAAGACGGCAAGAAGACATTTTTCTCCCTAAATATCTCAGGAACACCAGCCCATGATGTAAGTACATGGAAGAGGATCGGAAATTATATTAACATAATGTTTTGCAGATGGATTTCAGATGCCCTAAAACATGCTTATCACAAATGCCAAGGATGCACAGTTTTGATCTGTTATTTACGTTGTTCATTATAGCCATTAAATTCATTATGTGTTTTAATACTACCATAGGGAATGAAAATCACTTTGCTGTCTGTGTGAATTCATTATCAGCATGTTTGATGTGACCATGTTTTACTGTATCCTATAACTGGTTTCCCCATAATTCAATTTTGTTTTCTTTTTTCAGGACAAATCTTCCAGTAAAAGACAAGTCAATCAGTTTCAGTCTGGGTCCATTTCGGAGTGGTCAGTGGAAAATGTAGCCCACTGGTTAATGCTTCTCGAGTTAGAAAAATATATTCCTCTCTTTGCTGAGAAAAATATAACAGGACCTCAACTTATTCAACTAGATGGCACAAAGTTAAAGGTGAGATTGGTTAGTGCAGCACATGAAAATTGGTACTGGTCTTTTAAAGCTTTTATTGGGGGGTGGGGGTGTAGAATCCTTTATTTCTGCAGAAAATAGGGCATAGAGGAGAATGACCCTTAATGAATCAATAATCATTTTAGGTTCATGTAGTTTGATTTTCATGTACATACAAAAATGTATGTTTGAAATGTATGATCTAGAAATTTCTTCAGGATTTTTATTGTGTAATTTATAGCTTGATATGTCTTAATGGATAGTAAATAGACATGCTATGATTTGACATCAAATGATGTTGTATATATATTTCTTTCCAGACAATGGGCATTGCTAGTAGTAAAGATAGAGACTTACTGAAAAAGAAAATTAAAGAAATTAAAACAGGGATGGAGAAGGAAAAGAAAATTCAGGAGAAAGAAAGGAAAGCCAAAGAAAAAGAACAGAAAAAGCAACTTCAGAAGAAAAAATGAGGACAGTAGTCCATAGGAATTAACTATCGATGTTGTGAAACTCTCATCACAGGATATTCTGATATAGTGCTCTTCTATCTACACAACTTGGTGATGTCTCGGCAAATACATGAACATGTAGTATCCCAAATCATCTGACAATTCATTAAGTGTAATACAGAATTGAGATATTTTGTATATTGATGTTTATTGTGGAGAGAAGCTGAGTCCATTTTTAGAAAAAAATATAAGGTTAGTAAGACAAGGTAGAGTTAAAGTTTTTTATAGGAGGTTGACTCTTTGAATGCAATAATTCCTGTAAGGTCAGTGATACTTTTACATGAACAAACTGAAGTGTTCAGACTGAGAAAAGACAGTGGTGTCAAGTCACAAAGTGTTGTCTACATGCAAACAAAAGGGGTTGTTTTAACTGTTTTGTTGTTGTGATTGGAAGAATGAAGTATTTTATGTATAATTTACTGTGTACAATATGATTGGTTGATGTTTCATCTTTTATTTCCATATACTTTATATATCAAACAAGACGATTGGTTTGTCATTTTTCTCTTGTATTTTATGATTGGCTGAAAAACTGCCATATTGATTGTCTCCCTATCATGATTTTTTTTTTAAATTCATAAATCTAAACATGACTTTAGGAAGCTGATGTCCTAGTTTCCTGTTTTCTAACAGGGTATATACTTGTATATATAGCCATGTTCAGAACATTTGTCTCAGAGTTAACAGACCAGATCATAATGGCCAAGAAAGGTGTTGATGAGAACTACTGTATATCATATCACACACATGTAACACCACCTAGATCTACAGTATGTGTAAGCTATGGTTGTTATCAAACATGTATATCCCACCATATCTTTTTTTTTTAACGTGTAAAATATATACTAGAGGTTGTTAAATGTATATCAGAAATATATTCAACTCGCGCTATTGTTTGCGATATATATTAAGTATTTGATATCTATGTACATGTATAATCATATTGTCAAAGACAATACCAAGTAAACATTCCAGAAACATACTAACTCCATTCATCTATGAAGTTACTCTCTGTGACAGTGATTTTTCCCTCTTTTTCTGCATTGTTGTTGGCAAATTTTCATCCAAGAAAACATTAGCATGTTACATCAGCATAACACCAGTGTGTTTTATAACCTGGAAGGGAAATTGGGGAGGTTAGTCAGGGGATGTATTTCTGACAGGGAGAACTTGGATATTCTGATGCCAATGAGATTTATAGGGAATTTTAATAGAAAATCAAAATTTGACTGCCAGTATGGTTTATTTAAGTGTGGATTAAGATTTTTTTTATTAATCTCACTGTAGCTTATGGAAGACAAATTTATATATCTATATATACATGTAAAAAAAAGAATACTCTCAGACTGTCACGAAAAACATTTTTTCTGTGAAAACGTGGCACTTTTTAATTGAATGAAAATACCTTTGATATTGGTGCTGAAAATTTTTAGACAAGTAAATTTAGACATTTTTAATGCCCCTCTAGTGAGTTTTCCCCCCCAATTAGGTTTTTTCTGAATTAATTTCATAGTACATATTCTAATGAAAGTGATCCTGATGTTGTGAGTCATTTGTCGTTTTCGTTTATTATTTTTTGTTTGGAAAGGTAACAGTTACTTCCTTTCCATGACTCTGTTTTTCTGAGTTCAAACAAATGATTCACTTTCACATAACTGGATTATTCATGTCAGCTTTTTGCAGATTTCATTCAGAATATTATTTTAGGGACCATTTGAAAGAAGAATTGTAGCAAGAGTATTGTGTTTGAATAGGTATTCCAGTACACACTTACGTCAATCATAGACTAGAAAATAAATGGCCAGTTTGTATGTTTGAAAATTTTAAATAGCCTGAATAAACAAGGAGTTTTGGGCATTGATTAAGATGAGTATAACAATTGAGGACCAAATAAATCATTTGCACCGTTGCAGTGCTGTTCAACATGCAAATATGAAAAGTGGTGTTCAAAACTTAAATTACAAAATTCTGAAGGAAAAATCTTGTTTTATTCAGCTCTGTTATTTTCTTTTGATAAATTAGATAATTTGAAGAAAAATGTTTACGATGTCATAGAAATGTATTTTTTTCCGATGTCTCCCTTTCAGTCTGCCAAGTCCCAATGGACTGGTGCTCATCTGTGACAAATTGGTGCATATAAAATTGTTGCTGGAAATTCATTTTGGTAGATTGTTGAAATATTTTATTTATACATGTATACACTGTATTTATACACCTATATATATATATATGTATTAGTGTTTACTTTTCAATTGAAGGTTGTGTACATCTGTAGGAGATGAAGTTTTGAGCAGTATCAGATATATATATCATAAATTTGCTTTCCCTGCATCTGATGTGTTGAAAAATACTGCATACAGAGTGGGTTTTTTTCATCTTTTTTTTTTTTTTTGAACATGTTTTGCAAGATGTAAAAAACATTTATAGATACATCAAAATATTTCCGCAATGTACTATTTGAAACCTAAGTGCTTTTTCTCAGCAAAAGAATTTTCCACTAAATCAAATACATGTATAAATAAAACCATATTTTATTGGATTGTTTACTAATGTAGAGCAATAAGCTTTGGCATATCTAATCTTTAGTATAAATACGTCATTAAAGTTAAATTTGCTTGCTTTAATTACATGTATTTAACAGCTGTAGTTCCTCAGTTGAGCTTGAAAAGTATTAACAAATACATATACATCTGTATCTTATACAAGGAAATAGGATAAAGACTTTATATTCCCCCAAAATCATTCAGTACATTTACAGTGAGTTGAAAATATTTATGTAAGCAATATGTATTCACTCTTTCTTGATTTTAGGTTGTACAAAATATGTATGAAATTTACCAACATGTTTATGACCTGATGTTTGATAAATTTTCAACAGTGGGTTAAAATGATTTGAATTTTGAAGTTTTTAAATGTAGAAATGACATGCAGAGGACAGTATGTAAACAGATAGGGATAGGATAAAAAAGGAAATAAAAAAGGTTTTTGGCCAGATATTATTTGGATATGACATAAATTGAATCATATTGAACTACTTGGTACAGTATAGATATTTATAGACTGAGAGAAAAAAAATCAGATTGTGAAGAGGTGTAACTAAAATATTTATTTTGGTCAATAAGAATATAAGGGAGATGACTCTGGTATAAACATGTTGGTTGTTTATCATAATTCTATAAATTAAACGTATATTATTGTAGTAGAGAGCACTTGTGTATCTTCACACCTGTTTGTCATCCACTCTCTGTTGTTCTACTTGATGAAGAAGCTGTTATTAAGAATGTCCATTGGTCATAATACAAAGTTATCAAAAATATGCTGGAAAGTAATCATCTCTTATATCTGTCCAAATGTTTTGGGAAAATATAAGAAGCAATATGCAATCCTTCTTGAGTTCTTTCTTCTTTATCTGGTATCAGCTCGTTAATTTGATGAACAAAATTTCAGTGCAATTTACTTTCTTTGTTCTTTTAACACAAAATGTTCAATCATTAATCAAACAATATCATACTACAATCTATGTGTCCGATGGATGAATGGTGTAATTCAATGTGATAAAAAAATAAATATATTTATACAAGTACAGTTGATGTTTAATGCTTATTTTTAGTCCCTTACCGGTGAAACCTGAGGGGACTATAGGTTTCCTCTGAGTCCGTCCATCCGTCTGTCTAGCTGTCTGTCAGTCTGTCCCACTTGGTTTTCTGCACTTTTTTTCTAAACGCTTGCAGATATTCAGCTGATTTTTGGTATGTTAGTGTATCTTGAAGAGTTACAGATCAAGTTTCATTTCATTCCGCTTCATTGATTTTTGACGGAATCATGGCATTTTCAATTTTTAGCGGGAACCAGATTACACTTGCCGGTAGGGGACTAGTATTGCTAATGCAATACTCTCGGAATGCTTGTTAATATCAAGATTCGTGTGATTCAGTGGTACATGATCAATTTTTCATGTACAAACCAGTGAAAGCTGATATAAATGTACATGTATTATCTAAAATAGCATCATCTTCCTTGAAAAATCCATTGCTGTTCAGAGAAGAGCCAGGCAGTTTCAGAGTTAATTCATTTAATTCCATTTTGTACGGCATATAATATGTTTGAAACCAGAATACTTTGAGTTAGATCTATTCAAAATATGGCAGATAAAAATATCACAAGGTGATGTATATATGTACAGGTATTATAAACATTGCTTTTCCCCTTTACTTATGAAATACTGTAAAATCGCTTATTTTCGTGGGAGCAAATTTTCATGGTTTGAGGAAAAAAAAATTGAGTCATGGGAATTTGATTTTATGATTGAAGGACAAACAAATAATACTGCAGTTTAAAATTTTAAAATTTTGTGGAGGACATAAATTTGTGGGTCTCTTCATAAAAACAAAAAGCATGAAGCTCCATGAAAATTTGGTTGTTATGTGTCATGGTGACCATGGCAAGATGCCCTATAGTTTGAAAAATGGCATTTTTTAACATGTTCAGAGTCCCATGGCTAACGCAGCAATGCAGAAAAGTAACTATGACTATTTCCAAAAGTTGAAGGTTTGATGTCTTAATTAAATACACAATGTACATAAAGCATATTTGGGAAACCAACTATTACACACATTACTATGGAAACAAAGTATTCAAAAGTAATAATTTTATAAATTCATTTTTATAAAGTCATACACTCAAAAATAAAAGCAAGTAGTGCAGCCAAATAATGGAGATCCTTGTAACATATTCCAAAGAAAAAATATGATATTTCTTATTGGTTGGCAGTGGTTGTTATATGTGATATTTCTTATTGGTTGGCAGTGGTTGCTATATGTGATAATTCTTATTGGTTGGGAATGGTTGCTGTGGTTTTAATACTGCAAATACTCTCGGTATGTTTTAATCTGATCCTATCTTTTTAAAGAGCACTTTTCTATATAACTGGTGATTTACTTTTAAAGGCAATGATGTGGTCCTTATTTCCACATTTCAAAAAATCTTAAAATAGAGCTTTAATTGATATGGATATTATCGGGAAAAAATGTTTAAAAAAAAGCTGCAGAATATTTTGTATCACTGGATATATACCTTTATATGTAGATTCCCCATACTTTTATGATTGGTATTTAAGAACAACTAACCTGACTTTCAATTTTGACTACCACACAGTCTCTAAATGGGTGCAAGAAGCTACCACATGGGTTCAGTATTGCTAGGAAATTCAATTTTATCAGATTAGATCTATTTGATAAATACAATTCAAGGTGAGTCAAATAATGTTTCTTGATTAAAAGGTAACTAATTACCCAATATCTACTTTAAACCACTGGGCCGTGTTTTACAAAGGAACTTATGACTAAGTCTAAAAATTTTACATGGGTCTTAAATCTTGCAATCTTAACATTTTTGTTAGATTATGATTATATTAATTTACATAGTTGAATTCTTATTCACATTGAACCAGCAATTTAATCAATGTAAAGAATAAAATAAATTGCAAAACTAGATTTTGATCTTAATTGTAAGTTCTTTTTATAAAACCACTTATTTAGATATATACATGTATTTTTTATAGTTTCTTTATAGCATAAGTGGCAACAGGGTGTAATGTTTTTCTGAGAGTGGTTTGTTTGATTTTCTTAATCTTTCTTTAGGCTTAATAAAGATTCAAAGTAACTGAAAATCTCAATTTTTTCAAACTTTTTCTGCTGTTACCATGGCAACCAAGACACATATTTTATTTGTTTTTTTATATATTATATGTTCCTGGCGTCAAGTTGTAATAATTGGCAAAGTTTCATCAAAATTTGTGACCATTTGTGCCCAAAAATTGGTAACAGAGAATAGCTCTTAAAATGTCAGATACGTGAACTTGCATTTAAGGTATGACACTCGTGAAATTTGTTATATCAAGAATTTTTTGAGAAGTATATTTTGGATAAGTACTCATATAGTATGACTCAAAATCGCAGAGAAAATGGGGGGTCAGTGTGCATATAACTGAGCTACGGTACAATTAAGTTGACCTTTTTGCACTTAAATTGTAACTCTTTGGTTAATCACTTTAACCGTTATCATATTTTATCAGATGTAACCATGGCAATAAACATAATCTTAATTTACATAAAATAGTCTGAATAATATTTATCATTGAACAAATCATGCAAATTAATGCGCGTAAATTATTGTGTGACCTTTTTGCACTAAAAAAGTCTCATATTTGGGATATTAAAAATCTAAATAGGCAATAGAATATTTTCTTGTATCAAACTTTTTACGACTTAAGTGCTGATCGGTCAAAAGTATCGAGTAGTTTAAAATAATGAAAGAAAAAGTTGGAGTCAGTGATGTAAATTTTGAAATATTGGTCAAAATATGCGATTTTCTGGCAAAAAATGTGTAAATTTTATCTTGACTTCTTTAATATATCTTCATTTCTTGGCAAAATTTGTTGAGCAATGGTGTAAATTTTGTTATAAAAATATAAATTGAGACCTATATTTAATATTCTAGGCATATCATAACAAAAAATATTCTCTGAGTAAAAGTATGTGAGGCTAAAGTTCCAAGATATTAAATCTATTAAATAAATGTGTAGATTTGCAGAAATTTCTGCTAAATATCCTTCCACCACAAGAAATAGTCCCATATAAATCTTGCTTCTTTATGAATTTTTGAGCAGTTTTTTAATTGAATGTTGAACATTTTACATTGTTTAATTTAAATATGTTATAGAGATTGAATTGTAATAAATAGTTTTTAAGTAAGAGGTTCTGACTGAACTTTTCTAAAAGGCTGACGAGTGACATACCTTAAAAGCATTGAGAAGTAAAATTCATTAATGTTACAAGGAGGTATAATTCATTTAAAGAATGCGTACAAGGTCCAGTAACTGCTTTCAAAAATTTTAGAAATCTGACTAGGGGCAGTAACTGTGTTGTTGTCATCATCCATCTTGAATCCCAATGACTCTGCAAGGTTTTGACCAGATGTCCCTTTACTTAAAACTTCAGCTAAATTTGGTACCAATATGGTACTTTCTCCATCAATTGCCTGGGAGCACTGAAAAATATACAAGTTGTATTAAAATCTACCATTCAAAAAAAATGCAAAATAAATTGTAGTTTTGCAACATCATAAACATAAGATGTTGAAATGGATCATTGCTGAAGGTTTAGCTTAATGGACTCACAATTTCTACAAGGGCTATTCCTGCCTCTTTTTCAAGGGAGACAAGTTGCTGTAGTTCTTGCTTCTTAAATTCATGTAATGCCCCAAAAAGATAGGCACAAGCTGACAGGATGTTGCTGGGGGATGAGGGGTACTGAAGCACATCCCCCTGAGAAAAAAAAAAACAACAACATAATGCAGGGAAGTTATTATTAATTAGATACTCTAGACTTTAATAACAAGAGGCCTTGGGACCTTAAAGCAATACCTGTGTATAACATCAGTTTTAGTGCTTGAGCATAATAAACAATTGTATAAACCCTGCAAAATCCCTTAGCCACTGGCCTCTTTTGCTCTTTGAATCACATTTAATATACAAACATAAGGTTAAGTTTACAATTTTGGTAGAGGACTCAATGCTTATTAAAATCATGCCAACAGTTTGACTGCTTGATGTCCATGCATGCAGGATTAAAGAAGATAATTTTTAAAGATTGCATTGATTTTGATGCTTTTACCCCCAACCCTCATGTCCCATGGGGCATGGACTTTGAAATTAACAATTTTTGTTCCCCTTTATTCGTAAATGCTATATTCCAAAATTGGTTGTAATTGGTTGAGTGTTCCACAGAAGAAGCTGAAAATATTCAAATGTTAATGGAGGACTGACTGCCCTCAACAATGGATGAAAACATAGTAATAGGTCACCTGAGGGATTCAGGTGACCTTAAAATAGAAGCCAATATGAGGCCTTAATAACTGAATGACTTGTACTTAATTTCAGTAATGTTGGAAAATTCATGGACAATTATATGTGAATTAAAAATACATTTTGATGTACAAGTGTACAAAGTTATACATGTATACAATGTTTATATGTAACAGATAAGGAGAAAATGTATGGCTGGACCAGGAATCAAACCCGGGACCCTGTGTCAGTAGTTAGGTGCTCTACCGACTGAGCTATCCAGGCTGATATCCACGGCCAAAACCAATAAATATACAAAGAATTTTTTGTTTATCAAACCTTGATTATGAATCCACTTGATGTTAGAACTGTCTTGAAAACATTTTCCTCAGAAGAACAATTTTCCATCCATTCTGAAAAAGAGACTTCTTTAAACTCCCCTGCTTCTACATCACTGAGCTGAAAATGAAGGAAAAAACTTAACAAATAACAAAATGGTTATTAACAAGGGAATTAACCCCACTAATAGTCACAGCAAAAAAAAAAACCAAACAAACACAAGGTCTTCAATGGTAACTAGCTGTACTGACTACATGCTGATGAAAAATAAAATTCGCACCAAATGTTCCAGCTTCCTGATTTCTGCTTGATTTCCCATGATAGTCTTAAAAGCTGCAATCAAAGCTTGTCTCTCAGTTTCCTTCATGGTCACCAAAGGTTTTAATGTATCTGCCACTATTTCTTGCCCTTTATTGCCAGATGCTTTCTTTAGATCTGTTAAAAAAAAATAAAATGCCTGTAACATCATACCTACAACATGGATCATTTTAGTACATGTATGAAACCAACTACAATTAAACAAGCTTATAATGAAGTGCCAGGGATGAACAATTTTGATTTGTTTTAAATGCAGTTCATTAAATTCATTAAAATGATATGTTTAAAACTACAGGGAATGAAAATCACTTTGTTGTAAGTGTGACTTCATTATAAGCACATTTGTTGTATTTGTTGCACTTTTGCTGTATTTCATTTTCCTACCAACACTGTCGGCATAGTCTTTGGCAGGGCTACCCAGGAAGCCTCCCTTGCCTGTAGGTAGGGTCATGGGAGTGATGCTCCCATCACTGGCCCTGACTTGGAGTTCCCAGACTTTGTATGCCACAGGAGTGCCAGCAGGGACTACAATGTCGCCTGTTTTGTCACGATGAAATTTCTCATTGATGTCACCAGGCACTATCTTTATCTAAACAGAGAAAGTGTACCAAAAATCAATACTGTAAATGTACAAAGACAGGCCCACTCATAATTTAGTTTAATCTTCCAGTGCAAAAGGAGCTAAAATATGATTTTCACTAATATAAGTACATTTACAGTATTGGGAATCTGGATGCTAGTGAATATCAAATTTTTTTTTATCTGAGAGCTTCAGTTCTTGTAAATATCGGTGAATAACAGTAACTATTTATCAATGCACACAAATAAACAGAAATATCTTGATACTTTCTGACTTCCAAATGAATTCCCATTTCTACCTTTTCATTGACATCCATTTCTTCATCAATTGAGAGAACTCTCTTAATTTCTGCATCCTTCTGCACTAGGTATAAATCATTGACAATGCACAGACTGATAGACTGCTTACTGCTCCCTAGAACTTGTCTCACAATAGTGTGGTTCATATCCAACTTCCTGAAAGAAAAGGAAGATAAAGTACACATATACAATGTATATAAATGTAAATAGCAATGCTAACTAGAACTTACTGTACAGCAGGTTAAAATTGCGGTCGGAAAAGATCGTGATTTGTTCAACTTGCAGCAAATCGCAGTCATTTGAATTCGCGGAATGGAAAAATTATACAATTTTTTTTTCAATACTTCAAGTATTTTCCTTGCATATTGTGATGATTCTGAACCCGATTAGAAGACAAAATGTTGTACGATTTACAATGTTATGCATTCAGATAAATTTTCTTCTTTCTTTCTCGTGTTTTCTTTCTTTTTATTAAATATTATTGAAATACATACCGTTATGAATCTATGCTTGAGTGATTTATTCAAGTGATTTCAAGTCGTATCCAAAACATTCATGTAAAAAAAAGTCCTTTGGCGGGTGTTCGTTCATAGGTATGTTTTGAGTAGAGTACAGCAGTATATTTAAATCCCTCTGTATCTAAATCAGTTGTCAGTACCAATAGTCAAAATGTTGAATTGTTAATAAAATTGAATTAATGTGTAACAAAGTTGTCTTTACTACGTATTAAAGTGCCTTGATTAAAGTTAATAAGACTGAATGATACGCACGACTGAAAGAAGAATTATTCACTGTATGTTGAATTCGTGGAATTTTTATTTCCTCGAATATAGCGAATATTAACTCGCGAGTTAATTTCCTGCTGTACAGTTGTTAATACATGTACTATGGGAGAGAATTAAGATTGCAAGAATGTCATTGTATAAATATGTAATTTTATTGAAGGATCTTGAAGTAAAATCAGTTGAATGTTTCCATGGGAATTAACATGTATGTGATTTTACAAATATTATATAACCATACACATTCTCAGTCCAAAATATATCCAGTTTAATTTAAAAGCATTATGGGATTTATATAAACAACAGCCTTTCAATATAAGATGATAAAGTGAATAAACAGCAAAGCATAATTTGGAAGGAAAAAAGTCGTGATAATTTTAAATGTCAGTATAAATTCACACAATAACAGTTACCAAATACGAAGTACTTCAACAGACCAGTAGACTCTCCTTCCTTCTGATTGTGATATATCATTGTGCTAAGAAGAATTCTGAACATGTTGATGGAAAAAGCAAATTCAAGAGGCTCAAGGGCCTAGAATTGCTCTTCTGATAAATCATACAACCCTATCACTTCTATTCAAAGCCTCTTGTTATCCTAAATATTTAGATAAAAACTTGAAATTCGGAAAGTAGGTAACTGCTTTTTAGTTAACATACTCTGAAATACCATGATGACAAAGTCTGATGATTCTAAGCTTCTTTCAGATATAGTCATGAAATTCCAAAAGTATGTTACAGTGACCTACTTTTTTGCTTGACACAATACAAGGACCTAGGTGAGTTAACTAATAGTTTGATGATTCTTACCCTTAATATTGAGATATACCTACATGTATAAAAATCCAAAAGTAGGCCACTGTGACCTACTTTTTAGTTGAGCAGTCTGCTGACTTAAGATGAACTTACAAAATTTGATGATTGTAAACCTCTCATTATCCTAAATATTAAGATAAAAGTGTGAAATCCCAAAAATAGCTCAAAGTGACCATACAAGAACCCAAGATGCATCACCTGACGTTTGATGACTAAGCCTCTTATTATCCAAAATTTGTAGATATAGCCAAAAAATTCCTTAAGTAGGTCGCCATGACCTAATTTTTGGTTATGACCTATATTTTGGTTAACATACTCCAAAACCCAAGATGCATCAACTGACAAAGTTTGATAGTTCTCAGCCTCTTATTATTTGAAATATCTAGAAATAGCATTGAAATACCAAAAGTAGATCATAGTGACCTACTTTTAGTTGACACACTATAAGGACCCAAGATGCATCAACTGACAAAGGTTGATGATTCTAATCCAATTAATATCTAGAATATTTAATTATAGCCATAAAATTCCAAAAGTAGGTCATGGTGACCAACTTTATGGTTGACACACTCCAAGAAATCAAGATGCATTAAAAAATTGCATCTGACAAACTTTGCTGATTCTTAGCCAATTGTACCTGAAATATTTAAGTATATAGATATACTTGTAATTTTAAAAGTAGGTCACAGTGACCTACTTTTTGGTTGATATACTACAAAGTCTTAGGATCCATCAACTGACAAGATTTAATGATCCCAGACTTCAAAGTGTCCAAAACCTGCAAATTTCATGAAGTAGGTCACTCTGACATATTTTTTCATATAATATGTTTCAAGGCCCCAATAAGCATCAGCTTACAAGGTTTGATGTTTCGTAACCTTTCAGTATATGGAAAAATGACCTTAAATGTTTCAAAAATGATTAGCCATAATTCAAAAAGTAGGTCACAGTAACCTACTTTTTGGATGACAAACTTCAAGGCCCCAAGATGCATAAACTGACAAGTTTTGATGATCATAGGCTCAATAGTGTCCAGGATATGCATCAAAATCAATTTAACAATGAATCCTTCAAAATTCAAAAAGTAGGTCACCTACTTTTGAGACAACTTTTTTGAGGTCCACAGATGCATCAACTGACAAGATTTGATGATTCTAGTTCTTTCAGTGAGCAAAATATCGAAGTTTTACACATGTAACAAAATATAACTTTAGGTCAACTTTGAAGTGACCTTGAGATCACCCCTTTTATTTCCTATGTAGCTTGAAACAATAGATCTGATTGGTTTGTAAGACAGGTGTAAATTTCTGCACACCCAACTTGAGCCACTGGTAAATAACATGATGTCACAATGCATAGTTTCTCTATCACAAAATTTTTTAAAAGCAAATAACATGACGTCAAAATGCATTGTAGCACAAAGTAAATCTTAACAATACTTTGAAACACCATTGTTTGCACTTGGGTTTACAGAGAATTTATTTAGTAACTGTTACATAGGAATGAAATTTGTTATCCAGATCTGCCGAAGGATGGAATACAACCCGGGTAAATCCCTGTACACCCTTGAATGAACCTGGATAACTAATATTGCAACAGCTGGGTCATGTCTTGAATAATTTTAAATCTACAATGTATCCTCATCCTTATGTATAAGTCTGGTGATTATTTTAGCAATCACTACTTTTGTTTGTATTTTCCTAATTATCTCTCCTTGTTTAAGGGTTACATCCCTATTTTTTGTATATTAAATGAAAGCCCTTCAACCAAGGATACTCTGTGACAAATTTGACAAAAATTGGCCTAGGGGTTCTTGAAATATGGCCCATATTCCAAATAATTCACACACAACACACAAATGCACACAGCACAAATGGCTATAGCATTAGCTCTTTGAGCCTTCTGCTCAGAAGAGCTAATAAGAGCAAGTAACTTTATTTCCAGAGAGCTGCTTTTAGTGTAATTAGGCAATAATATATAAAATATATTTGGGAATCTGCAGTATGATAGACATTTGAAACATCACATCTTGATTACTTGAATAAAATTTTAAGATTTTACAATAAATATTGATCACAACAGCACAACAGCCGCAGATATTTGAATTTTTTTCCTGAATAACATCACAAAGCATAGACCAATGTGGCCTGATAAGCCTTGCAATGTTGCCAAAAAATGTTCTCATCTCATATCTAGATGTTCCAGAATCTCCATTTTTTTAAATAAACTACGGGGGACACATCAAGCTTAATGGACAGAATCAGGCCCCAGGATCATTAAAAATCTTAAGCCTAAGTCAAAAAATTTATATTGTGCTGAAATTATTTGAAAATCAAGCAGTCCAAAATTAAAATGCTTTTTAACTTTGCATCAATAGACTACTATTATATGCAAATTAAGAGTTTCAGTTCACAAGTAATAAACATCTTGTGGATGATTAAAATTTTGACTTAAGTCTAGGTCAGTTTCATGAACCCGGGGTCAGATCATGCATATGGATTAAGTGTGAATGAATTTGCTACAGGTAAGCATTGATGTGGTACGAAGGTGGCAAATCCAAAATACTCACAGTCTGTAGCTCGAAATTATAAGCATGATAAAAAATGAAAAATGTTTTATAAATCAAAATAATATATGCCCCCCCCACCACACCCCCATGCGGTAATACATGTACTAACCAGAAGTCTCTGAAAGACTGTAGCTCTACTGGTGTGTACGTATAATAAAGAAAGAGTATCTTAGTACAGTCTACTTGAGTTAAAAGTCTAATCAGACAAAAACTATAGGAGGAGTAGTGTTACAAGATAATTTCAAAGAAATTTCTATTTTTAGTGACCAGAACAACACTGACAGGTGCAAAGTAATATGCCCCCTTTTCAAGAGGGGCATAATTTATGCTAAATACATGTATAACCATCATATTTATTGTTGTAATTTTAAAAATTTTGATTTTGATGTTTTTACAATACATGGCACGGTTTGACAATAATAGTAGCCTGCTAGCCTGGGACAACTAAAAATTGAGGTCGGGCTACTAAACAAGTCTTGCAGGGCTACTGAAATGTTAAAAAACCAAACATTCTGTTAGAGCAATTGTAAAGAATAATATAACAAGATGTGTTTGTGAAACACTGATGCCCCCGTATGGCAGCTTAAGGTGAAGGTTAAAGTTTCTCAAATGCAAGTCAAAATCCAGGCCAAAAGATAAAAAATGTTAAATTTGAAAGCCCTAGCTGCAACTGTTCAAAAGTTATGGCGAAGGTTAAAGATTTTTAAAAGTAAGTAAAACATCAAGGTCAAAGTTGTTGGTATTCAAAGGAAGGTCTTGTCACAAGGATTACATATGTAATGAAAGCCCTAGCACCAACCACTCAAAAGTTATGGCCAAGGTTAAAGTTTTTCAAAAGTAGGTCAAACTCCTATGTCAAGGTGAAAGAGTCAAAGTGGTTGGTATCCAAAGGAAGGTCTTGTCACAAGGATTACATATGTGAAGTATGAAAGCCCTAGCACCAACCATTCAAAATTATGGCCAAGTTTAAAGTTTTTCAAAAGTAGGTCAAACTTCTATGTCAAGGTCAAAGGGTCAAAGTGGTTGGTATTCAAAGGAAGGTGATGTCACAAGGATTACATATGTGAAGTATGAAAGCCCTAGCATCAACCACTCAAAAATTATGGCCAAGGTTTAAGTTTTTCAAAAGTAGGTCAAACTCCTAGGTCAAGGTCACAAGTTCAAAGTGGTTAGTATCAAGAAGAAGGTCTTGTCAAAAGGATTACATATGTGAAGTATGAAAGCCCTAGCTCTAACCATTCAAAAGTTATGGCCAAGGTTAAAGTTTTTCAAAAGTAGGTCAAACTCCTAGGTCAAGGTCAAAAGGTCAAAGTTGTTGGTATCCAAAGGAAGGCCTTGTCACAAGGAATACACATGTGAAGTTTGAAACCCCAAGCTCCAACCATTCAAAAGTTATGGCCAAGGTTAAAGTTTTTCAAAAGCAGGTCAAACTCCAAGGTCAAGGTCAAAGAGGTTGGTATCCAAAGGAAGACCTTGTCACAAAGAATACACATGTGAAGTTTGAAACCCCAAGCACCAACAGTTCAGAAGTTATGGCCAAGGTTAAAGTCTCATAAAATTTTGCAAAAGTGGGTCAAACTCCAAGGTCAAGGTCAAATATGATGGTACCCAAAGAAAGGTCTTGTCACAAGGAATACACATGTGAAATATGAAAGTCATAGCTCCAACCAATCAAAAGTTATGGGCAAGGTTAAAGTTGCCAACAGACAGACAGACAAACAGACAAACAGACAGACAGGACAAAAACAATATACCCCCGGGATCTTTCGATCTGGGGGCATAAAAAGTACGAGTTCAGATTTAGTTAGTATACAGTTTAAGTACTGTATATACTCACCTATAAGTCGGTCCGCCTATAAGTCGGTTGTATTTTTTAAGCTTAAATTGGAGGGATTGACCCGCTAAAATAGCAATTTTTTATAACTCGCCTATAAGTCGGATAAAGATTTCTGGACCAAAGTTTAACTCCCAAAACACCGACTTATAGGCGAGTATATATGGTATATCATTGAGGGAGTTAGCAAGATTCCAGTTCCCCAAGGAAGCCGAGGGAAATAGTCCTGGTTGAGGGGAACTGGAATCTTGCTAACTCCCGCAATGATATACTTTTAGCTGTTTTATTAAACCGATACAAACGTTAAAGTTAGAGGATTCAGATTGCGTGATTTCAAAGCGGGGATTAGCTCACTGAACTAACACACAGGGATTAGTCCATTCACATATTATACCAATGTTAAAGTAAAATCTAGAGGATTACGGATAACCGGGAATTAGCTTTCGAAGCAGGGATTAGCTCACTTGACTAACACATGGGGATTAGTCAATTCTTAACGATTTCTAGGGAAATAGTCACATCTAACGATCTAATGTTATATAGGGAAAAAATCAGTAGAGGTGTAATAACAAGGTTTAAAGACTAATATTCGAAGTCCAACTGTTGCCTTTGTTATTGCCTGATGTTATTTGATCTGACCTATAAATAATCTCTATCACCTAAGTGTTTGAAACCCCCAATGTATGATTGATTGATTGATTGTATATTGTTTAACATCCCATTCGAGAATTTTTCACTCATATAGAGACATCACTGTATGCCGGTGAAGGGCTTCAAATTTAGACCTATACTAGACACTCAGGGCCACTGAGCAGTGAGGGTTCTTTATCGTGCCAACGTCTACCGTGACACAGGACCTACATTTTTAAGGTCATATCCGAAAGACCAGTGACTTTCACTTCTAATGCCTGGCGCTTGGAAAGGAACAGTTACTACCTACATCTTAGGTTTAACACAGCGCGGCGAACAAGACTCGAACCCTGGCCCCCCTATCACGAAGCGAACGCCCTACCACTATGCTACCGTGACCGGTTGAAACCCCCAATGTAAAAAAGAAAGAGAATACATGTAAGCAATGCACTCACATAGACAATGAATTAACCTTGAAAAGTGTGGTTAACAAAATAAATGTGGAATCTTTCAATAAGGAACAACGTCTATACTAACATTCATAAAAAGACATAATTTTGCCCAGAAATACAGCCAGAATGCAGGATTTGGCATCTTTCTTTTAAAAATTTCCCAGGGGAGGCCCCTGTACCCCCACCAGCAGACAGGGGGAAACCTCCTCCTACATCTACCCCAGTGGTCGGTTTGCAGCTCAGCCAGCAGCCTTTGGCATCTGGACAACTAATTCATGAACAGGGCTAGTAGATTTTTAAAATTGCTAGCCTTACAGGATACTATGGTTTTAAAGTTAGTGTCAATGGATCCCAGCATGATGGCTTTTTTTAACCTGCATGCATGATAACAAAATAAATGTCCAGTGAGCTATCATTTTAAACTAGGAGTTACCTTCCCTTGAGTGCTTCCAGCAGTGCCTCAGAATCTAATGCTTTTTCTTCAATGGTTCCTAGTTTAGAAGAAATAGTGACAGAGTCTGATGCAGACAAAGATGCATCCATTAACTCTTTCATCAACTGGATCCCCAGCTTTCCATCCAGGGAATATTTACTCTCTGGATTAAACTCACAGAAATTTTTGGTTTTACATGGCACATCAAGAACAACATGGCTGTTCTGCAGGAGTGACTGAAGCTAGATATTAATGAGAATAAGAATATATCAATTTATTTATCAAGAATATGTACACATACTTCCTAGAAAAAGTATTTACATTTTAATTTTGAACCTATTCCATGTGGCTTGAACTTGTAAACCTCTTTCTTGATAAATAATGAAAAATTACTTTAAACTGTCAGTTGGCATATATAAAAGTTGATATCGATAAATGATCTGAACTGTACTTTAAACACTCTTTATTCAGTAAACTCGAATAGATTGGGCAATAGGTATGCAATGCCTATATAACGAAACAGTAAAATTATAATCTATATCATTTTCACAAATTAAATTGCAACAATACTTATCCTCATAAGAATTATATGTATACAAATTTAAATTACATGAAAATCGAGCACTGTGTGCGTCACTTTCTCCCAGAAGAGATAACGTCTTTTAGTTTTCCGAAGCACAATCTTCATCAAGTCCAGATCTTGCGCTGCATCCATACTGTGAGCCGGCATCATGGTATCTGGCCCCATGGCATGGACAAACTTATGACAGACTGCTGGGAACATCTTGTCAGAGAGCTTCGGATTTACACTATTTAAAAACCATGAGAAAGTTTCTATAGATCAGATGCAGCTGAAATATTTTTATTTTGTGATTTATTTAGATATGCAGCACCTCACTGCAGGTCTGAAAGAATCAGGATGGGCAGCATTTCAATTTTCTCTCGTCCTGAGTGAGCTACAAATCTGCAGTTAATTGAACAGCACTTGGTTAGTAAAAATTGTAGAAATATACAAATTGGTTATAGATTTTAGAAAATGTAATTATTGCTAAATTGCAAAGCAGTTATGTTAAGGCTGTCCCAAGGCTTAATATGCATTAAAATATACATTCTATTTTGAGCTAGATTTTAATTTCAATTTGTAATCTATGCATGAATTTGCGGTCACCTTGTGATGAGAGTGTCATCAGGTATTATAATAATGCATTTTTGAGATGTCACGTGTCAGACTTTGTTGATCACGTGATGGACACTTATAAATTCTCAAATGTTGCTCAAAAATCACATCGACACAAGTGCAAAACAACATTATTGAGAAAAATTTGTCACATAAATCAATTCATCATGATCTTTGGTACATATAAAGTGCTGAGGGCAAGTCTGAATTTTACTTCTTGAGAAAATATTTCACAAGAAATTCAACTTACCCACATACAAGAGGCATTTTCCACTCTTTATCGCAATTTATACAAAATAGGATAAATTACATAAAATCCTCCAGCAAAATTTAGTTAGAGGACATACTTCTTTAGTAGATTAACACAGAATATCTTCAGTTTATCCTTATTAATCACTTGTGCCAGTCAAATATATACACAATTTATAAATTCTAACTCTGTCCAGGACGTGTAACTTGACTTGACATCATATGGTATTATGACATCATATATAGATAGTTCAGAGAAGTTACTACAGTTGGAACATTTTGATATTTTACGGACAGCTGTATCGTAGCCGCGAAAGTGTAAACTTAAATGAGAATCTAACAAGGTTGATGCATGCAGATGCTTTGGCTAAGAACTTGTCACAAAAAAGGGATTTTTCACAGGACAAATGATGTCTAATTGAAAGTTTTTGAATATTTCCTTATTTAAGAATCATTCTAATCCTAAAATATGTACATTTATATTTAATAAATTCAGTTCTAAAGAATTCTATTAAATTTTTCAACTTTTTTTCATATATAATTTATATAAGGCTCTACAATTAAAACTAGTTATATGACTTAGTTCTGCCATCCTGTGTACATAAAGGATACTGCATAACCTTATTACCTAATACATGAGTGAAATACTTTATTATTGATATAGATCAGGGGGGAACTACAGGTATGATTCAATTTAGGAAATCTCACAACAGGATTAAGCTAAAATCAGGCTGAATGTATCTGGAGTTCATCTGGAGTTCATTTTATCTCTCTATACCTCTGTAAAAATGTTTTGGCAACACTGAGAGGTTCACAGAGAACATACAACTATAGATTCTTCATGTATACTTATTACATCTTGTATGGAAGAAGCTAGGTCAATGTCCAGTACGGTAAAGATTTTCTTGGCACTGAAAAAAAAAACAGGGTTGTTCCTAAGAATTGAAATAGTAGGGGAAATTAAAAAAGTAGAAGGGGGTTTAGGGTTCCTTCCTTAATGAACAGGGGGTTGAGGGGGAATACCGAATAACCAGGGAATTATAGGTGGGGAAATTCCTGGCCCCTGGGTCTTAGGGACAACCCTTGAAAAATAAATTGATCATAACAGGGATGTTGACTCCATCAGATTAACAGCACTGGTTCTCTGCCCTTGATTCCAGTCAATGCCACTTAAGAAAACTCAAGTTGGTTAGGCTTAATACTGAAAGGAGATGATATATAAGCATTCCTCAAGAAGAAAGACACTGTACTACATGCAATAACAAGACTGTAGATGATGAGAAACATTTTTACTTTCATGTAATCATGTTAAGGATGAAAGAAATGTCTCATATGAATTACCAGGGGTAATAAACAAATCCTCTAAGAATTTTCATAACTTGGACAGTGACAATAAGTTAACTTGGCTTATGACCAATGGGGATGTGCAATTACTAGTTCAAATTAAGTCAGTAAAATGATTCTGAAAACTGGGATATAAAATATCAGTAACTCAATTCATTAAGGTCTATTTTATGTGAGGTACATAGTTACATGTATTTGTAAATTACACATTTTTTTCCCCTATCACATTTAAATGTATTTTGAATTTATGAGTGTCTTGAATACATCGGCATGTTCACAAAACTATCTCAGGACTTTGATGTGTCCTAAGAATGTCTAAGGAAATGTATTAGTCTTAAGTCAGTTTCTTGAAGCTTTCCTAAATTTAGGACCTCACCATAAGTTCTTTCTAACTTTATAGGACAATATAAATTTAGCACCTCACCATAAGTTCTTTCTAACTTTAAGGACAATATAAATCATGTCCTAAGATCATACTAAGTTTGTTGTGATGCTTGTGTTTTTGAATATTGCAAGCATAAATGACAATTTCTTGTTCCTCAGCAGTCCATGTATGAGCTGATTTTTACACAAATCATTTTTTCACAAATGTTACCTAAATTAAGGCTTCTTCTTTGCAACATTAGTTACAATGTTCAAAAATTTACAGAAGATGACATCATTTCTTTTTTTCCATCTCATCAAGAAGCACCTGAATTTCGCACTTTAAAATTTCAAGATTCCTTTCTTATAATAATGCAGGTACCGTAACACCCATTTCAAATTGGGGAAGGGGAGAAAATATAATTGTTTTTAAGGGTATGGGACAAAAAATTGTAATTGACTAGCCAAAAAATTAAAATTTCTGGAAAAACCTGGACATAAAGAATAGGAAAGTGTTCACTAAAAGCAATAGACTATTTTTGGAAACGGGCTATTATATGCCATTTGGGCGATTGGTCCCAACCTGTTAATGGGTGAATAAACATATAACCACTGATAACAGAGTTTTCGAAAACCATGGGTCCTACCGGCAAAAGCGATAGAAAATCGAAATGTCCGATGCAATTCGCTCTATTACCGGTCCGCGTTACGTTACCGATGGCTTAATTGTCTTGAGACACAGTTAGATTATTCTAATCAATTGTACTCTGATCTATTGCGATGTCTCCAGGGGTGTGCAATTAGCATCGCTCGACACCTGGAATTTATTGCTGCCACTAACCCGTGGGCTAGTGCTTGAACTTTTTAATTGCACATCTGTGGTCTCACAATCGGTGTTGTAATGATCTGTGGAAAGATTTACAAACTCAATTTGAGTACTAGCTATAAACCAATACCATTTTCTTTTGAATTACATCATGAAATATCCTAAAATTTATTCGGACTGATAGAATTTGCTTCGGACTGGTAGAACACATTAAGTCATCAGTCCGAATGACTGATAGACAGCTGATAGAAATATTTGGTTTTCGGAAACTCTGTGATAACGTTAGCATCATATACAGATAATTGTACATTATCATTCCTTCAATATACTTCAGCAGATATTATAATACGTGAAATAATTCATGCATTCACCTACTTCAAAAACTGGAGTCACCTCATCCGAATGAAGGGGGAAAAAATACTTGCGCTAAAGACAAAACGAAAGTAAGCCTTCTCAGTAGTTGTAATCCAGATCGGTTACGATTGAAAAATTCCGGAAAACCATAACATACAAAAACAAAACAAAACAAAACAAAAAAAAAAAAAAAAAAGAAGAAAAAAACAAAACACATTTATTTTTGCACTGTAAATTTAAATCCTGTCCGGGATATTACATCCCAAATGGGATATTATATCCCATTTGGGCGATTGGTCCGAACCTGTTGATGAGTAAATTATGTATGTATAAAAACTATCTGGTTTATAACTCCTTTTTAGGGGGCCTAAGTCTTTTTCCTATCAATCACAATATATACAGGTGTTACAATGTACTTTCTTTTTGCCCAACGAGGGCCCTTTATTGGTAAATAAACAAATTGAATTGAATGATAAACAAAAGACTCATTGGCCCCAACGTTCACATGAGTCAGCTTTTCTTTTTCTTCAGAAAAATTCAATATATTTCCCTCTTTATTTCCTTGACATTGTTTGAACCAATATTGTGACCCCACCCTAGCCCCTGGAACCTACGTATATATATACTATTTTGATGTCATACACATGTGTTTCTGTAATAAAAAAAAATTAACCCTATAGTATAATCATAAAATCATGGGGTGCAGGCACGTAGTATCCAGGTATCGGGGCGGGGGAGAGGAGCTCCCCTTTTTTTAGACATCACTTTTTACCGTTGAAAATTTTCATTTAAAGCCCCCCCCCCCCCCCCCCCCCCACTGTTGCGGTTTAGTTAAATCAAGGTGATCTCCTAACGTTTAATAAATTTTCGTAGTGAAATAATCCACCCACCCACGAAAAAGGAGTTTGCTTCTTTTTTTTTTTTTGACTTGTCAGTCAATTTTTTTCCTCCCCTCCCCTCCCCTCCCCCCCCCTCTTCAGAAACGATACTACGTGTCTGGAGTTAACTTACAAAAACGAGTGCCTATAATATATAAATAATCATAATATTCCGATCGTTTAAATGCAGCGTTTCATTGTTATTTCAAAATCCATAAATCTAATTGTTTCTATAGCGATGATAGCTCAGTAGTATGCTTTCCAATTTAGAGCACTCCGCGTCTGGAGTCGAGATGGTTTTGGTTCGATTCTCGCATGGAGCGTTATTTTATATTTTGTTTTATTTTTTAATGCAACGAATCAATAAAGATTAACAATTAAATTTAAACTATGTACTTATTTATATATATATATTTTTTCAATAGATAAATTATGGTTCACAGGCCCGTAGTTCAACGGTATCAAAAGGGGGACAACTTCCCAAAATTAACAGACAAAAAAAAGCTAATTTTCTGTCCAAATCCTTGAATTTGCCGGTGCTTGACCTTTCAATTAAAAAGGGGGGCAGCATTTAAAGGAAAATTTACTATAGCAAAATACTATACTCGGAACCCCCCACCCCCACCCCCTCCTTCTTCGGGCTTGGTTAAGTTGCAACGAAAGCCAAACCAATTCTTGCAACCTACTCATGAAACTTAACATACATGTAATTGCCTTTAACTTTATATACCCTATTATTCATGTTTATTATTCAAGTTTCAAGTTTCTTTATTTCCTTAAGCCAACTGGCTCATCAGAATATTAATACAATTATGCTATTAAGAAAAAGAAAACATGTGTCCATTCTATTTCCACTATTGTGGACTATATTACTGGACACAAAACCCGTGGATTGCGACGATGACAGAGAGAGTGAACGTAAAAAACACATATAGATGAAAATAGTCTTGTACATCGATATTATTTTTTCTTAACAATGTGGCAGCATTCAAAAATTTGCCCAAATTTAACAAATCTTTAGTATTATTAGAACTTAACAGTTGAATTAATTTAAAGACACTAGGCTTGTTATAATAATACTTTTTTCAAAAATTTCCCTCTTAAATCAATATACAAAGGGCATTTCAAAATAAAATGAAATTCGTCTTCTATATCATGGAGATTACAACATATACATAATCTATTAATCTTAGGTATATGTTATGGTATCGACCTGTTTCAATATTCACTATATGATTTGATAAACTAAATTTTGTTAATAGTTGTCTAAATTTTTTGTCAATAGGTTTTGTTTAATATGATTGCAAACGGAAATTGTCAATTAAATGTTGATACAAATAACCCTTTGGAGAGTTTGATATACTCTCTGTTATATTTTGCTTTGAAACATCTAAAAGTCGTTGTTTTATAATGTTATAAGCTTTATCATTTAAATGATTTTCTGTCCAAAGTTGTCCTCAAGTGAAGTGTTACTAAGATATCGTTACTATTAAGATAAGACTTAATAAATTACAATTTTGAAAAGGTATATTTCAAATTAAATATAATATTTTCCTGTACATAGGCGTAGCTTTGTAAAGTCTGTCCAGCTGTGGTCAGCCGACCAAGTCGTGAACATTTATACTATAAATGTTTCGTATATACTTGTATGATTCCTGCAGATCGGGCGCCAGATACGCCCATCTTCTTTCCAATATACGAGGGTTGTTCGAAAAGTTCGTGGACGATGTCAATCTTTGTTATACTACTTCCAAGAAATATAAAATAAGCACAATATTATGTGTAAAAATATTTGTTTTGTTGATCTGTGAAATTTCATTCCATTCGATTTGATAGAAATTAATTTACTTCATTTTAAAATCAACATGTTTTGTAACCACGGCGCACGCTTAAAAACCATGTAACGTCAAAAACATAGCGTCAAGAGTTTCTTAAAAATTCTATCCCTATACATTCACACAGTATAGTCCAATACCCACGTATTAAAAACCTTTTTCAATCACTTGACAATTATTTTTCTAACAATTGTTCTCGTTTTATTTCCTTTGTTAATATTTAATGTCTTTTACTGCTTTACTGTGCTTTCACAAGATCAGCAACTCTGAAGCGCCTACGTCTTTCCATGACGTCCCAACTTTTAAAAGTTTTCGTTCAGATTTTTACAGTTAAACCGTTTCTTCACAGATTGTCCTCGTCAGATACAGAGTCTCTGTCACTCAAATACCGCCTCTACCATTTACACACACATGCACTACTCGCTAATTGTGGCATATTTTCTGATTCCTCCAACATTTTTAGCGTTTATTCAGGATTTTCCCCGAGTATAACACAAAACTTCACCGTTATCTGCTGCTCCGTGACGTTCTACAACGTCATCGTTTTTGTCGTTTTCAATGAGGACTACTTATCTTCTCAAATTGATTTCCCTTTTTACCGAAGCAAAATATTAAGCCAAAATTTGGAATAAGAATCGATGTAAAAGTTCTTAATTTAACCGTCTAGGATTTTTTCGTTTTTGCTCCATTTTACAGAGAAGATGACTACAGACATTATTTAGTGTATTGTTTGTAAATTACTAAATTTTGACCTGCGCCGCGATCCGATTTTTGCAGTTTTTATCTCTGGATAAGTTTTAAATAAATCATGATATTTTTGAAAAATTTAATACAAATCATTTAAATTTATTGTTAAAATATATCTACCAAATTTGGATGACATATGACGTTAAATAAAAAAAGATATGACAGAAGTCCACGAACTTTTCGAACAACCCTCGTACATGTATATGAAACATCATGAAAAACTTTCAATCCCAATCTATACGAGTAGTCAGTCCGACAGTATACCAAGGTCATAACATTTTGAAATATATGTCAAAATACATAAATAAATACAGTACCTTCCCATTCAAACTTCAGGAAATGGATTTTTTATTCCAAAATGGATCCCCGTGAGCTTTTCCAGTCTAAGGGTGTCCAGCGTCCGTATGTCTTGTGTAAAATTTTCAACATAACAGGACCCTTGGGTTAATATTAACCAACTAGCCACAAAATATCCTGGTAGCAAATTTAGAATTTGGTCATATACAAATATAAAATAATCAAATTTTGAATTTTGTAGAGGACACTGAGTTGGGGGGGGGGGTTAGATTTGTTCAAATGAAGGACTTAAACCCTCTTTCAACGGGAAATGATTGGAAAAAAGACAAATGTTGAAGTCTTTTAAAGGCCAGCAAAAAAAAAAAAAAAAAAAAAACAAAAACAAAAAAAAAAAAAAAAAAAAAAAAAAAAAAAAAAAAATTCATGCAAAAGTTAATTCAATATAAAAGTACAATTTAAAAAAAAAATTAAATTAAAAAAAAATGAAAATGAAAAAAAGGAAATAAATAAAAAACAACAGTAAACAAACTATAACGCGTGTTGACTCGTTGAAGATTTTATGAATCTGGGTTCAAAAATAAGAGAAAAAACACAGGGTTGGCCCAGAAATAGTATTAAAGCAATATGAGCTGCAACTTTGATGTCGGAAATTTTTGTTGCAATATTGTAATTAACTATTTCAATGACAGAAACAAAGAAACTTTATACACTTTAATATTTTATATTTACAATGGAAGAACTAATTTTAAGCTGTTGAAGCGAAACCACATTATTGTCGTCATGTACAATATTGATTTCTTATGTGATACTATACATTCCATTGTACAGAAATTTTTCTTCTGAAACAATTCCATACTTTATTTTAGTCTAATTGATAGTAAAGATTTAAGTTACATACAGATTTATCATAAAATCACATTTTAACAGCAAAGAAAAATTCTCAGAAATGCAGCTCATATTGCTTTAAATTAGACGGACAAATTGACCCCGTAATATACACTTTAATCAATAATGATTAACACACCCCTTTTCATTGATTTTAATTATCATAAACATTTGTAAATACATTAACAGTAACCGGATAATTACTGATTGCTCATGATTACACAACAAACTGTAATTGATTACATCTGATTACGATTACTGATCACGTCTACCCATCCCTGTGTGAGACACAATGATCGAGGGATCAAAGTAATATTTTCAATATAAAGGAAAACATTATATAAACAAAATGTGTTTGTGAAACACTGATGCCCCCGTATGGCAGCTTATGGCGAAGGTTAAAGTTTCTCAAATGCAAGTCAAAATCCAGGCCAAAAGATAAAAAATGTTAAATTTGAAAGCCCTAGCTGCAACTGTTCAAAAGTTATGGCGAAGGTTAAAGTTTTTTAAAAGTAAGTAAAACATCAAGGTCAAGGTCAAAGTTGTTGGTATCCAAAGGAAGGTCTTGTCACAAGGATTACATATGTAAAGTATGAAAGCCCTAACACCAACCATTCAAAAGTTATGGCCAAGGTTAAAGTTTTTCAAAAGTAGGTCAAACTCCTAGGTCAAGGTCAAAGGGTAAAAGTCGTTGGTATCCAAAGGAAGGTCTTGTCACGAGGATTACATACGTGAAGTATGAAAGCCCTAGCATCAACCATCCAAAAGTTATGGCCAAGGTTAAAGTTTTTCAAAAGAAGGTCAAACTCCTAGGTCAAGGTCAAAAGGTCAAAGTGGTAAGTATCCAAAGGAAGGTCTTCTCACAAGGATTACATGTGTGAAGTAGGAAAGCCTTAAAACCAACCATTCAAAAGTTATGGCCAAGGTTAAAGTTTTTCAAAAGTAGGTCAAACTCCTAGGTCAAGGTCAAAGGGTCAAAGAGGTTGATATCCTGAGGAAGGTCTAGTCACAAGGAATACACATGTGAAGTTTGAAACCCTAAGGCACCAACTGTTCAAATGTTATGGCCAAGGTTAAAGTTTTTCAAAAGTAGGTCAAACTCCTAGGTCAAGGTCAAAAGGTCAAAGTTGTTTGTATCCAAAGGAAGGCCTTGTCACAAGTATACACATGTGAAGTTTGAAACCCCAAGCTCCAACCATTCAAAAGTTATGGCCAAGGTTAAAGTTTTTCAAAAGTAGGTCAAACTCCAAGGTCAAGATCAAAGAGGTTGGTATTCAACGGAAGGCCTTGTCACAAAGAATACAAATGTGAAGTTTGAAACCCCAAGCACCAACTGTTCAGAAGTTATGGCCAAGGTTAAAGTCTCATAAAATTTTGCAAAAGTGGGTCAAACTCCAAGGTCAAGGTCAAAAGGTCAAATATGATGGTACCCAAAGAAAGGTCTTGTCACAAGGAATACACATGTGAAATATGAAAGTCATAGCTCCAACCAATCAAAAGTTATGGGCAAGGTTAAAGTTGTTAAAGTTGACAACAGACAGACAGACAGACAAACAGACAAACGGACAAACGGAGAAACAGACAAACAGACAGACAGGACAAAAACAATATACCCCGGGATCTTTCGATCCGGGGGCATAAAAATTAAACAAATTTTACCATGGTGGTGTATAAATGTGCGGTAAATAGATTACAAGATAAAGGTGTATTAATGGTTGCCAGTCTACAGAAGACATCAAGGGACGGTGCTCTAGGAAATGCATGAATTGTAGTCAAATAAAAAACATGAATACATGTAAAAGGTTGCATTCCTCCTCATGTCTAATGTAGATAAGCAAAATGAGCACAATTATAATTAACAAAATGTAACAATATATAGTAATACTGTTTAAAAATCATATACATTTTTTTGATATGAATTGACTCATTTTCATTTGAAAATAGCCATATTAAGCTTCTCATTAAAATCAAGATTAGGGAAATTGGTACATAATTCTGAGACAGATTTTAAGAAAATTTCTCGTTCATCTTTGAATTTAGTGCATTTGAAGAGAAAATGTATTTCATCCTCCACCTCATTTAGATCACATTTCGAACATAATCGCATGTGTGCTGGGATACCCTGGAACCTTCCAACTTCAATTTGTAAATGATGTGAAGATATTCTAAATCTACTCAGGCATCTCCTCAACCCAAAATTCTTAATGATATTAAAATAATTTTCGAAACCAAATTGATCTTTAATTTTGACATAAGTACGTAGTTTACCATCCATATAACTGCCCAAATTGTCATGCTATAATTTTATGTAAGTTTTCTTCAGAATTTTGTGTATTGTATATTTACTAACTTTTTTCCAGTTGTTTAAACATCCCTTCAGTTCTGGTATATTTTCTAGAATAGTGTGTAGTGACCTGTACCAAGAGGATCTATTAACAGCATATAGTTTCTTAGAATGTTTATATGCATTTCTGAGTAAAGGAAATTTTCTATCATTTTCTTCCAATCTTTCAAGTCTTTGCCAGTACCTAACCATGCTTTTTTACTATGTCAAAGTGAAGATATAGGAAATTTGTGAAATTTGTCAAAGTGACCAAGAAGAAATTTACAAAGCTTTATGTGAAGTTTTTCACACATGGTACTAGAGTATATCTGATCCAAAGAGACCTTATCCCCCCTTCTGAATTTACTAGCTTTGCAATTGAATGATCCCCAAATCTCGCATCCTTATAGAAGAATTGGTTTAATTGTGTGATCAAACACATGTAGGCATGTTTTAATTTTGGGATTCATTGAAAGAAAATTTTTTTGTAGTTTGAAATATGCTTTTAAAGCCTTTTTATATAAATCACTTTGAGCAAAGGAGAAAATGCCTGCATGATGCACTGAAGTATATACCAAGATATCTACAATGTTGTACACATTCAAGGTTATATTCTTGATATTTAAAAATATATTTGATATGTCTGTCCGCTTTGTTGAAGACCAGAATTTTTGTTTTCCGTATATATATATATATATATATATATATATATATATATATATATATATATATATATATATATATATATATATATATATATATATATATATATATATATGTGTGTGTGTGTGTGTGTGTGTGTGTGTGTGAGGGTGTGTGTGTGTGTGTGAGAGGGTGTGTGTGTGTGTGTGAGAGAGAGAGGGTGTGTGTGTGTATAGCTCTTTCGCGCGCGTGTGTGTTGGGGGTGGGGGGGGGTGGGGGTCTTTTCTCCACTTCTGAAGCTCCACATATATGTATGCCTCTTCCTACCAACTTAAGTTTACAAGGGTCCGCGTTTTCTAGGAAGGGGGATCCGAGTTCATTTTTTAAAGTTAATTTACTTTGTAGCTGGGGTGGGGTTCCCCCTCCGGGTCTTTTAATAGCCCGAAATATCTGAAGTTTTCCAGCCTTTTTTCATGATTGTGAGCCAGGAAAACGTCACATATTTCGGACTACCCTTTTAGATCCGCGCATGCTTTATTAACACGAAGTCGGACTTTCTACTCCCGGACCTAGCTGTCCTAATAGTCAGAATGTCCTACTATTACGATACAACTGTACTGTAAGTCTACCTTGTTCCGGATATTAAATATAACTGTTACTGAGAGGCCGCTGTCCAACATCAGGTTAACCTAAACTTCGTGGGGTTTGAACATCTCCGTTATACGAATGATGATATGTCTCTTTGGGGCTGAATTTATCTTTCTATGGGTATTTCATAAGGCCTAGGGTCGCCTTGTACTCTCATAGGTTGTGCATATGTTTCCATAGGACTTGTATGTCTATATTCATAGCTGGCGCGTGTTTCCATAGGACGCTTATGTCTGCCTGTAGGCTGTGCATGTAAAAAAAGAGTTTTAATATCGCACTTCCTAAGAAAGTTCGGGTATATCACATGTTATTATCCTGGTCCGTCCATCTGTCACATTATCTTCTTCCTCAAACTCACTCAAGAGATTACATGTTAAGGTAGCTAACTCATCTTTTGGAATATGATTGGTTGTGCATTGAACATTTGCAAATAGATTTTGAAATTTTCATTCTCACCTTAGGGGCCAAATGGGGGTAAAAAATAAGGGTTTTTTGTTTGACAAAAACCGGTTCCCTGAACACTTCTAACATTTTTCGGAGTAGCCCATTCATATTTAGGAATGTGATTGGAAGTGTCCTGTAGATGTGCAATAAGGTTTCGGAATTTTGATTTTCATCACCGGGGGGGGGGGGGGGGTTTGGGGTCAAAAAACGACGTGTTTTTTTTTGCAAAAATCTGGTTCCCCAAATTCCTCTGACATTTTTTGCAGCAACCACCTCATCTTTTGGAATATGATTGGTGGTGTTCTGTAGGATGTGCGAATAAGGTTTTTGAATTTCGATTCAACACCCCCCCAACCCCCCAACCCCATGTTTTCCTCTTAAAACCTGGTTCTCTGAACTATTCTTAAATTTTTTACTGTAACAAACTTATCTTTTGGAATATCCATGATTGGTAATGTCCTGCAGATGTGCAGCAAGGTTTTTCCCCGGGTTGGGGGGTGGGGGTCAGATCGAAAACTGTTTTCTACAAAAACAGTTCCCTGAATTCATCTTACATTTTTTGCAGTAACCAACTCATCTTTTCTAATACGATTGATGTTGTCCTGTAGATGTGCAATAAGGTTTTAGAAATTAAATTTTACCTTAGGCGATTGGGGGTCAAAACACTACATGTACATGTATGTTTGGATCTCATTTTTTGAATGTGATTGGTGGTGTTATCTCACTGATGACTTTTAACTTACATCTAAAGAGAAACAACATAAACATCACCATGCATGCCTGCCTTGCGCTATTTCATTGTCATCCAAAGAAAGACAACACAGTTGACACCCTGCGTGTGAGGGAAACATAAGGAATTGTCTCCCTGTACGTCACGACATCCTCTAAACCAATCAGATTGACTGTATTATTCTAATAATTGATGTTGAAACATTCTCCTACATACTATAAATTAAAATAAAACTCTAGTTAAAAGTCATTTTGATTTTACTTTTTTATTTACATGCACAAAATGTACCAGTAGCCTTATTACTTGAAAATGACAAACATTTCAATATTACAGCACAAATCTGCATGTATTATAAAAGGGAGTAGATTGTAGAATTAAATAAAATGTAACATAGATGGTAAAATTGAAGCACATGAAATTTTACATGTACAGCAAAGCATGAGAAAAAATAAAGACAAAGGCAAACATCTCAACATAAATTTTCAAATGGATATAGTACATAATATTGAATCTTGTAATTTAAAAGCATTTTTCTGAACAAAAGACCACATATTTATGTGCTTCATGACAAGAAATATGTATGTACACAGTTGGAATAAGTTTTACCGTGCCATTTTCTTTGGATACAGCAAACCAACAGTGTGTAGTAATTCAGATGTACTGATTATACTTCTTAAACATTCATTATAGGCAGCTTTAATTTGGATCATAAAATTTTTCTGGAAAGTTCTGCAATTCCTGTCCAATACGTTTTTCTATGAGGGGTAACATTAGCTGGTCATAGTCCACACTTCCACTCACAAAAACCTGCTTCCCAGTTTTCTTAGCTACAAAACAACAAAAGTAAAAGTAAAAGATTGAGTGGGACCCGGTATTTTTTTTTTTTTTGATAAGAGATCACACACATGTACATATTTGTTGCAAAAAATACTTGATAAAACCTAGTCGCTGTGCTATGGTGAAGCAATGGGAATCTGCTGGGCCAAGAAGAACTGCTCCAGAAGGAATACTGCTCTACAATGAAATAATTCAGTAATTATGATTAAGCGGTAATTTGTTGCTTCCCCCCCCCCCTCCAATACATACACTTTGACCAATTTTTTTTCTTGTTCCCTGTCTGAAATAGGTTATCCACCTTGCAGTCCTTTAAATGGGTTTTTAAAAAAATCATTTCTGCTGAAAATTTTGCATTTTTAAGGGTACATTCTCCTATTTATGCTATTGGCACATTAGTAAAGAGGCCCTTGGGCCACATTGCTCACCTGAGCATTTTGGCTAGAGAAAAGCAGAAACCAGTTCAGTATTGATGAGTTTAAATATATATAAGTTGTTGCACCCTACTTACCCCCCCCTCCCCCTCCCCCAACCAAGAGGCAGGGAAGGGTGGCACAATTTTAACAAACTTGAATCTACACTAACTGAGGATTCTTCCATATTTATGTACTAATCATGGCTTTAAAAGATTTTTACAGATTTTCTCCTTATATTTCTATGTAAAAGTCTGATCTTCTATTGTGACCTTGCCTTTATCCCATGGGTCATGATTTGAAACTTTAATGTACACTAACTGAGGATCGTTCCAAATTAATATGACTAATCGGGACTTTGCTGTTCTTTTAATAGAAGATTTTTAAAGATTCATCCTAAATATCCCTATGTAAAACTTTGATTTCCTATTGTGGCCCCATCCTACCCCTGGGGGTCATGATTAGAACAAATTTGCTGAGAATGCTTCCACGTGAATATGAATTAATTATGACTTTTCTGTTTTTGAGAAGAAGATTTTTAAAGATTTTTCCTATATATTCCTATTATTGTAAGACTTTGATCACCCATTGTAGCCACCCTACCCCAGGGGTCATGATTTCAAGAAATTTGAATCGCTACTATCTGAGGATATGAGCACATGGCTTGGTCAATCAAGTGTTTTCTATTTTCTTTATTGATAAAATTGCAAACTCCTGTGGTTGGACCTGCTACTGAACTTGAGGCTGTGCATATTACAGTACTTACAAATTTTGTTTGCATTGCAACTGCAAGGTTTCCTAACTTGTTCGAAGTACAGATCCAGATATAGAAACTTTCTTTTAATTTTAACACTTGAAAATGAACAACTTTTTCCATGATTTTGTCAGAAAACACATGATATTTTAACTGAGGATCAATAACATTCTCCAGATCAGTCATTCTGAAAACAGAAAGTTTCATGTAGTTCGATCCCGATGGAAATGGAAACACGAAGCGAAAGTAAGACTGTAAGTAAAAGTTTGCAGAAGATGATAAAATGTGTTTTTGGTGGAAATAGGACATAAATAGTTTATTAAGAATTTACCAAGTTAGGAAGAGAAATGCAATTTGTTGAAATTAAATTAGGAAAAAAAATCGAAAAGTTTGAGGAAAATATATGTAGATATATTGTACCGAATTTCCTCCTTAATGAATGTGTCTTATTTGAATAGGCCCTATATTTGTAATATGAAACTTCTTAGACTATGCTATAGGTTATGCATATGAAGAACGTATATCTGTATATAGTTGCCGTTTGTTTGCATATGTTTGTTTATTTAAAGGGGTGAACATGTGATTAAATATTTATATATACATCATTTATAAATACATGTACCCATACTAGATTTCTTAATTCTTATTATTAGATACCCCGGTACATGGAGTATATTCAATGTTTTGTAGTTGGATATAGAATTTATTTCACAAGTGGAACAGAATTTTCTTCATGAGTGCAAAGCACAGGTGACAATTCAAAATTATTATTAAAAAAATCCTGTCTCACAAGTGAATTAAGTAAACATATACATGTAGGTATTCCATAATCAACTACAAAACATTGAATTTTCTGTTTATTACATTTTCTTTGATTTCTCTTAGCCTCTGTCTTTTCATAATGCAGAGTTGTAGGTAGTCCGAAATATCTGACGTTTTCCTGGCTTTTTAATGATTTTGATATTTTACGTGCCAGGAAAACGTCAGAACTGGCGCCATTACGAAAACTGGAAATTCGCCTCCTCCAACTGGAGGCGCCATTTTTGGGTTGATTTTCGAATTTTGCAAACCGAATTAAAAGCTGAATTCAAAATTTATTAATAGTACAATGCCTTTAGTAGTCACCAACATCGTTTTTATGGTTTGTTTATGAAATATACAGTCTGGTGAAAACATTTTATCAGACCATTGGGTTTTCTTCTCATTTCGTGCATTTTAAAATCTTGCAAGACCTGTATCGAAATGTGGAGTGATATTTTCTTTTCATCGATATTGGTGAGTACTAGAAGCATTGTGCTACTGATAAATTCTAAGTTCAGCATTTAATTCAGTTCGCAAGTATCGAAAATCAGCTCCGGTTGGAGACGGTGAAATTTCCAGTTTTTGTAATGGCACCGGTTCTGACGTTTTCCTGGCATGTAAAATATCAAATTGTTAAAAAAGCCAGGAAAACGTCAGATATTTCGGACTAAGTTGTAGGCTATGGCATTATAGTTGAGCAGTTGTGATATATGTCATAGCTAATTGATTGCTAGATTGAAAATTGTGAATATAAATGGATATTACATGTAACAACAATCTGAAGAAACCTTGGCAGTTTTAGTCTATGTCTTTTTCTATCTTATAACAGCTAGGCTAGAGAGTATTTTTTACAACACAATCCCTGAAGGGAATTAGGAAAATCTGAAGTTTTGCTACAGTGCGAAAAAATATCACTTCTATTTCCATTAGGCCAAATAAAAAAATATGTGTGGTTCCGGTTACCCGACCGTCCCTATTTTATACCCCCGACCCTAAACTTTTTTTGGGACAATTTTCAAATTTCCGGAATTTTCCCCGATTTCCCTCATTGGCTCCAGTATTAGTTTAAGTTTTAGCAATGGTGGCCTTCTTTGACAACAACGTTTCAACACATATAGTACAAGTGTTTTGTCAGTTACAAATGTCACCACTTGAAAGGAAGCAATAGTATTATCTCACCAATATCACCAATAGTTAATTCAAGAACATTCAATGATATTTTTGACGTTTATTATATCACAAAAAAAAAAAAAAAAAAAAAAAAAAAAAAAAAACCTACCTACCTACCCTAATTTGTTTGGAGGTGTAACCGGAACCACACATATTTTTTTATTTGGCCTTAATAAATTATGGTATTTCACTGTTGAAAATGTATTACATTTAAAATTAAATATTCAATTTTTTGTTTTCTGAACATGGTACAGTGGTAATATCAACCTTTAAAACAGAGGTTTGTGGCTTTTCCATACAATATGCTCTGCCTAGTCCAGTAATTCAGTGGAATGGATATAGAAAGATTGGGAGTGGACTTTGATCTGGCTGAAGTTGGCTGTCAGGGAAAATTTATACCAGTCCCGAAAAGAAATTGTGATGGAGATCAGCCCAAAAAGACAGTAAGTAATACAAATGATGAATTGTTTCCATACAGATTATCTTCGACTAAGGTATATAATCACAAGGCTATGCATTTAAACTAAGGCCAAAATAAAAAATACCTTTGTTTCCCCTAACCCGACTGACCCACTTAAATCGCTCCGACTGAAAAGTTTTTTTAATAAGATTATTCAAATATTTTTTTTTATTGTTTGTCAACTTTATAAAATACGATTTTATCAAAATCTGTTTTTATCAGAACGGCGGCTTTTGTTCTACTCTGATTTGGCGGCCACAACATGTGGTCGCAAAGGGTTAGTTCGTGTTATAAAACAACGGCAACGTATCAATATCTTTAACTTATTAGAATCCTACACTCTTGAAACATTTCGTGAATTGAATATATCATGACTAAAGAGTGTTTTGATGGTATTTACAAATGTGTCTACTAAAATTAACGTACATGTACGTAGTAAGCATGGCAAAGCCTGCCTCAAGAGCAGATGAGGGGCCCACCCTGTGTATACATATCATAAACTTCACTGAATTTCATTCATTTGGATCTAATAAACAGTTCATGTATGATCCATTTTTTACTATATGGGACCATAGGAGTTGTAAATATGTCTTTGTATAATTATTTCATCTTGATAAATATAATTCAGACGTAGTTTCTTCATTCCTTTTATTTATGGGTTAAACTTCGCGACACTTTTAACATTAGATATATGGCATTTTAATCATTTTTAGATATGGTTTAGTTGAATTAAATATTGTTTATACATGTACACTCTTTCCAAATAGTGTAGAAATCTTTAAAAATGGCTCATGGTACAGCCTCCTGAGAGGTCCAATGCATTTTTTTCTTTAGTTACGCCCTTGAAAATAGGTTGTTTCTTTGCTTTAAAATCTCTTTAAAATTGTTTGTCCGACAACATTTGAACATGTAGGGATCCAAATTTAGATTTTACTCGGCACCTATGGCCATTGATCATTAAGCATCAGTAAGGGATCTTTTTGATGTCAACATCTATACTGAGACACTGGACGTTTTTTACGGTCTCATTTGACTGACCAGTCTCCACATCCCACATCGGGACCTGTGACTTAGAATAAGCTCCTAAATTACGTCCTAACTCTAAAACGAAACACTCTATAATCACTGCGCCACACGAAGCCCTTGACATTTTGCCTGTGTAAGCACTTGAAGATGATAGTAGGTTTGAAAAATATACTCGGATGTCCGATGGTTGAGTATTTGCGAATCTTGTCTTTTTGTAAATATTCAATTTCAATAAATTTACACTGTCCTGAGATATTTCACAAGTTCAAATGAATAATATTTGTGAATATATTTACCATACATGTTGCTTTGGAATTTCATTTGTATGATATTCAGTTTAAAAATCGGTTTCTTTAGTTTTTTCCTTATTTATAAAGATATTCAATTTTTCAGAATGCATTTTCATTACTGCTGTCAGAAAAAAAATAATTTACCTACCTACCTACCCAACTTCAGATTTTAGAGTCAGGTTAGGGGAAACAAAGATATTTTTAATGATGGCCTAAAATGTAAAATAGGTAGTTATTGCAATGCATTGTTCTAAGTGTAAAAAGTACATCCAGCAATGACCATGTCAATCTTCCAAGACTATATTAGTTAAGATTATACAGCTCCTTGCTGCATGTACAATGGACCAAGATTTTGACTAAAAATTTGTATCTAGAGCAAGTGATTGTATGGTTATTAATAGCTATAGCAGACCTTCAAATGAAGCAAAATATGCTTTGGTAAATTTAAGAAGTTTACAGTCAGCATGTATCTGACATTGTATAGCTGCCTGCTGGCTTACCACCAATCATACCTTCCTGGGATGAAGAGTTAGAAGAGTACCTAACTTGTGTGGAGAAAGTACCAGTTCATGACATAACCAGGGCACAAAAGTAAGATACTGATTTATTATAAGTATTTGATTAACATTATCATTTCTGGTTAAAGTACATGTTATCTACTTCAATCTGTTATTTTCTTCTAATATATGTGGACTGGAGTTATCTTTCTAATATGTCAATAAAATTTCCATTTTGAGAGTTCAAGATGTTGATATATGTAATTTGTGTCAAAGATTTTTATCTTGGCATCTAAAAAAATGCAGTGATAATTTTTGTTGGCAAATAATGATATTTGAAGGTTAAGGACATACGTAACGTAGTTTGAACTTTATTGTGTTTTTTCCTGGAGTTGAAGAGTTCCAATACTTGAAGGAACTGTGTGCTACATTTTTATGTCTAAATATGCTGTTGTACACTTCTTCTAAAACAAGTTTGGATAAACAAAACACCGAGAATATATGCTTAGTAATTTTTGTATATTTTTCTTTAAATTATACAAGAATTTTCATTAATTGATATCTTTTCGAAACCCCTGGTAATGCATGCTGATTTTTTGTCTATGAACATCTGATGGCACTATAATCTTAAATTCAGAATATCTTGAAAAATTATCAGTAGGTAAGGTACGTTGCGTATGTCCTTAAGTTGTTTTATGATTTTCTCCACTTAGATTGGCTGAAATCCCCCCATGTAAAAAAAAAATATTTTCACCTCAAAGGCCATTGATAGGTCTGGTTTGATTGTTGACACTAATTATGAAGTCATTATGGTATAACACATTTCAAACAGTACTATCCCAGTTTTGTATTACATACTATTCATCATTGTTATTTGCAGAGGAAATGGCCTATAAAAGAATAAAAACAATTAACATGTTGAAAAAACAATCATTTGTGTATTGCATTTGATCAAAACAATCATTCAGCACATCTTGAAGAAAAATATTTTCCCCTGCCCTTCTAGGAATGCCTTTCTCATCCAGCTTAATGGCTGTATTGACCTATACAAGTATGTGTAAATATTTGTATAATACATGTATTATTTAGGTTTTGGTCAAGAGAGCCATGTCCTGAGAATCTGTATCATGCTGAAGTGTCTGAGGTACAGACCACCATATACGTGGACAGAAATCCCACCACTGGGGAATTACTGGGCTACAAGGAGGTGTGACATATGAAAACATTGATTCTAATGCAATTGTTTTGTAAAATGCATTTTGATTGGCTAATACACTAATGCTTGAGGCAGTTAAATGAGGCAGCATTAATGAAAGTGAAAGCTAGCTTTTGATTGTGTCTTCATAACAGAACAACACAAAAACAGTGCATCCTGACATATTTCATATAAAAACTAGAAATATGTCCATAGGACATGAATGCCTTGCCAAGGTATATTAGTAATGCAACATGAAAATTTGTATTAGTGTATGAAATTTGATGAGAATATCTTGAATTATAGTGTCTTTAAAATTGAAATTGAAATCTAAAAAGTTGGATATAGATGATAAATTCTCGCCAAATTTTGTATAAGTGCATAAACTTATATATCTTAAATGGTTTCTTTAAAATTAAGCCATATACTAATCTAAGAAAAGTGAGGTCAAGGTCACAGGAAAGTTCAAGGTCAAATGTTTTTGATGCAGTTGAATACTTCTCACAAAAACATATTAGCATATTTAAGTTTGATAAAAATATTTTGAATGGTTTATTTAAAACTGAGCTAAACACTAATTTAACATAAATGAAGTTAAGGTCAAAGGAAAGGTCAAGGTCAAAAAATGTTGATGCAGTTGAAAAGGTTACATCAGTATGTATTAGCATATGAAGTTTGATAAAAATATTATGAATGTTTTCTTTAAAACTGAGTTAAACACAAATTGAGAAAAGTGAGGTCAGGTCAAAGGAAAGTCAAGGTAAAAAAATATTGATGCATTTGAGAAGCTCTCATCAGTATGTATCAGCATATGAAGTTTGACACTAATTTAAGAAAAGTGAGGTCAGGTCAAAGGAATGGTCAAGGTCAAAAAATGTTGATGCAGTTGAATAGCTCTCATCAGTATGTATTAATATATGAAGTTTGATTACACTGTATTGAATGGTATCTTTAAAACTGAGCTAAACACTAATTTAAGAAAAGTGAGGTCAAGGTCAAAGGAAAGTCAAGGTAAAAAAATATTGATGCAGTTGAATAGCTTACATCAGTATGTATCATCATATGAAGTTTGATTACACTATCTTGAATGGTACCTTTAAAACTGAGCTAAACACTAATTTAAGAAAAGTGAGGTCAGGGTCAAATGAAAGGTCAAGGTCAAAAAATGTTGATGCAGTTGAAAAGCTTACATCAATATGTATCAACATATGAGGTTTGATTACACTACCTTGAATGGTATCTTAAAAACTGAGCTAAACACTAATTTAAGAAAAGTGAGGTCAAGGTCAAATGAAAGGTCAAGGTCAAAAAATGTTGATGCAATTGCATAGCTCTCGTCAACATCTATCAGTATATGAAGTTTGATAAAAATATCTTGGATAGTTTCTTTGAAACTGGGCTTTGAACAGAGCTAAATGCAAAGTGTGACGGAAAGACAGAAGGACGGAAGAAGGACATGACAAACACTATATGCCGCAGCCATATTCCTGGTGGGGCATTAAAAAACTCAACAAAATAAGAGGAAAACATCAATCAAAATGCATTACCTGGCATTAGAATGGAATAACTGTCTTCTCATTTACTATTTAACTATCTTCTCATTTGTTACTTGTGACCGTTAATGCTGATTTAACAGTCACAAACATCAGTTTTATCGGCTCCACTGATATTGAAAAGACAGTTATTCCCTTATTTACATGCAGTTTTCATAAAATAAAATTTTTAAAAATTGAAAATCTAGTAACTATATAAGCTATCTCTGTGTGTGTGTGTTTTTTTTTGGGGGGGTGGGGGGTGTTACTCTTGGTTGAAATTTGGTCTTCAAACATTGACTCTGCTAGTAGAAAAAAATGAACTGATTGTAGGGATTGAACACCAAAATCATAAGGATCACCAATTGAGATTGTTCATTTTTAGGAATACTTGGAAAGCACCTCAGAGGGAAGGACCTCATTATCTCTGAGGAGGCCCCCTGGCCCTGCCAGTCAAGATGTCAGAGGAAGCAGTGCCAACTTCCCATTTTTGCCTGGTGAGAAAATAATTATGGTGTCTTTTCTTAACATGTCAAAACAACTGTTTAGGATATGTATGACAAAATATTTTGCTCCAAAATTATTGCAATTCAAAATGTTATGCTTTTACAGGTGGAATGGAAGAAATTGATACCATCTTATCCAAAGACAAAGAGAGTTTTCTTGATCTTGAAAAAGGTAAATGTAACCTTAATGCTCATGGTATTGATTATTAAATATGAAGAGTGGAAGTGCTGAGTACATTTAATTTGTATTCTTTTACATGTTTGTGACTGCGACCCTTTTCTTGGTCATGTGAGTCAATCATGAGATCTGTTGCTACTTGTATCATTTCCCTATCCTGTTCTTATGATCTGCATAATTTTTGGAAGACACCAAAACTATTTCAATTTCATTCAAATTTCAGACACAGCATGTAAGGCTTAAGGGTTTTAAAACTTTGAATCTCATGATTCTTTCAGCCCAGGTGGGGCCAAAATCATCAAAATTAATACAGTCTTTTTAAAAAATTTGCTGTTCGTTGATACCTAGCTTGTAGACTGTTTGCATGATTGTAATGAAAAAAGAAGGCTTTTTCAAAAGTTGTGAAGTAGGTTTGATCATGACTTTCTAGAGTTACTTCCCTTGAGAGTGCTCTTTCTCATGATAGTTTGATATATAGTCCAAATCCTGTGAGAACTTGGGGTACAACTTGGAAGATAATACAAATACAGGTAATTATACACACAAAACTTTTTGTCAGAGTGATAAGGTTCTGTCTTTTGCTTTGATTTTGTCATGGAATTTTACTTATAAAATCTGTTGTTCTAAGATCTTGAAGTACAATTTATATTCTCCACATCTTTAACCATGGAGGAAGTTGTGAAAGAGTTAAATGCAACTGAAAATACAAATGTGTGTTCGACCTTCTCTAGTAGGCTTCACTTAAGGGAGACTGACCCTCTGATAAGAGAGATAACTTCCCAAGTAAATAATCCTGAAATTACCCATGGTTTGTCATAACAGAGTGTATAAGTAGTAAAGACCTTTGAAAAGTCAATTCCAGCAAAACCAACACAGGACGGAAACATTGACTTCTTTTTATTTTTGCCTATATTTTTCATAGTTTTTGATTATACATGTATTTGACCTAAAACATTTGCATCCAGTTTTTTAAAACTGAGGATAATAATACCCTGAGGGGTATGTTCACCTGTTTCAACAAATCAGTTGAGGGTTCAGTGAGTTCTTTTCAAATTATTAAACATAATTTAATTCAGTTTTGCATACTCTGAACAGGTCAGGTTCACTACCTTTTATGGAAGGTGAAACAGTTATATCTTATTTTGGACAATTTTAAAACTGCAGTAATACCTCCTGTTCCGTATGAAGAATTGTTGTTAGGAGCAATTTTTTTTTTAAATTAGAAGTACTGTGAGCACTGAGCTCACAAAATGATACTCCTCACCTTCCATATGTTTATAATGACAAAGTCCATGTTTTGCTATGGCAGACATGAAATAAGTGTCCAATCAAAAAGTAAAATAGGAGGTGCACAATGGCACTATGTAATAAAGATTCTGTGAAAGTATCATTAAATTTTATTCAGTGGTATATGAGGAGTTGCGGATAAGAGATGGCTACCCCTCAATATTATAGAAAGAATGGCAGTGTCTATGGTTTGCTAATGGAAACCTGAAATATGTACCCAATCAAAAAGTAAAAAAAAAGGAGGTGCACAATGACACTATGTAACAAAGATTCTGTGAAAGTCTCATTAATTTATTCAGTGGTACAGTCCCTGAAACGTTCTACTTTCCCACTTGAACGGTGAGCGAACGCTGAACGAACGGTGAACGAACGCTGAACGAACGCAGAGCGAACGGTGAGTGAACGATGTGTGAACGCTGTACGCAACTTGGTGAACGATGTGTGAACGGTGAACGGTGAGCGAACGCAGAACGCGAACGGAGCGCAAACGCGAACGCAAAGTGAACGGTGAACGAACGGTGAACGCAAGATGAACGATATATTCGGAATGCCTCTGATATTTTCCCTGCGTTGAAATTATTTTATTGTATTAAAATGTTAGGTGCCAAAAAAATAAATAAATAAATAAATAATAAATAAGTAAACCAATAAATGAATGAATAAATAAGTCAATAAAATAAATTCTCCAAAATTGTCCTAAGAAAGACGATGCATGCACATAAGTTTTTAATCACATGATTCTTATCGCATTAAAACATTGCAATTGTTGCCGAACGCTGAAGTATAAACAAATCAGAGAAAACTTCTGACTTATAGAATGAATTAAAGCAGCTGTAACATCCATTCATATATCTCCGTGTCAGGGCGATTTCGTGTAAAGTAATGAAAAAAAAAAATAATTACAAAGGTCAGTGGACGTTTTGCATTTATACGCTCGTATTTTAAATTTTTAATACAATAATATATTATGTGTCATTTCTATTTTTCATGATGATTTATTGAGCAGACTTCTACATGTAAATGTAGATGGCCGTGGTTATACTCGGACAAGATAATACAAAGATACATATTCATATTATTTGTTATAAATTCAATTTTCCGAACTTGATATTTATGTAGTATGCTGTTATAGTTTTTATTAAACAGACAAATGAGAGAGAGAGAGAGAGATTCCGTTTTAGCCCCCCCCCTCCTTTCAGGCTTCACTAAATGTTTGTACCAATATTAAACAAAAACTCTGAAAATTTTTTCTAAATATATCAGACAGTGAAAGTAACTTTTTTTTCTGTCAATCAAAATCATTCGACACTGTGCAGGTGTGAAAGTTTCGTCACATAGAAGACGAAGTGCGAGTATTTCCAACAAGATATAACATTTATTTTTATCATTTCTAGATTTGATCCCAACATTTGAATAATAAATGAATAAAATACATTGGGCATTAACACTTGAATTTGAAACATACTCTCTGCCAATTTCAAATACCACCGCCGACACGTGTACATTTTAAACTACTATTGTTTTGTGACTTTTTTAGATGCATGTTTGTTTTGAGACTGAAATTTTTGTTCTAAAAAAGACCTTAACTTATTTTTTAAAAAGATGTTGATTAAATTATTCTGGAAATACAGTACTGACTAAGTAACCAATCTAGGGGGAAAATAAGGGGGGGTATTAATCATATCGAATGGCAAACATATAAAGTTACGTTGAAGAAAGATTTTTTTTTTCTCTATAACTATAGACTTTACATATTATATTACAGAAAATTCTGTAGTGCAGTACATTTCAAATAAATATTTCCTTTAACCACACTATCAATTTAATTCGCTCCAAAGATAATAAATTAATAGGATATCCGCAGTACTATGTATAACTCTCAGAACTAGTTCTATCATATTTTCTGTAGTAATTGAAAAAAAACGTGTTAGAAATAAATATTTTCGTAATTTTGCTGCGTAATTATTTGACTTAGATACATATGTAATTATGTCACCATTAACGATTTGTCGTCTTTAACAAAATAACAAAATGTTGCAGTGCTTGAAGTATTTGCACATTGCCCTTAATAATATATTTAATATTTCAGCATCGTTTTTCATAGGTACAGAATGTGCTTATAACAACATTTATTTTCCAGAGTGATTTAATAAATAACCTAACAGCTAAGTTAGAATAATAAAAATATATATTGTAGATATTTTTCAACATGAAATAATGATTCTTCAAACACGATATGTTAGTTATTAAAATAAAAAACCTGTAACTCATTCCCTACAAAAAGATAAGTCCTTTCACTTCGGAGTTCCGAATGACAATGAAAACTGAACGATAGGTGAACGCTGAACGCAAGGTGAACGCAAAGTGAACGGAACGAAGAGCGAACGCTGAACGCTTTGTGAACGGTGAACGCGAGCGCACGGTGAACGGTGAACGCAAAACTGTGAACGGAGAGCGAACAGTGAACGCACGGTGAACGAACGGTGAACGCACGCTGAACGAACGGTGAACGAACGGTGAGCGAACGGAAAAATGGGAAAGTAGAGCGTTTCAGGGACTGTATATCAGGAAATGAAGATAAGAGATGTGTACCCCAAAGCTTAATGGACGGACAGACGCCCCCATCACTATACACAGGCAGGAAGATTAATCATGGGGAGTGTGTATCTTCTCGTGATACTAGGAGACCATCAAGACTTAAGGGCCTTTTATTCAAACGAAAAATTATACTATTAAATTATCAAATTCCACTTGTTACAGAATTATTATCAGTAGCACCTGGTTTAAAGGACGGAATGACCTTTGATGACCTTGACCCTAAACCTCAAAAGAAGGAATCAACTTTTATAAATCTGGCAGACATTATGTCTGCAGGAGATCTTGATGAATTTGACCTTGGTGACGAGGAGGATGAAGCAGAAATCAAAGTAGAGGATGAAGGTCAAGGTCAAATTCAAGCCGATCTAAAACTTGAGAAGAGTGACAGTTTGGAAAATCTTGTGAAGGTATTGTTAATGCAGTTGATTAAACTTTGAAAAAGGGCATTTAGAATGACAAAAAATATCTTGTTCTGGATATCATTTAGTTTTAGAGCATTACTTTAAATTTATGCAAGTGTGATTATGAAATTTAGATTGATCAAGAAAATGAAAGTGAGAAAGCCTACAGACCCAGCTATGAGAAGAAAGAGGAATGGGCCATCAAAGTAGACACTGACCATCCTGTGGAGGATTTCTACCAAAGAATACCTGACATGGCTTACAAGGTCTGTTAGATAAAAAAAAAATTATACATGATTTCTTTATCCTCTTGCAAAAAAAGTTGCAAGGGGATATGGTAGCTCACCTGTATGCACATGGGCTAGTCTGTGCATTCTTAACAATGTTATGGGCACATTATGTTTAAAAGTACTGTTTGACTTTTCAGTCTTAAACTTGCTACAGATATGATTGGTTACCACTGGTACAAGCCTTATGATTAGAGGATTAAAAGGTCAAGGTCAAGGCATTTTCCCACCAATGGTAGAGTACCATTTGACTATTTTGTCTCATACTTGCTACAGAGGTGGTGAGTGACCAGAGGAACATGCCTATACATTTGAAGGTCAAAAGAACTTCAAAAAAGAAAAAAAAAAGGTTTAAGGTCAAGGGCAGTGATTGATGTTCTTTAAGTTGTGAATACCTTATGGCAATAAATTGTATGAGAAACTGTATCAGTGAATAAAATCTTGTTGCAAGGGGATGCTCAACTTTGCAGTGCCTTAGTTAATAAAAAATAAAATTCTACTAGTCCTTTCTTCTAAATGTTTTGTAATAGTTATGAGGTATATTTACATCTCCTTTATTATATATAAAATCTATGATTTTGCGCATTCTGAATTGAAGTTTTGAAAAAAGTGAATAAATGTATGTTAACTTTTTTTTTCTTTCTGTACAAGTGGCCCTTTGAGTTGGATGTGTTCCAGAAGCAGGCTATTTTACGCCTGGAGAACCATGAGAGTGTATTTGTTGCCGCCCACACATCTGCGGGTAAAACAGTGGTGGCTGAGTATGCCATAGCGCTCTCACTGAAACACATGACCAAGTAAGCCACACAACACCAAATTTTACTATTCAGGGCCTTGTAGTTTGCTTGTCATTGTATTGTACATGTATGCACATTTTTTTTCTTGCTTTTCTGGTTATTATTAACTCCAAAAATGATGTTCACAAGCCTTTGAATATAGTGAACATGAATTTATGTTCTTTTAGAACTGTGTACACATCCCCCATCAAAGCTTTGTCCAATCAAAAATACAGAGAATTCAAGCTGACGTTTGAGGAGGTGGGGCTAATTACAGGAGATGTTCAGATTAACCAGACGGCTTCCTGTCTCATCATGACTACAGAGATTCTCAGGTAACATTTGTATGGAATATGCCAAGTAATTGAAATTGTTTTTTGAAGATTTCAGGGGCGTAGCTTGACTTAAAATTCTAGTGAGGCAAAACCATAGGGGCAGGGGGTATGGGGCCGCCTAAGGCCCCAAGTAGGTCAAGGCAGCGCCATGGTGGTGGTGGTGGGGGGGGGTAGAGGGGGGCACCACACCCCCCTCCAGACAGAATATGGATTTGGGTGTTTTATCAGACTTCTCCTGCACAGAAGTATAGTTAATTTTACCGGTTTCATAGTGTGAATATGATACCACATATTATTAAAGCATTTAAAAGAGCATCGTCAGAAACCAACGAGGTAAGAGAAGCTAGACCGACCACAGGTTTCCGACGATGGTAAAGGAGTTAATAAATATGCTTACTTAAACTTGTAACACATGTTAAGATGAAAACATGTTTTTTTAAATTTTGTTTTTATTTCGTCAAAACTATAATTGTCAAACATTTATCAGTTTTTAATTTTTTTCCAATCATTGTCTACTTGGAGTTTTCGGTAATGGAGGTAGAGCCCAAACCTTGATGGTATGAACGTACATTATAGAATTGCTTAAATTATAATTTTTACAAGATATTTTCTGCAATGTATTTTTAACTATGGGAGGGAGTGGTGGTGGATAAAAATCTAGTGAGGCAGTTGCCTCATTGCCACAATGGAAGCTACGCCCCTGGATTTACCACATATTCAAATTTTAGATCTACCGGTATACATGTATGATATAACTGTTATTACTTTCTAAGTAATATTTGCAGGCCTTGAATATTATGTCCTTCATTTAAGGAGAAGATGCTCACAAGGATGAAATATAAATAAATATCATCTGGATTTTTTTCCCCAGATCTATGCTCTACAATGGATCAGATGTAATAAGAGATCTAGAATGGGTGATCTTTGATGAAGTCCATTACATAAATGATGCAGAGGTAAATATTGTGACAGCTAGCAAAGGTGATAATTTATGGCTGGACCGGAATCAAATCTAGGACTCCTGCATTACTAGTCAGGTGGTTTAACCACTGAGCTATCCAGACTGAAGTCCACGCTTCATACAGCCAGAACCACTACAGTATCATTTCAAATAGTGCACAGTGGAACATGCAGTTGTTAATATTTGTTTAATTTCAGAGTGAATAATTTGCTGTAAACCAACTTTTATTTGTGTGCGAAAAATTTTCACAAGTTTCGCGACCTAACTTTAACACTACAGCCCTATTTTACAGTACATATCTTCTTATAGAGAGGAGTAGTTTGGGAAGAAGTGCTGATTATGTTACCACAACATGTCAACATTATACTTCTGAGTGCAACTGTACCTAATACTCTGGAGTTCGCTGATTGGATTGGGTAAATTTAGAGTTAATACAAAATGCATCTCTTCTTTACTAATACATGTACATGTATATTTAGGGCCCCGCAAGGATTTGCGGGTGCCCTATAGTAATCACTCTGTCTGTCTGTCTGTCCGTCTGTCATTCCTCCGTCCACAAATTTTCTGTTTTTTTCTAATAACTTTTTTTGTAGTTGACCAATTAAGTTCAAATTTGGTATGTTGGTTGAAGAGGCAGTAAGACGTATTTTGATGCTAAGTTTGGTTCTCTATGTCATCCAGTTTGGAGCTGGGGTGGTGGGGTAGATTCCTTAACTTTACATTAGAATGAGTGCCAGGGCAAAGAGAGATAACTGCTGAGAATGTTCCTATTGTAAACTATGAAAGCTGCAACTAGTCCCATGGGATTAATTAACTTTCCTCTTGAAGAAAGTCCCAAGCCTTATCTGTTTCTGTCAAATAGAGATTAATTAACACCTCTGTCTGCAAATGAAGTTTGTTTTGAAGTTAAGGTCAATTCTGAATGATGTTTACATTCTCTGAAATGTGGATTTAAATAATGTTCATACTTTATTTTGGTAAAATATACAATGAGTTATGATCTTATTGAATTCTAAAAACAAGATATACATAGAGATATGCTTTTTTATTTATTTATTTTTGTTTTTATTTATATATTTTATTTATTTATTTATTTATTCATTTTTTTTGGCTGTCGTATGTAAATTCAAGAATAATATTAATTTTAATGGGTAGTCCAATAATAAACTCATTCTGTCATTACTGAAAGAGTTCTTATTGTAAACTTGGAAGAAAAGGATGAGAGAGCAGTACAATTAATCCCTTGGGATTAACTATCTTGTCTGGGGCAGAAAATTTTCCAGGCTTATCTTTATTTGTCATTTTGAGATAAATTAACCTTTGTCTGCAACTGATGTTTGTTTTGAAGTTAAGGTCAAGCCTGGGTGATATTTGTATTCACTGAAGGCTGGTATTTTATAAAACACATGCTTTATTCTTGTTTAAATATACATTTAATTGAGTTATTATAGATATGATGTTTTTTACTGCCTTATGTAAATACAGGGATACTCTTAACAGGTTGTTGGATGTTTAGGAATTATCTTGAAATCTTATAAATACAGTTGTTATTGCATATTCTTCTTTATATATTTTTTAAATTTTTGTAATCAATTAAAATTCTCATTCTGTAAGCTGCACCCTTATATTTCTACCCCTCGGTGGGGCCCTTGCTGACTGGTCAGTTTTCTAGTTACATTTGTACGTATCCAGTCTATATTGTAGGAAAAACAGGGGTTTAATCCAAAATTAATATAAAAAGAAAAATCTTTGAAAAGATGATTTTGTTAAAATTATGCTGTAGATTACAGAGCTCACACTGCTTCCTTTTTTTGTAGAAGAACAAAGAAGAAGAAGATCTATGTAATTAGCACCTTGAAAAGACCTGTACCTCTTGAACATTATCTTTACACGGGAACAAGTGGAAAGACCAGCAATGAACTCTTTAAGATTGTGGATGAGAAGAAAGTTTTCTTAACAAATGGGTAAAAGTTTTATTTGTTTTTTTTCAGTGGATGTACTTTGGTTGAGGGGCTTCACTGGTCAGCTCTACAGTGAAAGTTCAGATAAGGTAGAAAAGGTAAAAAGTAGTCGCCTGGTCGCTGACAAAAATATCCTGCCTGATTCAGATCTGTTTCTCTTCAGATATAAATCTTGTAACTACATGCATGTAAACTATGTAATCATCATGCGAAGCTTGTCTGCAACCCAAGATTTCTTTGAGACAGCATTATTTTGATGACTCTGTATGCATCTTTCTGATGTACATGTATGTGAACAAAAAGTTTCAAATGTTCAGAAGCCATGAGAACCATGTTAAAATTATGTCTGTCTCATACATGTACGTTTATAACCACAGGAGGACCATAAATATACAAAATAATTAAAAGAATTATTATGTACATGTACATGTATGTTGATAAAAAATAAAATACATGTAAGTTATGGATGGCTTACTACATTTTTTTTAAAACAGGTTTTGTTGAAGTGAATTGAAAGAAAATTGAAAGTAAAGGATCTAGAGGAAACTATTTCATGATCAATTACATTTGTTTCTTTATGAATAGATATCACAAAGCTCTAGATGCCAAAAAAGAAAAAAGTAAATCTTCTCAAGGATTTGGACCCAAAGGAACTAGGGGAGGAAAACCACACCAAGTAAGTTGTAATGTAATGCCCCTAACAAAAATCTGTCCTTAAATTGTCTTTCAAATAGATTCAGATATTAAAGAAGACAAGAAGATAGTTTTTTGTGAGATTTCAAATTAAAAAAATTATTAGTTAGAAGTATATGTACCGGAATTTTTTTGTAGAATGAAATAAATTAATCAAATGCATGGATATATTGAATACCTGCACATTTTAACAGCTTATAAAATGAAATATACTCATGTATACAGTGATATTAAGCAAAGTAAATGATTTATTTCAGGATAAAAACATATGGATCTCTGTGATAGACATGCTCAGCAAGAAAGACAAACTGCCAGCCGTGGCTTTCACCTTCTCCAAGAAAAAGATTGATGAAAACACACAGAATCTACAGAACAAAGACCTGACAACAGCTAAGGAGAAAAGTGAGATCCACCTCTTTTTCCACAGTGCCATCAAGAGGTTAAAACCTCCAGACCAGAAGCTGCCTCAGGTATTATAAATTGTGATTAATTTTTTTTGGAAAATATACATGTAAATATTTCATGATTTGTGACTCACAAATTATAAAATTTTAGCTTAAGTGAAAGTTCTCATCAGCAACACATCATAATAAGAAAAAGAATATTATCTTGAACTGTATGGGACCAAGAAAAACTTTCAGATATCCAAGGGTTCGGGATATACCATCAGAATTTTCTTCTGTTTTAAGGTAATAGAAATGGAGACTTTATTGAAGAATGGGATTGGAAAACATCATAGTGGAATCCTTCCAATTCTCAAAGAAGTTGTGGAAATGCTTTTTCAGAGAGCTTTAGTGAAAGTAAGCCCCTTTTTTATGCCAGACATTTTTTATTCACCAAAGTTTAGAAGCACATAGTTTATAAGTTTTTGAATTCAGTTATATTTCAATGAAAATTTAACCAATAAGGTTAACATTAAATTTTGCATCCCATGGAAACTTCAATAGAGTTACATCCAAATGTGTCTCAAATTCCATAATAGGTTCTCTTTGCAACTGAAACATTTGCCATGGGTGTGAACATGCCAGCCAGAACAGTGGTGTTTGACAGCATCAGGAAGCATGATGGGACAAATTTCCGTGACCTTCTACCTGGGGAGTACATCCAGATGGCTGGGAGGGCAGGGAGGAGGGGTTTAGATACCACAGGGACCGTCATTATTCTCTGTAAAGGGGATGTGCCTGAGATGTCTGATCTTCATAAAATGATGCTGGTATGTGATTTATCTCTCCCTGTCAATCTTTCTCCCTCTCAGTATTTGAGAATTTTAATACTGTAATTAATCTGCAAGAACTTTGTTTTGGTGTAATTACGCATAACAGTCTGCTCACGAAAATTTCTTTCTCACGCATATTTTCATTTATAGAGATAATATAGAGCAGTAACCAGAATTCATGAAACTTTTGTTCTGCTATTAAATAACAAATACGAGTATCTTTCAAAAATAAGGTTTCTCAAAATTTGGTGACCTACAGTATTGAACATTATCTTCTAAATTTAGTCAGTAACAACCAGATATACATCTACAGGTGACTATCAATAGCTCTAGTCCACAGGACCATGGAAAAACTTCTCGAGATTGAGAGTTTAATTTTTTAGCTCACCTCAACGAAGTTGGGGGAAGCTTATGTAATACCCTTGGCGTTGGTGTCGGCGTCTGCATCCCAGGTTAAAGTTTTTGGAGCAGATTTCTTTTCAAGTACTTTTATGCCTTATATTAATCAGAGATGCATGGATCATGCTTCTAGTGTGTTTCATTGTACCAGTCAAGGTTTCAGATGCTGCAATTTCAGCTTAAGAATGACCAGGTTAATGTTTTTGGAGCAGGTCTCATTTCCAAGTAACTGTAAGCCCTATATTGACCAAACTTGCTTGGATGATACACCTAAGGATGCACACTACCAGGCTTGCTTTAGATTCTGGATCTGACCTACATTTTCTGGATGATTGACCAGGTTAAAGTTTTTTGGAGCAGATCTCATTTCCAAGTAACTATAAGATCTATGTTGACCAAACTCACATCATCGCATGGATGATACATCTAACATTACACACTACTGGACTTGCTTCGGATGCTGGATCTGACCAACATTTTCTGACTGAGTGACCAGGTTAATTTTTTTGAGCAGATCTCATTTTCAAGTAACTATAAGCCCTATGTTGACCAAACTTTCATGAATGATACATATAAGGATGCACACTACTGGAATTTCTTCAGATGCTGGATCTGACCTACATTTTCCAAATGAGCAACCAGGTTAAAGTTTTTGGAGCAGGTTCATTACTAAGAAACTATAAGGTTTATCTGAACCAAACTTGAATTGATGATGCATCAAGGGATGAACACTCTCAAACTTGCTTCAGATGTTGGATTTTACTTACATTTTATGGATAAATGACTGCTTTACAGTTTTTAGAACAAGTCCTTTCCCAAGTAACTACAAGCCCTATCAGACCAAAATTGCATAAAGGTTGCATCTAGGGATGCACACTTCTAGATTATTAGTTGAGTGTGGGACTTTGCCTTACTTAAAGACAACGTTCGTTAAGGTGAGCTCTGTATTTTCTGATTATGTATGTTTAAAAAAATTTACAGGTTACTTTTTGATTGAAAATTTGTTTAACAGGAAGCTATTGATTGTGATAGAATTAAGCACTTGAATCCCTATGTTTTGTTTTTTAGGTAAATTAATGAATAAATTTGCAATAAATGAATAATATAAATACAATGAATAAATTAATAAATTAATGAGTAAATTAAATGTATGATATATCATTCTGTTCATTTATTCTATGCAAGGGGACATCATATGAGGGTATTTATTCTCAAGAAAACTGCAAGAGTAGATTTCAGTCAGAGATAAGATCTTTCTTATTTCTTTCAATCAAACATGTTAAAGTATACAATATAAATATTTGAAAGATAGAGTAATGTAAGTTATAATATACATTAATATGAATTTGTTTTATTTGTACTTAGGACAACCTTTGCTACGGTCATAGTCATTCACAACAAACAAGAAAATAAGTCTGTCCTATAATTTATTTCTTACTTTCATGGCTTCTCTAAATTATCATCAAATTGTTGGTATTAACCCGTATCATGCATGTATTTGTTTTGAGAGAATGAAATTTTCCAATAATTTTATACAGAGTCCAGGCTACCTATTCTTACCTGTAACTTGTTCAAGTGAGTTTCTAGAATGAATCTGATATTGGAGGAAGATTGGTATTGATTTAAACAACAAAAATGATCCAAGGATTATGGGTCTATCTCAAAAAATAAAAATCCTACAGTACGTGATTTAAAAACGCCATTATTTTAATAATTGTTTTATTGTTTTAAACAGCACACTGTAAGTAATAATAATTATATATGATATTATGTAGCATGATAAGGGGTAATTATTTCAAGTGCAGGTGATAACTGGCTTAAGAGTACTGTCACCATTTGGATCCCCAAGAAACCTCTCAGTATAGGGGTCACTTATCTATGGCTAGAGACATTTAAATGTCAGGAAAGGTGCTAATTAGGTCACATGTACCTGTTAGGTATGCAAAGCTTCTTCGAGATATGGAGAGTAAATTACAACTGAATTTGCATTATGGGACTATATTTCGACTTAAAGAGATCAAGAGTTTTGAGAGATTGAGAAATCTAGAGTAAAATTTGCATTGTTATAGAGGAGAAAAAAAAAATTGGGGACCAGAGGCTTGCTTCAAGAGATCAAGAACTTCTTAAGATGGAAGTTCGAGCCATTAATGGTCCCCTGTTCACCTGTATATCAAATATTGTAATAGAGAAAAATAAAATATTATTAGATGAATGCAGTTGCTTTAAAGGTGCTTGGACACAGATTTGAAGTTAATATTTTCTCAAATTTTCTGTAAAATTTCATGACTTATATGTTGCTATAGCATTTCATACTAAAATATAATAAAAATCTTATTTCATCTCGTAGTTATTGAAACTTCAAATTTCTGAACGCGTTTGATTGACACATCCTTGCACTTCCACAAATTTTAATTTTATTCTTAATACTTAAGAAAAGTGGCAATTTTGTTGTGTATTAATGAAAAATATTAAAACTATAATCGAGAAAATTCAGAGTAGAAATGTTCGAAAGCAAAACCCACTCACAGTATTGTCAGTCTGTGCTCAGTGGTGTGTGCAGACTTTAACAATTGAACACACCCGGTGAATCGTAAACATTAACGGTAACAGAGCTCGTGCCCTATTTACAAAAACAGTTTACATTTCACAGGTGTATTCAATTTGTTAAACTCTGTACACAACACTGAGCACGGGCTGACGATATTAGTGAGGGGGTTTGCTTTCGCACATTTCTACTCTGAATTTTCTGGATTATAGATGTAATGTTTTTCATTAATATACAACAAAATCGCTTCTTTTCTTAAATGTTAGGGATAAAAATAAAATTTGTGAAAGTGCAAGGATGTGTAAATCAAACGGGTCCAGGAATTCGTAGTTCCAATAATTTCCAAATAAAATAAGTTTTTAATTATATTTTCATGTGAAATGCTATTGCAATATATAAGTCGTGATATTATACAGAAAATTTGAGAAAACATTAACTTCAAATCTGTGTCTAAGCACCTTTAAGTTTTATTTATTATTTTGTAGGGAAAACCAACTAAGTTGGAATCCCAGTTCCGCTTGACTTACTCTATGATACTCAACTTACTGAGAGTGGAACAGTTGCGAGTGGAGGACATGATCAAGCGAAGCTTCTCAGAATTTCATCAACAGAAAGACATTAGCAAACACAAGGTCACAATAGACCAACTTCACACCCAAATATCTCAGATCCGCCCCATCGAGTGCTACCTGTGTTCTGTAGATCTTGAAAAATATTATGAGACTTGTAGGGATTATCTGTGCCTTAAGAAGAAGTTGCAGGTAATATTTTATAACTATAGAATATTGATAAAATTTAAACATTGCCTGTGTCCCCAATTATGAAAAAAATTGTAGTATTTTTCTTGAAAGAAAAGAACAGTGAAGTGAATAGACATATATTTGAAGGTTTGGGGCTAAGACAAGACATGGGTACTGCATGTATATGCATATCAATACAGTTTTGTTTTTATTTTACAGGAAGTTGTTTTATCTCACCCAGCAGCAATAAAAGCTTTAACAGCAGGGAGAATTGTAGTCATTAGCAACAGTTTCCATAACAACCAGTTAGGAATAGTTCTCAACTCTACAGTGGCAGCTAATAATGAAAGAGTGTTCACATGCTTAATTTTATGTGATAAAAATAAACTTGTGAAATCAAAAACTGAAGAAAAGGCCGAGAATGAGGAAGTATCCCCTGTAATGGATACTGACCTGTATCTGCCAGAGGCACCAGTGGGACATGAAATGATTCAGGTCAAGGCCAAAGACATCAGTAAAGTGACTGTCAAAAGTATCCGAGTGGAGGCCAGTAAGATCATTGATGACATCAAGAAAAGGCAGATGCCAAGATTTAGGTAAGAGTTGAGCTCTCTTTTGTTTATCTAATAGCTATTCCACATGTATATGAAGGAGTCTCTTCAATGTATTCTGTAGGATGTTTTTTTCTGTTGATTTATTAGCTCACCTGAGCCGAAGGCTCAAGTGAGATTTTCTGATCAAAATTTGTTCGTTGTTCTTTCATTGGTGTTGTTGTTGGTGGTGTCGTCATGGTGAACTTTTTACAATTTCATCTTCCTTTCTAGAACCACTAGGCCAATATCAACCAAACTTGGCACAGAATATCTTTAGGTAAAGGGGATCCAAGTTTGTTCAAATAAGGGTCATTCCCTCAAATAAGGGAATTAAGAAATATATATTATTATAACAATAACTTGATCCAAAGAGCCGTATCACGTCAAGTTGACAGGCGCAGATCATCAGATCAAAAGAGACGCGAAGCTTCCTAACAAATGTAGATATAAGTTTGTTCAAATCATGAAGTAAGGTGGGGCCATAATGGGCGATCAGAATTTTACACAGGAATACATAGGAAAAATCTTTAAAAATCTCCTTCTCAAGAACAGTGAAGCCATGATCAATCATATTTATATGGAAGCATCTTCAGGTAGTGTAGATTCAAGTTTGATCAAGTCATGACCCACCGGGGGTAGGCTGGGACCACGACAGGGGATCAAAGTTTTACATAGGAATACATATTGGAAAAGTCTTTCTCTTAAGAACAGCTAAGCCATTATTGGTCATATTTATATTGAAGCTTCCTCAGGTAGTGTAGAATCATTTTTTTTTTTCAAAACATGACCCTCAGTGGTAGGGTGGGGCCACAATGTATGATCAAAGTGCTCCATAGGAATACGTTGGAAAAATCTTTAAAAATCTTCTTTTGAAAAACAGCAAAGCCATGTTTAGTCATATTAATATAGAAGCATCCTCAGGTAATGCAGATTCAAGTTTGATCAAATTATGAACCCCCAGAAGTAGAGAGGGGCCACAATAGGAGATCAAAGTTTACAAAAGAATAAAAAGATATATTAACAATAAGAATTTTTTTTCCGAGGAACAGCAAAACATTGATTATTTATATTAGTTCAGAAGCATCCTCAGGTAGTGTAGATTCAAGTTTGTTCTAATCACAACCCCCTCCCCAAGGACCACTTTAATATTTAAACTTTTCAATAATGAACTGTTATCTGCTTTTTTCCTAGCAAAAATGCTCAGGTAAGCGATGTGGTCCATGGGCCATTTGTTTTTAGTGTTTTTGTTACAAAATAAAAATTTAAAAAAATCACTAAGAAAAAAATTATTTATTTTAAGAAAATGGCAAAATTAAAAAGAAAGGGGGAAATTTTTTATAGGAAATGTGATAATAATCATAATTGAAGTCAAAGCTGCATCTTAATGAAATACTTTTATTATTAGCTCACCTTGACGAAGTCGAGATCAGCTTCTGTATACCGGCATTGACATCAGCGTTGGTGTCCTGGTTAATGATACAGGAGCAAGTCCATTCTGAAGTAACTTTAAGCCTTACCTTGACCAAAATTGCATGGATGATGTATCTAGGGATGCACACTACCAGACATGTATTGGGAACTGAATTTGACCTACTGGTACATTTACAGGGTTATTGTACAGTTCAAGTTTTTGGAGCAGGTTCAGTTTCAAGTATCTATAAATCCTACTTGGACCAAACTTGTGTAGATGTTGTATTTAGGGATGCACATTACCAGAACATTAGAGGAGCATGAGACTTACTCTTACTTATTTGTCACATTCATTGAGGTGATTTTTGAAGTCTTTGATTACCTATGTTTTAATTTGTTCAACACCTGTAAATTTTAAGAATGAAAAATAAATCTGTAATGTATTTTTAAGAATAGATTATTGTCATGAAGTTTTTGGTCATGATCTGAGATACTTGTTTTCTGCAGAGATGATCCACCAGGAAAATCAGTCACAGCAGCCTCACAAGAATTGCTACGCATGATTGAATCCAATATTCATGGTCTTCCTGGGCTGGACCCAATCAAGGACCTTCATCTTCGAGACATTGACCTTGTGGAACAGTTCCGAGCTTTGAATTTCATAGAGGACAGCTTTAAAAATTACCAGTGTATAAACTGCCCCCATTTTACTGAACATGTATGTGTAAAATTAACAAACCTACTGTCTAAAATAAACTTGCCAAACATATTAAATCTGAAGGATAGATAAAGAGTTTTTGGACCTGTATCTTGATTTTAAATCTTCATTATTATGCATGTTGCTTTCTTATTCTAGTTTGAAGAACATGGAAGAAATATCCAACTGAAGGATGAGTACAAAAGACTAAAATTTCTCTTGTCTGATGAGAGCCTGGCACTCTTGCCAGAGTACCAACAGAGAGTCCAGGTAAATATGTAAATAAATAATGTAGAGTTGTAGACCCTTCACTTTTTTCAGTTTTTAAAATCTGATTATTTTTTTCATGTAGTTTTTTGTCTTGGTTTACTGTAAATGCGCATACGAGAACAAAGTAGCCAGTGTTTGATCGATATACATGTATGAATGCTCATGTACAAGTTCTTACTTAAATATACACATGTAGCATTTACGTTAAGTTTGCATATATTTTATTAAGAGTAATGGATGGTTTAATCATGCCCAATTTGAGCCATTAATCTGCAACTTTTGAGTTGATTAGTTTGGGAGTCTCATGGTGAATAATCTCAATACTAATAAGTTTTTGCATAGATAACCAATTGCATTCTAACAATATCCAATGGTCAGAAACTCATTTTGAGGAAATTCCAAGACAAAAACACCATAATTATTATCCATTTATCATTGTTTGCCGTGTTTTGGGTGCATGTTACGTTGAGGAACCTGTGGTGTTTACAGGCTCTGAAATCTACTGCTTTATCACTTGAATGATTATAGTGATTAGTGAACAGTGAGGAAACAATGAATGAATGCAAAACAAACAGTGAGTGAATGGTGTGTGAACTCGGAGGTTGTGAACAGTTCATAAACAATATGATGAGCGAACAGAGTGCAAATTCGAGCGCAATGTACAATGAGTGCCACAAAAATTTATTGGGAATGTCTGAGGTGTTTTCCTCACAATTGTACTTATTCTATAATCAGGTAAGAAAAGTAAGAAACAAGTAAATTAAATCAATAATTTTTTTTTTAGTGCCTACATTATCAGACTAGATTCAGAGCTATATCGACAATTATGAATATTATTTGTTTCTGTTATGTTGTTTTAGAAAGAGTTTCGTCTCCATGCATGACTTGATCAAGAACTAGTGCTTTGAGTTTAAGGATTTAATTCTGGTCCCAAGCTTTGGAAGTCTTCAGTTATTGACTCTAAAATAGAATAAACCAGAATCAGGAAACTGCTTGCCTGTAGTTCCCAATATTTATTCAATCTAAACAAAGTAAAGTACAGTAAAGCTTCGTTATCTTGAACTCGAAGGGACCAAGAAAATATTTCTAGATAACTGAGGATTCGAGATATCCAGGGTAAAATACTTAAGGAATAAGCAGTTGGGACTTCAAAATCACTTTGACATATCCATGGTATTCAAGATATCTGTGTTAGAGATACCGATCGAAGTTCAACTGTAAATTTATATTGCTAATGAAGTGTTGATAAATTCAGCAGCATCGATATTTGAAGCAAGCATGTGCAAATAAAAACATTTATTATATGATTGAATAATTCCTATCCCTCTGATTGGCTGAGATCCAACAATGTAGAAAAAATACTATACATTATTTTATCGACTGGGTTCGAGGGCAACATGTGTTTTGTCGGACCCAAGAGCCAAACTGTTTGCCTAAGGCCATTATATATCTGTACATGTAAATGTATAATTAATATACATTTTACATGTACAGATATATAGAAAAGTAGAAAAAAAATTAAGTGCTTTGCATTATATTCTATAAGATATAAATTTGTGGTCTGATGTAATATTTAAAAGTTTCCTTCGTGTCTATGAGGACATGCAGGTTGCTTCTTATTTCGTTGTTGTTAGATATATAGATCCTCTCTATTCGGAGTTCCAAAAGACAAGGAAGATCACTCATTGTTCAGTCTTTGTTTCAGTGAGTGCATTGTGAATGACCAGTGAACACACTGTGAACTAACAGTGAGTGAATGAAAAAAGTTCATGAATGGTACATTAAATGATAATTAAATGATAAATAAAAGAACATTGTAGGTAACAGGTATTTAAATATCAACTGACTTGAGTGCTAATTTTGTTAATTGTAACTGTTTCTTTCATTTTCAGTTAATGTTTGAATTGTTAAAATTATGGTGTTATATGTTGCTAAATGATCTTGACATTAGGTATGTACGTGTCATGATCATCTTAGTTACCAACCTATCATGTAGATCAATGAGGGATGTGATTTTATCATTAATCCCCCCTCCCCCAAAAGGGGAAAAAGAGAAAGCAAGTTGCAATCTTGTTGAACAGTTCTGAAGAGTTCATTCAAAGATTTGACAATTCAAATCATTATCCATTCATACAGTCATCTGCCATGAAGTTTAAACCAACTACCAAGACAATTAAGTCTTGGGGTACCTGTAAAGAGCTAATTTTAGAGATGTATCTTGTTTAACATGTTTAATGCCTAGATCTATGAAACATATATACTGTAAACTTGGATATTTTTAATTAAAAATTTTGTGATTTCCATTTTGTTTGCATGGAAGTTAAGAATTCACAAGCACATGCCTAACTTGCAGTATGGTACTGTTTTCAAAACTACATGGTGATAAATTTTGTGATAAATTTTGTGAAACTTTAATTACTCATCAGCAATTTCACTAAATTTCCCCCGTTGCAAACGTTAACATGTTTACAGTACCATGTTCCCAAACATTCATCATGAAATTTGTATTTTCATTGCAGTGTCCTCACAATATGTACTGAACCAGTACTAGTTACAACAACTGTGTGCTAAACCAGTACTAGTTACAACAAATATGTACTAAACCAGTACTAGTTACAACAAATGTTTACTAAACCAGTACTAGTTACAACAACTGTGTACTAAAACAAGTACTAGTTACAGCAAATGTGTACTAAACCAGTACTAGTTACAACAAATGTGTACTAAACCAGTACTATTTACAACAACTCTGTACTAATTAAACCAGTACTAGTTACAACAACTGTGTACTAAACCAGTACTAGTGACAATATGTACTAAACCAGTACTAGTTACAATGAATGTGTATTAAACCAGTACTAGTTACAATGAATATGTACTAAACCAGTACCAGTTACGATGAATGTGTACTTATTAGGGATGGCAATCAAATACAAAATTGCTAATCGGTTAACCGCAAGACGTTCCGGCCGATTAACTGGTTAATCGTATCAAAACACATATTTTCTGGACATTTTTTTTTCTTTATTCACATACACAAGAAGATTAAAAAGGGAGTCAGATGTAAGAAACTTTCTGTTTATCTTGATCAGGAAACCTTATGTACATATTTATATTTTATTTTCAATTTCAATAGACAAGAAAATATATTTTTTAAAAACATGAAACATGCCTGAGAAATCAGACATTTATAATTTTCCAGAGCAGATGTCACACAAGTTCATTCTACATTCTTCCTCTCTATACAGGTAAACTTCGTTATCTCGACATCGACGGGACCATCGGAAAATGTCGAGATATCCGAGGTGTCGAGATATCAGAGTTGAGACTTGACGTCCAAGATTTCATTGCATAGCAAAACAGACAATCTTATTATATGTACATGACTTTAATATAGACTTTAACTCAACATATTTCAGAATTCCCTCTATTTTTATTCAAAATCTAAGAAGTTATTTTAAAAATCTTGTTTATAAAACGTGTTCTTTCTAAATTCACAAAGTTTCAGCACAAAGTTACAACATTGAGCTGCATTCGCTTGTAACTTGCCTTTTCGTCAGAACAGGACACGAAATGCGCTCTATAAACTTCGAACCGTATAAAGTCGACATCGGATATGCGGTAAAAAAAATTAAATGCGGATTATTTTTTCCTTATTTCATTGGGAAGAATGTACATTAAAATAAATTTTTTAAAGAGATTTGTGTATCTAAACTAACGTAGTGTGTTACAGATGCACGAATTACGGCTGATTCGGTAAATCGTGTCGTTAATTGGATTGTTTCCTGTTGAATACATTTTACCTACAAAATATCATTAAAAGATTTTTTAATTCCTTAGTTTGAATTTTTTCAGTGTGTTTGTTATTCATTGTAATTTAGTTATCTTTTTTCAAATTTAAATTTATGTTACGTTTCGATATAAATAACATTCTGTACATTTACGCAGAATCGGGTAGAGTTAGCAATGATATTACCCAAGCTTAATTAACTTCTCCAAGACGCCGAAGGGGCTTGGGATTCATCTACAAACACAGTCTATAAAATGAATTAACTTCTCCAAGACGCCGAAGGGGCTTGGGATTCATCTACAAACACAGTCTATAAAATTAATTAAGCAGCGTGCAGTCAAAACATGGGTGTGAAAGGTGTGAAACTATGACGACGTCGAGATACCCGGAGTCGTCCGTGCGTGACGAGCGACCCTATCTGACAAACAGTTAGGTTCAGTAGAGCAGAAAATTGCCGATGTCGACATATGCCAGGTAAATCTTGCTCTTGGGACTGTGAATATACGTCGAGATAACCCGGGTTGTCGACATTACCGAGGTCGACATATCAGAGTTTTTGCAAATCATTTATATAGTAAATACTGCCGGGACCGCGGAAGGATGTCGACATATCCCAGGTTGTCGACATATCCGATGTCGAGATACCGAAGTTTACCTGTACTTTTGTTACAGTTTATGAGAAAAAAACTGTTGTCTTGCATTGCCACCATAAGCAAGACTAAGTCTGGACTTTCACTTAATTTACAATGTTTGTCTAATGCTATAATTTAATAGATAACGGCAAAAGACATACGAATTCACGGTGCTCAACTCTGATTTAATTAATATCATTAAAGAATTTCAGGACAGTCAGGGTAACGATAGGTTGTTTAAACAGTAATTAACACTTCACAAACTGACCAATTACCAATGCGATCTCAATCAAGAGAGACATAATTACCTCCAATTCAGCTTAAATAGATATGTGAAAACGCTAAGTTATTTCCGTTTGTGCAGAATTTTCTTCTTAAAAAATAAATTTTCAGAAAATTGGGATAAAATTTACATATATTTTACTTTTTCCAACTAAGCAATTACAGATTTTTTTAACCGATTAACATCGTTCCGGGCGAGTAATCGGTTAACCGGTTACAAATTGCCATCCCTAGTAACTATTAAACCAGTGCTAGTTACAATGAATGTACTAAACAAGTACTAGTTACAAAACTGTATACTAATTTAACCAGTACTAGTTACAATGAATGTGTACTAAACCAGTACCAGCTACAATGAATGTGTACTTATTAAACCAGTACAAGTTGCAATGAATGTGTACTTAACAACTACTAGTTACGAAACTGTATACTAATTAAACCAGTACTAGTTACAGTGAATGTGTACTAAACCTGTACTTATAGTTACAATGAATGTGTACTAAACCAGTACTAGTTACAATGAATGTGTACTTATTAAACCAATACTAGTTACAATGAATGTGTACTAACCAGTACTTGTTACAACATGTGTACTAAACTAGTACTAGTCACAAAACTGTGTACTAATTAAACCAGAACTAGTTACAATGAATGTGTACTAAACCAGTACTAGTTACAATGAATGTGTACTAAACCAGTACCAGTTACAATGAATGTGTACTAAACCAGTACTAGTTACAACAAATATATTTCTCACAGCTCCTTTTCCTGTCTGGTATGTCAGTGGAAATTGTATTATTTATAAGATAGCTTATGATCTTAAAAAGATTAATGTAATCTTTAAGATAAATATAATGTTTTATATATTTTAGGTTTTAAAACACTTAAACTACATTGATGAAAACAGTGCTGTGCAACTGAAAGGCAGAGTTGCTTGCGAGATAAGCAACCATGAGATTATGATTACAGAGCTTGTGTTTGAAAACATCTTGACTGATTTACATCCGACAGAAATTGCAGCTCTTCTCTCTTGTGTGGTGTTCGAACAGAAGAACTGTAGTGAGCCAAAACTGTGTCCTGAACTTGTCAAGGTATACTTATAGTCTGTGTATGTCTGTACATTGTGTGAAAGTGCACTATCCTAAAATTGTTCCGTCCATCCGTCTGTCTGTCTGTTTATCTGCAAAAACTTAAACATTGCCCATAACTTTTGATTGGTTGGAGCTATGGCTTTCATATTTTACATGTGTATTCCTTGTGACAAAACCTCTCTTTGGGTACCATCATATTTGACCTTTTGACCTTGGAGTTTGACCCAGTTTTGCAAAATTTTGCCAACTTTAATCCTGGCCATAACTTTTGAACAATTGGTGCTAGGGCTTTCATACTTCACTTGTGTAATTCTTGTGTCAATACCTTTCTTTAGATACCAACAACTTTGACCCTTTGACCTTGACCCAGGAGTTTGATTTAGTTTTGAAAAAATTTAACCTTGGCCATAACTTTTTAACTGTTTGTGCTAGGGCTTTCATACTTCACATATATAATCCTTGTGACAAGACCTTCCTTTAGATACCAACAACTTTGACCCTTTGACCTCGACCTAGGAGTTTGACCTAGTTTTGCAAAACCTTAACCTTGGCCATAACTTTTGAACAATTGGTGCTACGGCTTTCATATTTAACATGTCTATTCCTTGTGACAAGACCTTCCTTTGGATACCAACAATTGTAATCCATTGACCTTGACCTTGGAGTTTGACCTACTTTTGAAAAACTTTAACCTTGGCAATAACCTTCGAATGATTGGTGCTATGGCTTTCACATTTCACATGTGTATTTCTCGGGAGAAGGCCTTTCCTTGGGCACCAAAAATTTTGACCATTTGACCTTGACCTTGATGCTTGACTTATCAACAGAATCATTAATCTTGCAAGATATTACACTCTAAAACTAAAATGTTTGATCTTAGTCGTAAGTTCTTTTGTAAAACAGGCTACTGGTCTTCACAGGGCAATTATAAATTTGATGAGATTGAAAATCAAGTAGACTGGAGAATAATGTTAATATAGTGCTGGAATAATAGTACCTAATGGTGGGATGGTATTTATTCACCAGAATAGGTACTGTAAACAGGAAAATTTTAACCTCTTTTACCCTGACAAAAAGAATAAAACTTCTTGCACAAATCTATGCAAGAATACAGAGTTATTTCATCAACACTACTGTGTCCGGGTGAATTTTAAATGGGGTACAATTATTTGCAAGTGTGATTAGTGTGAAAATGAGGTGAAAGGTGAAAATATCCTTTATATAGTAAACATGCACTCTTCAGAACATTCTTAGCTATAGTACTTCTGTTTTTGTTCATTTGCTTTGGGAAAACATTTTAAATTTTTGTTTTTCTTTGAAGGGGAAAGAATCCATAATATCAATAGCCCAGAAAATTAGTGGCCTCCAGAGGCAATGTGGAATGAATCTAGTGGGAGATTATGAGGACGAGTTCAAGTTTGGATTAATGGAGGTGGTGTTTGAATGGGCACGAGGACTGGTAAGGGATAAAGGTTATGTAGAGAATAAATTGATATGTTATACAATGTGACCATTGGGGAGAGGATAGTTGTACCATCAAAAATCTTTACACTGCTTCCACTTAAATTGTAACTTTCATACACCTCTTCAAACTTCAAAATACACAAGACACAGTTTAGATTGTGATGTCACATGGTGTCTTATGTAAGTTGCTTTTTTGTAATGAGTCTAAATAAGTCTAGTACAAATTTTTAATGAAAGACATTGTTGAGTAGATGCAATTATTTTCTGCAAGAGCTAAATCTTTAACTGTGGGACTGATCTATGCCATTATTGCATAGAATGCTGGTAGCGAAGGAATTCTGGGAACGTTTCACACAAAAATTTGCTTAACGAATACTCAGATTTTAGTACAGTGCAGGAAACTAATTTTGTTACAGCATCAATGCTGATTTGAATGCTTCCTTTGCTTGCTGATTTGAATGCTTCCTTTGCTTGCTGATTTAATGCTAGTAATCCTTATCCTGATGCTGTTTTATAATTAGGTCAATGCTACCGGAAGTAGCATCATGCTACCGGAAGTAGATAATAAATTTCAGCATTGCCGTTTAAAGCAATAAAAGTGCCTTTTACAATTATTTGATCATAATATCTCACTATGTATCAATAATGTGAATACTTTAACCAATATTCTTTCTTTCTTTTTTAATTTTTTACTGAATTAAAACTCATTGATTTTCTGATGCTAGTAGGATAATGCTGATTTTATGTAGGTCAATGCTGATTTTATCCTTTGCTTGCTGATGCTGATCCTGGTAATGCTGTTTTTTAAATGCTGATGCTGATGCTAGCTCGATGCTGATGCTACTAATGCTTATGCTGATGCTGGTTTATGTAACAAAATTAGTTCCCTGCACTGTATAAATTATCTCTGTTCTAGTCTGTTGAGCTCGCTTTACTATAATGAAATATACATATATGAATAAGAAGAATTTTATATAGAACAGAAGCATTACAGAATGTCAGTGATATGAAGCTTGATTGATATTTTGAAATATTTTAGTCCTGGTGCATTAAAAAAAACACAGAGACTTGCCTTCTTCTGTCAGTTATACAAAACATTCTTTGTATGAAGTAAACAGGTATAGCAAACTTAACATAAAACTGATTGAAAACAAGATATAAATGATTTGTTTTGATATTGATTATACTTCCATAATTGTTTTGTTTCTTAGAATAATATGTTCACTGTAGTTGTCATCGGAATAAGAAAGTTGCACTGTATCTCATGTCCATTTTTTTAAATTCATTTACAGCCATTTGCTGAGATCACTGGATTGACTGATGTACAGGAGGGAATTATTGTCCGATGTATTCAAAGACTTCATGAAACACTGAGAGATGTAAGGAATGCAGCTCGTATAATCGGTGATCCTGTGTTATATCGCAAAATGGAGGAAGCTTCTAATATGATCAAGAGAGACATTGTATTTGCAGCTTCACTTTACACACAATAAAACTTTTGAGAAGAATTTTAGTCCTTTTTAGTTCTACTGGTCAGAAACAATAAGAACTCCTGTGTGGTATGATGTAAGTGAAGTCTATCTGTTAATCTGTATACTGGTACAATGTTTTTTCAAAATGCATTCACTGCAGAGTTCACTTCCGTGCCACTTTTGTGGCATGGAGTCAGGTAGGTGGAAAAAAGGCCAGACATGGCCTTTAGTCTTCAGGCAGATTCAAATTTTTTACTTGAATAAATAGCTCAAACACTTTGGTTGCTGAATTCGATAAACTTCCCAGACTAAACCTAGACATATATTTGTTTTAGATGCCCCCCCCCCCCCCCCCTGCTATCTTGGTGTTTTTTCAGGAGAGGGTGGAATTTTCTTCTGGTATTTTTTTTTTTATGACAAAACTCAGACCCCTGTGCTTTAACTGTAAATTTGATACATGTATATTTGAGTTTATTGCAGTTCTTAAATTTGGCAAGGAATTAACAAGAATTTTGCTAGGGATAAAAAAAAGACTTTCCTACATCCATAAATTTGCTATATCCATGTTCGTACTAAATGATATTTTGCTCACCTGAGCTGAAAGCTCCGTTGTCCGTCCATCTGTAAACTTTTCACATTTTCAACTTATTTTAACCGAAGTTGGTACAAAGCATTCTTGGAGGAAGAGAAGTTTAAATTGTTAAAATGAAGGGTCAAACCTTCTTACAAGGGGAGATAATCAAGAAAAGACAAAAATAGGGTGGGGTCATTAAAAAATCTTATTCTCAAGAACCACTGGGCCAGAAAAGCTTTAATTTTTGTGGCAGCTTCCTGAGATAGCATAGATTTTAAATTGTTCAAATCATGGTCCCGTGGGGCCACAATAGGGAATCAAAGTTTTACATTGAAATATGTTGGAAAAATATTAAAAAATCTTTTTATTAGATACCCTTAAGGGTACCACTTTCACACACTGTCTTAATTAGAGCTGCCATGAAATGCATGAACTCCATAGAAAAATGTTCATCCATCAGTCCATCAACTTTTGTTGTGACAATATAACTGAAAAAGCTTTCAATGAAGTACTTTACTTGAGAGAAACTACTTGTAGATTTTGGGGTCACATCACTATGTCTGTCTGTCCATGGGCATATCTGAATGTTTATCATCATTATGACATTTTTGTTGTAATGTGATAACAGTTTTCAACATAACGTTTTTGTACTGAGGTACTTTACTATAAGAATAAGACTCCTATAGTTAAAACTGCAGGATGTTGCTACACTAACAATGAAAGAATACTATTACACAGTTTCTGTTTTTTTTATTTCATATACAACTGTATGCAGTAGAGCAATCCGTGGCAATAATAAAATTTTCTTAACTGCCACAAGACTGCCATCAAGTAAGATATTCTTGGACAGCAAGCCTACCAATATGTGTGTGATGATATTTTCTTATTTTCTTTACACTGTTGGAAACTGGTCAAAATGCTTAGAGTGCTTCATAAAAAAGAAAAAAAGAACAATGTTTTACAAAGTCAAAAAGCCCTCTACAAAATTCCAGAGTCCATTAGACAGCCCATAAAAAACATGGGAGCTTTTTGTGGTTAACAAGCATGTGTACCTGTACATCTATACATGGTTTAGAGAGTCCATTTTGAAAATAAATCACAATGTTTAGCAGTGAAAGCACATACATTCAAGAGAATGGAAATGTACATCCTTGTAGCACTTCTGGTTTAAACATAGCACTATAAGTATCCAAGAGGCATGGAGTTACAACACATTTGAGAGGACTCTCACATGTAAAAATGTTCTGGGTGCAAATTCTGCACAGACTTTCACATCATCTCTCAACAACACACACTCGCACACACTTTAATATACATATATATATATGTATGTACACATTTGAAGCTGGGTTTCTGACAAAACTTCAGCCGTCAACAAAATACAAAATTAGCACTGTTTGTGTAGTTGATGGAAACATGTAAAACAGTATAATTAATGTGACTTAAATATGAGAATATATTAACTATCCAATATATATTATATAAAAGTGTTTTTTTTTCAGACTAAAACATGGAAAACTGCTCCTATCCATTTACATATAATTCTCACTGTAAGGATATGAAGGTTTTAACATGTACGCTATTAAAACAATTTTGTATCATCATGCATGCACTTCAGGGAATGGTAAGATTTCATCAGAATATTTGATCACAAGATCAATCGTCAGTGACAAAAATGTCATATAAAAAATTACAATTTCTTAGTGTGAAATAGCTGCATAAGATATAATGTAAAAACTAATTTTTTTAAAACAAAAATTAAAATTCATATGTGTGAATTAATGTACGAAAAATTTCTAATTTAAAACATTTCTTTTCTTTTTGAAAAATAGAGGAAGGCTTTATTTAAGTACAGAAAGTTGTTTTTCGAGATCTTCATAATACATGTAATCAAGCTCAACTTCTAATGATATCAATGTAGGTTACAGAACATGCAAATGCTGCTATGAAATTTGACCAATCGATCATTTACAGATTTACGAATTTGTTGTATTTCACCATTGGTGACAGAATTAAATGTTGAGCAAAATGGATCAACCCACTCCAGAAATATTCTGTTATTTGATTGTCATACTCATGTGTCTCACAGATTAAAGTGATTATGCAATGACAGACATATTAGCAAGTCCACTCATGAAAGAGATTTTCTAGATCACTGATATTTAAAATTCGTCCGTTCTTTGCTTTGACATTCCAGTGCATGATGATGCAGATAAGAAAAAAACCCTTTGAATAACAGAATTCCTTGCATAATTAGGAAACAGATAATTTTATAAAAATCAAATCAGGCAAAAAGTTTTATCCTTTTGTAAATTAATTTCAAAATAAAAATTATCATAAAAATAATGTAAAAAGAACATTCCAAAACTTTCATAATTAAACCCTTCCTGAACATGTAGTACTTAAACAGTTTTTAAAAAATAATTCTTAACAAAAAGGAAATTAAAAAAAATATATTTCCAGGATGTGTTTTTCTTAAGCTAAAACAAAAAATATACTTTCAAAGCCATCCTAGGCAGAAAGTATTGCAATAAAAATGATCAGCTATAACTGCATAAAGTACACGTCTATAATGACAGTTATAAACAAAATGCCCTATAAAAATGAAATGAGAATGATATTAATACAAATTAATTTCAATAATTAAACATATACAGTACATATACAGTATATATTCTTCATAAATACAGGAAAAGTTGTGTACCTACTGAAAATATTTCAGTTGCATGTACATTGAGTTTTCTGTGAAAAACAATATGCTACCTGTCAGGTACAGTGCTGCATAAAACAGTGAAACATGAATACAATATGCTCCATGTTTCCATAACAACTAAATTCCTAACTATTAAATCAGTATTTATATTTAACACACAATGCAAATGGCACAAGAGTTACTTACTAAGGAAGAAATTCAGACCTAAAAAATTGAAATAATTTTTTATTTCAGGAATTAATGTTTAATCAAGTTAAAAAAAAAATCCTCTAAGACTGAAAAGTTGTGCACAGTCATTAAGGAATAGACAGGTAAAAAAAGTTAATAACTGACCATCAGTGTCCTAAAAATTAGAACATAATTAAAATAAATTCAACAATATATAACATAACAGATGAAAAACATGGCACTATATTTCATGATTATCGCATTTGATATTTTGAACAAAATGTGAATAAACTCTGGAGCACTCATTATCAGCTGACTTGTACATTTCTCCTTTTTGATATACATGTATACGAGTTTCTTTTCCCTGATAAAAATATAAACTCAACAACCTTCGATAGAATCTGCCATTTTCTCTAAAGTCTCTTTCTCCTCTAGTTCATGCATCTTCAACCTTGTTTTCAAGCGGTATCCTTACATACTTAAATTTCGGGAAAAATCTTGCAGCTACAGGACGAAACGATTTATTTCTTCTTAGAATGCAGCATTTCTATTAGAAGTGTCTGATCCGGAATTTCACCATTCAAATGTTTATAGTACAGAAATTCCTCAGCATGCATACTGATCAATCTCACTTCCGGAAGTCTTAACAGAACTTGTCCAAACTTGTCTTTGAGATGTGGATAGAAATTGACACAGTATTCCATTAGGGCTGAATTTACCTTCTCCTGGGAGTTCTCTACTGCTTGTCGATTTTCTAGACCTGGTACATCTGCACCATAAAAAAAAAAAAAAAAATCACATATGACATTGATCATCGTAACAAAATAAATCCAACTAAGTACTGAATTTTTATGGGGCTTTTTTTCCCTTCAACAAAATTAAAATCTTCAAAGAAAACAAGATGAAGGAAATCCACCTCTTCAACAATTAATTTTTTCACCCATAACAGAATAAGGCAAAGATTTCTAAAACTAGTGAAATTATCACCCCATTTCAATTAGACCCACTTACCAGGATTTAATAATATTAAAAATTTCAGGCACAGATATTCGTTGATATCTATTTTTAGTTCTTTCATTTTCCGCACCAAATCAAAGATGCTCTCTTTGGCTGCTGCTAGTCCTAATTTGTCTAAGCAATCCAAAGTCAGCTTTTTCCCATTCAACTGAAAAATAATATTTAGTTTTTTAAACAAAATCTTGTATAAATTTCTTTATCTTTCTTTACTGTGTCATAATTTTATCTGAAATGGTGTTTATACCTACCAGAGTGACCTCCCCTGACCAAGTCTCCCTGACCAGTCGATGAACCAGGTCTAATATAAGTATTTCACTCCAACAGTTCTGTAGCAGCTTCATTTGATCTTCAACCTGTCAAGAACCAACAAGTTTATTTAAGTCCAAGATTCGTGAATGATATGTAATACGTGTACATATATGATGCTCTATATATACATGTACGTTACTCTTTAAGAACCAAAGCCCATGATCAACAATAATGCTAATTCCATACAGGCCATCAACTTGCACAACAGAAGAGTATTATAAAAGCCTTGAATGTTGATAGAATTCTGGACATAGCACATGTATAGATAACTTTACCTTTAAATCTTTGAAGAAGAATGAGGTTCTTGCCCACTCCACCATCAGGAACAGAAGCTGGTCGGACAATTTACAGAGCATGTTGATTAAAACACTAGGTTGTAAAATGTCTTCATGACCAAACTCATTTTGTACAAAGGAAGTCAATTTTTGTTTTATTTCATTCTCATCAGCCATGGAAGCTTTCACGTCCAGAATCATTTGAGGCACAATTGGCACAATAGGGGGCGCCACAGGCGATAGTGGCGACATCTGGGTTGGACTGTGATGGTTATAATGGTGATTCATTTGAGGTGTTGATGAATATTGATTGCGCAATGCTGACACTACAGAGTGATGGTAGTTTGGTGGCATGGAGTAGACCTGAGAGGGAGAGTTGGTGGAAGTGGGCAGGGCTTGAGAGGAAACCGAGGTGGACAACCGACTGAGGTCCTGAGGGGGTGAATCTGGCATCCCTGGTGAGGGCATACCAGACAATGGAGGCGAATGCATTGCGTATCCCACATTGCCCTCTGAGGACAGTTGGTGAAGCATGCTGGGATCCGGTTTGATGTCCTGGTCTCCCATCATGTTCATTCCACCCGAAAATCGAGCATGACATGTGGCCAGAAGCTGCTGTTGTTGGCGTATGGCCTGTTGTTTGAGGGCTCGGTCACGTTTGTACATCGGACCAAATTTATTTCTCCCTCCTCTCATTCTGTCTTGTCTCACAGCTACAAAAGTAAGGAAAATGTTATATAATCTAATGAAGAAATCTGCAGGTAAAAAAATATACTACCTGTATCTCTACTATTTCATATATTGAAAACTGAATCAAATATTCAAAAGTAAATTGCCATATATTTGATTAAAAAATACAACAAATGAAAGACAAGAATCATTCCTGTTAATTTTTTTTTTATATTCTTACCTTCCAACTTCATGCCTACGCTGAGACATTTCTGAAATCTACAATATGGACATCGCTTTCTCTGACTTTTGTCAATATGACAATTTCTGTTATCCACACAAGAGTAAACCTTTTTGTTTTGTACTGTTCTCTTAAAGAAACCTGTAACACACAAAAGTGCAAAAAAATTTAATAATCAGGACAAGAGCAAGTCATTTAAACCTTAAAATTAGCTGATCAGTATATCTTAATGTGTAAAATGCCTAGCTACCATAAGCTAATCACACTTGAGTTCAATTACTTTCAGAACCATGCTATTTCATTAACTTGAAAATTCATATTAATTTTACTATCTTTACTATTAATGAATTCTATAATTTATAATCATTATTGACTATGTGACTTTAAAGCCTAATTTTGTGACCTTGATCCAATAATGGACAGATGGTGCTATTGTTTTACCTTTGCAGCTTTCACAGGTGAGAAGTCCATAATGGTACCCTGACACCTTGTCCCCACACACAGGACAAAGTTCCTCAAATGTGTACTTCACATCCTGGGGGTACTGCATCTCCCCGCCACTTCCTGAGGCTGAAAAAAAAAATCGTACTGAGCAATTTTTTTTTTAAATTAAATGTTCATAGAACCTCTTAGAGTTGCTGTAGGCCTGCATGCAACTGGTAATCTTCCAGTACCTTAACAGGAAATCTACTTAAACTCTCACCTTCTGTGATGTGTACCATTTATATTGATGAATGGATGCAGTCAGTGTATTCACAACAAATTTTTTGTTTTATAAAATATACACTGTCCAACAAAAACTCTGATCCAAATCCAATTTGCCGTCAATGAAAGGTGAAAGGTGTGCTGTTTATTCAATGACAATACTGTACATATCACAATAAAAGTACAGGAGGGCAAATGTTAGCTGAGGTTTGTGCAATCACTTATATGTAGCACAGTCCTTGTGTATATGAATAAGTATCAGTATGCATATATAGACTAGCCTTGCAGATTACTATTATCTGACTGATAAAGGGAAATTCTGAAGGTTACATGTATGCATATGTACAGTTTACATGTACATCATATATACTGCTGAACCAACTGACAAAAATTTAGCACATGCATCAGAAGAAATTGAAAAATGTCTTTACTATTTAAACACTTCTGAATGTAAACTAGATTTACAATGGTAATATGCCTACAAACATTTTGTATAACATATTTTGATTAATCAGCAAAAGAAACATGACAATAAAAAATATGTATTGTCTGGGGCTAATGGCCTTCATGATATCGTGTTAATATATGAGACAATTATCTTTAATACAAATTATATCTGTCCTCTCAGCAAATCTGGCTAAAAATACACATTTAGCTGTTTGCAACTGAGAAAAAAAAAACAAACAATGCCAAAAGACTCAAAGAGGGGACATGAATTTCATATTATTTTGTTAAAAAGTGATTTATACTTAGCGTTACTGGCCTGTGAAAGTATATTAACCATTTGTTCATTTATACATATTAAACAGTTTGAAAATAAAACAATTATCATGTATACTGCATGCTTGAGGCACTTTGAAAGCTTCAGTATATCCATTAATATTCATGATGGATGTGAACTCAGTGCAATGGAACAGAGAGAGAGAAAACTTTTTGGCTGCTTTAACTGAGGAATGAAATAAATTTTATGACAACATTGAAAAAAGTTTGCACGCATTAACACAGAAAATTCACTGACTTATACAATATATACCTGAAGGTTCTTTTATCAATAGGATGTTTTAGTTGACCGATTATTGTGTTCAATTTCCCAAAATGCTACACATTATGAACACAGTACATGCGTTCTCATGTACTGTAATTGATAAATGAGTTAGCTAGAATTTAACATGTCCGAGCAAAAATCCATAACTGGTTTAACAAATCATATAAAATGTCATATCCTGGTCAAAATAATTTCTCTTCACATTTAATACACAGTGAGGTTTGAGTGATCTTCAAATTTCCTGATGATTCGAGAATTTTTTTCAATACTGTAAATGCCCCTAATTACTTTTCATATAGCTTACAGGTATATTTAAGCCCAATGTGCTTAATCTTTGTCATATAAACTCTTTCACTATTAATTCATATTGTCATACAGTAAAACTTGTTTAGTACTAGCACAGATACAGCATATTTTATGAATATACAGAATATAGCAAAGTTTTTTTTTTTCAATCCCCCACCCCGGAAAATAATTCCTTAACAATTCCTTGTAAAATTTAAAGAACTCTGATATAATGATTTTATGGATGAACTGATTTTTGTATCCCATAGAGGTAATAAATAATGATAAATATTTCTCTTATATAATGCATTTATAAAGATCACAAAATATAAAGTATGAACTGACAATATTTTTTGTAGGTATTTACATTTCACATTCATCAGAAAACTTTAGTAATCCAAGGTAGTTTTATTATTTAATAGTTCTCTGAAAAAAAATTTGGTAGTCATACTTGAAGAAAACATTTAAACTGCAAATTCACTATATTTTCTTTAATGAATTCATGACTTGTCAGAGATAGCAAAGCAAACTCGCAGGTTTCTAGGGTTTTGCTATGACCTGGCCAGTTTGAGTCTATACATAGATTGCCCTTCTTATTACTTAGTCATATATCACTTAGTATTCAGATTCTACAACCAGAAAATAAGACCAACACATAAACATCTTGTACTGTCTTCATGAGATTTCTTTAACTTTTTACAACTTCAACCATTTTGCAGGCCTAATTTTTTTTTAAATTTCACCACCACTAAAATCATGGTCCTCAAAATAGTACAGGCATTTAAAGCCAAATTTTTTTATATTATAAACTTATTAGGTGAAGTTGGTGGCAGTGGTGGTGGGGGGTTTATTTGATCTGCCTATAAATGATTGTGTGTAAGTTTACATTATGTAAAAAATTCCACACAGGCACACATCAAATTATGCAAATATCAGACAGGTCTTTCTTTGGCAACGAGCTAGAAAAAGTGTCTGCTTCCCTACACCTGGATGAAAAACAAATGTTATGCATTAATATAGCTCAAAGCTTATTGCACCAGAAGGAGGTAGGGGGTCCAAAATATACGGAAAATACCAGAGACTAGCAGCCACTTAATTTTTTGGAAATATGTTTACGTCAATCTTTTTCAACATCTACAGATAGATATACATAGCATATGAATGTTATTGGTTAATTTGCACATGTACAAAACTTCTGTCCATTGGAGTTAAATTCTTCCATTATAGATCGAAACATATTTTTTCCTCTTGTTCTCTACAAAAATACATACACTGGTACCAAATAACAGGATCAGGAATGACTATGAGAGGAAAGATTCCTCTCCTGTATGCCAGGAATCAAACATGTGAGTATAAAATCGATTAATTGTGAGAATATTTGCCTGTACAGAAGTGAAACGATATAAACATGAAAAATAAAAAAATGTGTTAGTCATGCATTCAAAAAAAAATATTCTACTGAAAAAATTCATATGAAGTATTTGGTGATAATATTAAGTTACACTGAAACTAGTTGCTTCCAAAAATACCCTGACATTCAAATATTATGTACCATATTAATGTCAAACCATGTTGTCTGACGGTTGGTGTGTTTACAACAAAACATCACAATATGCTCAGCTGTGACCCGAACATTATATTTACATGCTCCAGAACAAGTATACATGCTGACTCCGAACAACAGGTAATTATTAAATGCCAGTACTTTCCTGACCACAAACTAGGTCACAAAACCTCTAGACCTAGGAGATTTTAACGTATATATACATACTGATGGTGTCTGTATAGTCTAAATCACCCATAATTCGTTGGCAAACAGAATGAAAATACAAGTAACATGGCTGAGGTTCAATAAACTCTAGTGCATAATTAGGTCATACTCCATACACAAAAGAGCTGTTTCAAGGGGGATAATCAGAAATGGATCATTCTTTGCTGTTGTAGATCATGCATATCACATTATCTGTCATGCAGTGGTAATTCTTTACGAGCATTCAATGGTGCATACATGTCAAAAGTAATACAGCGATATACATTAAGCAGTATATTAACAAAGGCAGTACTTGTATAAAATTAGTCTTTATATATACGTCTGCACAAAGTCCAACATAGGCAGATAAATATGCTGGTTTGTAAAATGCTGCTGATGTTAATTGTCATAATCTTTCCCTCTATTTAATGTCACACATAAACTAAATCAGTGAGAATTACAGCAAGAATCCAATGATTGTGTCTTAATACATATGGGAAATTCAGGTTTCATGCGGTGTAATACCAAACAATTGTCTATCAGGATCAATGATTATATTTTAATTTTAGTGATGGGAATTGGTAAGAATTTCATAATCGATGATCAGTTTTCTTTAACTATAACTAATCATTGGATATAATCGGAAACCAAAAATATCCATTATAAACAACATCAAATGGTCTTGGATAAACTTTATACATGTAATAACCTAAAAAGAAGTCTCTGATGAGACTGTAGCTCTACTGGTCTGTTTGTATAACAAAAGAAAAGTAGCACTTGGATTTGAAACATTGCAACATGCAACAATGAATAGAATTATGTATCTTAATGTAGTCTACTTCTGTGCCAAGTAATATTGAAATCAAATGAAAACTGTAGGAGGAGTAGCGTTTTGAAAGTATTTCACGGAAATTTCTATTTTTAGTAACCATGACAACACCATTCACCCAAATAAAAAAAACAGAAATACATATTATGTATCGTAGTGTATTCTTACTGTGTGCCAAATTAGATTGAAATCAGACCAAAATTGTAGGAGGAGTAACGTTTAATGTGAATTTCACAAAAATTTCTATTTTAAGTAACCACGGCAACACTGTTCATCGAATTCAAAAACCAATGCAATAAATTATGTATCTTAGTATAGTCTTCTTGTATGCCTAATTATATTAGAAGCAGACTAAAACTGTAGCAGGAGTAGTGTTTTAAAGGAATTTCACAGAAATTCCTATTTTTAGTAACCATGGCAACACCGTCCATTGAATTCAAAAACCGATGCAATAAATTATGTATCTTAGTGTAGTCTACTTGTGTGCCAAGTTATATTGAAATCGGACCAAAACTGAAGGAGGAGTAGCGTTTTAAAGGAATTTCAGAGAAATTTCTATTTTTAGTAACCATGGCAACACCGTCCATCGAAATCAAAAACCGATGCACAAAATTATGTATCTTAGTGTTGTCTACTTGTAAGCCAAGTTATATTGAAATCGGACCAAAACTGTAGGAGGAGTAGTGTTTTAAAGGAATTTCACAGAAATTTCTATTTTTAGTAACCATGGCAACACCGTCCATCAAAATCAAAAACCGATGCACTAAATTATGTATCTTAGTGTAGTCTACTTGTGTGCCAAGTTATATTGAAATCGGACCAAAACTGTAGGAGGAGTAGCGTTTTAAAGGAATTTCACAGAAATTTCTATTTTTAGTAACCATGGCAACACCGTCCATCGAAATCAAAAACCGATGCACTAAATTATGTATCTTAGTGTAGTCTACTTGTGTGCCAAGTTATATTGAAATCGGACCAAAACTGTAGGGAGAGTAGCGTTTTAAAGGAATTTCACAGAAATTTCTATTTTTAGTAACCATGGCAACACTGTCCATCAAAATCAAAAACCGATGCACTAAATTATGTATCTTAGTGTAGTCTACTTGTGTGCCAAGTTATATTGAAATCGGACCAAAACTGTAGGAAGAGTAGCGTTTTAAAGGAATTTCACAGAAATTTCTATTTTTAGTAACCATGGCAACACTGTCCATCAAAATCAAAAACCGATGCACTAAATTATGTATCTTAGTGTAGTCTACTTGTGTGCCAAGTTATATTGAAATCGGACCAAAACTGTAGGAGGAGTAGCATTTTAAAGGAATTTCACAGAAATTTCTATTTTTAGTAACCATGGCAACACTGTCCATCGAAATCAAAAACCGATGCACTTAATTATGTATCTTAGTGTAGTCTACTTGTGTGCCAAGTTATATTGAAATCGGACCAATACTGTAGGAGGAGTAGCGTTTTAAAGGAATTTCACAGAAATTTCTATTTTTAGTAACCATGGCAACACCGTCCATCGAAATCAAAAACCGATGCACTAAATTATGTATCTTAGTGTAGTCTACTTGTGTGCCAAGTTATATTGAAATCGGACCAAAACTGTAGGAGGAGTAGCGTTTTGAAAAATTGTTTACAGACAGATGGACAGACAGACAGACGGACGGACGACGGACACCTTACTATCGCATAAGCTCTTCTGGTCTCTGACCAGTAGAGCTAAAAAGAAACAAATATATATGTAGGAAGAGTAAACATGCAAGTTGAGCACCAAATATCCGTTAAAAGCATTATGTGCCATTACCAAGCACCTTTTTAGAGTACTTAGTATTGGAAAAGATGTGGCTGAAATCTTGCATTCCAAAAATACGGCTCAGTGATAAAAATAGAACTACCGATTAATTGAAATAACATTTTAATCAAGCACTTGGAATCTACCAATAATCAACTGATTTTTGTCAATTTTGATATAATTGATGATTGGATCAATTAAATACTAATTTTTGTATTTTTATTTTCAGAATATTTACTCTAGCTATGTGAACATTTTAAGTTAGCCTACAAAGTACTAAAGAGACATGCATTATAGTACAGTCAAGCTTCATTATCTCAAACTCAATGAGACTGAGATAAAAAACTTTAAGATATCTGAGGATTTGAGATATCAAGGGTAAAATACTTAAAGCATAAGTATTAAGGACTTCCAGATCACTTTTACATATCCATCATATTCAAGATATCAGTGTTTGAGATTCTGAATTTCAAATGTATTAGAACTCTGAATTTTAAGTATTGGTACATATATATATCAACTAATCACTATGTTCTAAACAAACACTAACAGATACACTCACTATGGTATCTGAATACCGAGAGTAAAGAAGTTTCATTCGAAACGTTTTAGAGAATACAAACAGCCGGGGCCTGCTCAATATTTCAATATTTAAACAAACAGTTTTGGCCTAGCTGGAATGTTTTACCTGTTAGCAAGGGTACTTGGTCACACTTGCATGTATTTTTTGTATCTCTGGGGACACAATATCCAGTCTAAAGAACATTCACCTCTGGAACAGGTATGGTCATCAACATTTAAGCTTTCATTCCACTGTCGGCAGTGTCAGCATTTCAAGTAGAAAATCTCTCTTAAAAAGCCATGAGCTTAAATTAGTTGTTTTGTATTTCAGTATTTGTTCCGTCTTTTCATATTTTTTCTCTTTAAATAAAGGCTTTCCAGTGGTAATAACCAATTAAAATAGCTTTTTTTCGCATGTCAGTAACATTTTAAATTGGGTTATTCAATCTTGGCTAAAAAACTTCTTTGCAAAGGCAAGAAAGAAAAATTCCAAATCATGTTCGGAACATGGCAAGATAGAACTGATAGTGAGGGCTAAAATTAAGTTGAAATAGGATAGTCTTTTCATTGTATAATTGCTAATATCCCCCAGCCCTTAAGGCATTGCATGGATTTTGCAAACAGATCCATTTTTCCAAAAATAAACAAGTTAAAGGATAGGAAGTGAAACACTTCACAAACAGTTACTTATTCCATATATATATATCTCGGATTTCAAGTTTGCCAAACATATCTTGGACCCGTGACACAAAAAAATCTCCGATTAAATCAAGGAATTTATATGTTTAGGGTAACTCATCTGAAAGTCACTAGCTACCATGTAGGGACAAAAGATTTGTCCACAGAGGTAGACAAACACATGAAAACGAGAAGTGGACCTCTGAAGTTCTTAAACCATGATAAATTAAAACTTATACTGACAAACCCATAAATCATGTCATCATGGATCTACAACTTTTTACCACCATGTATGTTTTGGTCATCCATTTGGTGTGACTTATGAACTATATGTTTTGTTGAAGAAAACTGCATAACTTACACAAAAGTTAAATAAACTGTGATCGTGAATCTAATATACCCCTATATTTTATACATGAACATGATGTAAATCTATTGTTACAAAGTTTGAGTGTAAGTTTGGCTGGATGAACATGATGTAAATCTATTGTTACAAAGTTGAGTGTAAGTTAGGCTGGATTGAACAGTTGACCCTTGTTTGGAGGTTAAGTTTCACCCGCTAACCACTATAATATAACCACAATGCATATTATGTCGCTTACACCTAATTAACGAGATGTTTCCTGCGACAGACTGTCCTATAGGGAAACTTTTGTTTGTCTAGTATCATTTTATGCTTTACATTAATTGTATCAATAAGGAGAATGCATTTTAAGAACACAGAATTTAAACCTAATATGTAGTTTTGAACTATACATTGTGAATTCCTGACTAAGGCCATGGTTGGTGGGTTAGCACTTAGATAGTTAAAGTGACATTCAAGTCTTCGTAACAATGAGCTTTTATCTTCTTTTTTTTTGGAGAGTGTTCACTAATAGTTTCCTGCTAGGAGACACAGACTGGCCACCACAGAATCCCCCCTCCCACTACCAATGTATCGGCTATTGCTTGTTTTATCTTGGTATAGTCATTGATGTCCAATTTACGATAAAAACAATTTGGAATGAATTGTATTAATAGAATGAATAAAAATCCCACACGTAAGCAGTATTTTCTGTAAGAACCAGCTATCTGCCAAATTGACCACTTAATTGATATAAATGCCACTTAGAAATCAAAATTTTAAAACATAAATGATATAAGGTCCACAGATATTTATTCATAAACCTCAACCCCTAGCCTGTTACAACTGATCTCAAAACGTTTACTTTGAAATAAAGGGAAAGCACTGAGTAAGGTTACGAGCATGAATATAAAATGCAGAGTTCATTTCAAAGACTTTTCTTATAAAAGTTTTGTTGGAGAAAGTACTTCTTAACATTTCCCACCTCATAAGCTAGAATAAAAAGAATTCTACTGCTCATGAAATTTCTCTACGATGAAGTGGTAATTAACATATTGATTATATAGAGTTAAATTAAAAATCTTTCTTCTTAGTTGCTCCTCTTCAGATATATAATTGAGACAATTATCATATCCAACATTAAGTATATTAGCAATAATGTATATACTAATTACAAATCCAATTTAAATTGTTAATTTAAATTTAACAGAATACAAGTTCGTATAAGGTTCATTGGTTTTATCTGGATGGATATATAGATACATAAAAAACATTCTGAGCACATTTCAGAAATAAGTTTACATAGAAAGAAAGAAAAGAACCCAAAATATGTAATAACATAGACAACACATGTTTAACTCCTAAAAAAAAAATGTGCCCAATCCCCCCTCCCTTATTTTTTTCCAAACTTGGTTCATTCACATGGGGAAAGTAAACAGAAGGGTCAGGGTTTTATTGAACATTTTGCAGACTTACAAAAACTGTTGACCTTTCTATGACTGCATAATGTTTATCTTGAGTAAACACTGATCAGCTGATTGGTAAATGAACGTGTCCATAGTGCAGTGATAGCTTTAAAAATTGCATGAAAAAATTAAATGAAAAAAAATTATATTGTTCCCCCCAAAAGAAGCGATGATACAAAATTTTTGGCCTAAAGTGCTTTTCCTGCCCTTTGGCTGAGTAAAGAACACGTGTTTTGCAGTCCCCACTTTGAGCCCCCCAGCCTGAGAGAACCACATGTCAACAAAAAGCTGACTGGTAGGCCGGTATTGGTCAAACATGTCCAAGGCAAAAGAACAAATTGCTGACATGACAGTACAAACATACAAATGATTAATAAATACACAGATCAAATCTGCGGATTAGTTTAAATAGTACCACTATCATTAACAAATTGTATTCAAAAGACAACTCGACGTAGGGGGAAATTTTTACCTTCATCTTGAGGCGAAGAGCTCCCTGGATCGGAGTTATTCAGATTGGCGCTGACTATGGAATTGTCATCCGCATCCAACTTCTCTGCGTGTTGGATCATAATGAATTCAATATTTCCACATCAACTGACCGGCTGTCAAATCAAGGGCATTTATCTGAGATCGGGGAAACTCCGACAGACCACAATTTCCCTACGAATTTACAGGTGCCCGGTCTCATCTGCGAGGGCACATCTACGCATGCGCTATCACTAAAGTAGGACAGATATTCTCTATTTTGCTGTAAACATGGTGCTCTTGAGGGGAATCTTTGTTTCAAAACCAGAAAAAAATGTTGTGACCATACAATTAATACTTGTATGACGATTGCAATTTACTAGCAATCTTTAGTTTGTATTACAAAAGTGTTGAATTGAGATATCAAATTATGATTGCGCAGCAAATCTTGACATATATTTAGAGTTATCTCTCTTGTACTATGAGTCATTCAATATCGACTATTAAAGGAGAGGATCCAAATGTTTCTTTCTTTGGCAAAATGCTGATAGGCCATTTCTTCATGTGTTCTATTCTTTTGAAAAGAACTTCCACATAAGAATACATAAGTAAAAAAGGCTTGCAAATGTTATGCAACGCACGTGCAGGTCCCAGTTTTAGGTATATTTGCACCCTCCTCCTTAAAAGTATTTTAATCACACTTATTGACTTACATGTACATGTGTTATTTCTATGTTGTAGTATATCTTCATTTGATTTTCACTTTGATTCGAACCCAAGTCATTCGAGAAACTTATTACCACTGAATAAATACATAATCTAAATTTGTTATTAATTCTGTTTAACAAATTAAAACAAATTTTCTATAGAAAATTTTGTTTAAATTAAGTTATTTCGGGAAAACAAAAAATGCTCTCCACAAGAAAAATGCCAAAACCTAATTTTTTTTTTTTAAATCTACCCAGCGAAACAGAAAGCGTTATGAATTAACCAGCCTGTCTCTGATTTATCCTACATAAATCAAGTCTTCCAGGTGAAATTCAAAGTCTAGTAAAAAGAAGTCTCCCTTCTCTGAATACCGAGCCAAAGAAACGAGAGATAGGATGCTCATTTTAAATCTTTCAAATTAACAACATTTCTAACATAGACAATCACCGATTTTTTTTACCCAGGTCCATTAAAATTCAAATTGCGTCCAAAACACATTTGTTGGCCGTCATCTATATAGCTTTTACGTCAATGAACACAATAGTTTTGTGCAAGGAACGTACTACCGTGCAGCATGCATATCGACCAAACCATTCAAGAAAAGAAGCAAGTTTAGATAGATGCTATCAAAATGATGTCAATGCAGGCATATATCATTTATTATAAAAATCTGTCCATGTTATTGAATTTCATAATGCTGTTATTTGCATATTACATAAATCACCTAATGCACAAAGAAATAAGGCCAAAAAGCCTAAAAAGAATGTACGGATTAGGGAAACATGATTTTGTTTCATATAATAGCATGTTACCTCTTATTGCGGTGAACAATATAATTCCTAAAGACATTAAATTTCTTTTCCATATTTCTATTTCTTGAGAGGAACACCTAAGTGTTAAATTTGCCCTGTGGGTCACATGACGATATTAACGTTTTAACATATCCAATTCATTATTTCGTAATCTTGAGCATCAGTTGGGTGAAGGCAAGAAAAGCACACATTTAATGGTTTCAGCAACAATAACAATACAAATTGTTTCCGTTTAAACAAGTATATTTATGTCAATGTAAGCTGATTCTGTTTCGTAAAATATTCTTATTTATAAGCATATTTCTTTATCATTTACACTAGAATGCACATATTATTTGATATTAGAACGAAATATCGGGTATTCACAAAAATATTTTAACATATTGATATTATAAGTACAAATGTTCATCATCATAATTTTTATTTAAGACGGCATGCACAGTACGAGAAATCTAAGCTAAAATCAAACAAATCAATAATAATAATAAAAAAAAAACCCAGTATATACATGTATATATACAATTTAGCTGAATTTTGAATAAATATCAGAAACTGAAAACCAGTATGTGGGATAAATTAAAAAAAAGTCAAAGAACCAGAGTTTGAGAAAAACCAATACTATAGTACTTAAACCGTACAGACAATGGGAACCAACAACCCCAGAATGTAATAAATTGCTGTAATGTAATACGAATGACTAACCATAATGAGACAATTAAGTTTTAATTAGTGAAGGAGGCCTTTATAGCGGTCTTCTTCGTGTCTCGTGGACAGTAATCGATGTAAGATTCGCAACAATGACAATGTACTAGTATTTATTCTCATAAACCGACAAAGTACGGTATAGAGATATATGTGCTGAATTAGTAATTTGGTTAATTATATTTTGCTGTACATACACAAATCTGTCATAACCCGAGGGTCGTTTTGGCCGAAGATATAGATACTGAATTAATTATCAAATACATGTGTAGGTTTTATATATAGATCTTTATACGACAACAGGGAGAGAAGACTCACCATCTCTACATACATTATATGAAAAATATAGTATCATATAATGTATTTGGTTTGTTTTAAATTTGTTTTTTTTGTTTGTTTATCGTTGTGTGTGTGTGTGTGTGTGTGTTTTGAAACCGTGTGTACAGGTAGCAGTAATTATAATAAAACTATAAACGTACAAGATTTTCTAGTGCTAAAGTCATCGAGAGTAAAGTTTTACTTGTCGACACTTTTTCTAGTGCTAAAGTCATCGAGAGTAAAGTTTTACTTGTCGACACTTTTACTAAAGTGACTAAACTTTACTAAATCACATTTGTTACATATTTTTGTGAATGTAATTATAACAGAATAATTAAAATTCAACGGTGTATTACATATAGATGAATAATTTTTCACAGAGGAAATCTATGTTCTTAAAGATTATGTGCGAATGAAATATAAATCATTTCTGTAGAAAACAAAATAAATAAATTATAAAAATATATATGTATTTCTTGTTTCCTTATATGTTATTTGTATGTTTCCCTCAGGTGATATTTTGATTGTATACTAGTATATACGAAATCAATAAATTCGAAATATTAAAATAATATAGTGATATGGATTGTGCATGTGGGAGTTATCTCCTTTAAGCCATGAAAATATCCAAAACAAATAATTTTAAACCAGATTAAAGATAATATTAAAAACATTCCTGAATTACATATATAATACATATGTAGCTGAATGCTCTCTCTCTCTCTCTCTCTTTTGATACGTATAACTAGCATATTAGTTACGTATCAAGAGCATAGCACATTCATGATTCACTCAATGTAATTAACCATTTTCACTGAATGGTAAACTTTTTTTTCTTTTAAAGGAAAGGCATTTTTTCTGCTCTACAATGCAATGGATTCTCAACAGATCTTTATCTATAAGACAAAATCTATTGAATTCGATTATGGCTTACGTGTGAAAATGTTTATCTATATTGTTTCATTTGAATTAAACTTAATAAGTTAACAAACGATTGATTTATGGTATAAAACTCGTACAGACCATTAATGTTATTCGATGTTTAATTTATAAAACATTCAATGGGAACATAAATTTTAATTAATTGCAAATATTATTAAATAATAGAATAAAATAAAATAATTATTAAATATTATTTACGTCAACTGGTCAATCACACACAAAAAGAGAATAAAAAATCTTATTCTCAAATTCTCCCCCCCCCCCTTTTTTTTAGATACTGATAGCTCTTTAACGTGACGAAGTCGTATTTATCGAACATCTAAGAGAAATACCGAGTCGGAACAAAGGTACCCCTGGAATAACCTAAGAAATAGTCGAGTGACATGGCGCTGTGTTTCTTATCGAAGTATCAACACTTTCTAATGACTTGTTTTAAAGACTGATGGGAGTTTTGATAAAGTCTAATGTTACAAAGGCGGGCAGGAAATGAACCCCTATTGAATAAGGATGCATATATATACTTTGCATAGAGTGCTTTCAAATCGGTGTGGATTTCAGCGGGACTCTCAACATATATATCTCGACTTTTGTTTGGATGGTGTTATGTATAGAAATATACAAGCAACTTCAGATCCGAAATATTTACGAAGAAACAAACAAACAAACAAACAAACTAACTAACTACATGTAACTATAAATAGTTTCTAGAGTTCTGTTCTTTTCTTTTTTCTTTGGGATGATAAAAACTAACAATTGGTGGTGCAGTGTAACAACAGTTGTAGACCACATTTAGACGAAATTAATTATATAGCACATTTTTTCTAGATGGAAATCAAAATATTTGATTGATTAAAATATTTGATTAATGACATGAAGAATTACATGTGCAACTAATACACAGTGCACAAAAGTAGACAAATTTTTCCCATAGCATTGCAGACGGTTTGTCAATACTATAAAATATGTTGATTTCTATCTATTCTCTAGGCCACGTGGAGCCATGCACGATTTCAATAGAAGTCGGCAAAGAGTTGTCGACACCGTGTAAAAAATCTGTCGCCACGCGCCTGTGCGTACATTTGTGGTTATCCCCCAATGACGTTGTAGTATAGCCCTCGCACATTTTGACGGACTAAAACAATTCATTGCAAAATCACTGCATATAGATCTCTCTACATTAATAATCGGGATTTTTCCTTTCTGTCTTTTTTGCTCTTTAAATAATGTAACAAATAATTTAAGGAATTTATACCAAAGACAAAACTTTGTCTGATAAATTTGTTTATTTATTGAAAAAGTACTAAACTAAGTACCGCATTCACTTTTTTTTTTTTTATAATTATTTTACCAGAAATGGAAAAGGTTCAATGTCAAAGGATGTTTTTTAACATTTTGATCTTAAAAAAGAGAATCGTTTGCCATACTGAAAAATACCGAAAGTATCTTCTACTCTTTGATGTTGGACATTCAAACAAAGAACTCAATTTATTATAACATACAGCGAAAAAAAAAACCCTGTACATCTTTTTCCCATTTCGCCGTAACATGACAAGGCAAAGTGAAGACATGCATTACAACAAAAGTGTTTTATTGTTATACCATGCAAGGATTTTGTTAAAGATTTTCAAAATGAACAATGTAAACAATGACTCTATATTAGGCTGATTTGTATTTTTAATAAAATCACAAAGGAAACAGACCCGTTTGCCAGTTTTGATGCGGAAAATCGTTTGTATGCCGATAAATGCTGAAATGCCTTT